CTGTCACTACCTCCATTTCTTACCCATCTATTTGCCAGGAAGTGAGAGGACCGGATGCCATGATCTTAGTTTTCTTAATGTTGAGTTTCAAGCCAACTTTTGTGCTCTCCTTCACCCACATCAAGAGGCTCTTTAGTTCCTCTTCACTTTCTGCCATGAGAGTGGTATCATCTGCATATCTGAGGTTGTTGATATTTCTCCCAGCAATCTTAACTCCAACTGGTGATTCATCTAGCCCCACCTTTCTCATGATGTGCTCTGCATGTAAATTAAATAGGCAGGGTGACAGTATACAGCCTGGCCGAACTCCCTTCTCAATTTTGAACCAATCAGTGGTTCCGTGTCCAGTTCTCACTGTTGATTCTTGACCCGCATATAGGTTTCTCAAGAGACAAATAGGATGGTCTGGTACTTCCATCTCTTTAAGAACTTGCCACAATTTGTTGTGATCCACACAATCAAAGGATTTAGCATTGTCAATGAAGCAGAAGTAGATTTTTCTGGAACTCCCTAGCTTTCTCCATGATCCAGCGTATGTTGGCAATTTGATCTCTAGTTCCTCTCCCTCTTCGAAATCCTGCCTGTACTTCTGGTAGTTCTCGGGCCACATACTGCTGGAGCCTATCTTGTAGGATTTTGAGCATAACTTTGCTAGCATGTGAAATGAGTGCAATGGTGCGGTAGTTTGAACATTCTTTGGCATTGCCCTTCTTTGGGATTGGAATGTAAACTGACCTTTTCCAGTCCTGTGGCCACTGTTGAGTTTTCCAAATTTGCTGGCATATTGAATGTAACTCTTTTACTGCATCGTCTTTTAGGATTTTGAATAGCTCAGCTGGAATACTGTCGCCTCCACTAGCTTTGCTGTTGCTCAGACTTCCTAAGGCCCATTTGATTTCACATTCCAGGATGTCTGGCTCGAGGTCAGTGACCATCGTGGTTGTCAGGGACGTTAAGCTCTTTCTTGTACAGTTCCTCTGTGTAATCTTGCCACCTCTTCTGTATCTCTTCTGCCTCTGTTAGGTCCCTGCCATTTTGGTCCTTTATCATGCCCATCTTCACATGAAATGTTCCCTTCATATCTCCAATTTTCTTGAAGAGATATCTGGTCCTCCCTATTCTATTGTTTTCTTCTATTTCTTTGCACTGTTCATTTAAGAAGGCATTCTTATCTCTTCTAGCTGTTCTCTGGAATTCTGCATTCAATTGTTTGTATCTTTCTCCCTTGCCTTTCGCTTCCCTTCTTTCCTCAGCTATTTGTAAACCTTCCTCAGGCAGCCATTTTGCTTTCTTGCATTTCTTTTTCTTTGGGATGGTTTTAGTTGCTACTTCTTGTACAATGTTGCAAACCTCTATCCATAGTTCTTCAGGCACACTGTCTATCAGATCTAATTCCTTAAATCTATTTGTCACCTCTACTGTATATTCATCAGGGATATGATTTAGGTCTGAGTGGCCTAGTGCTTTTCCCTACTTTCTTCAACTTAAGCCTAAATTTTGCAACCAGAAGCGCATGATCTGAGCCATAGTCAGCACCTGGTCTAGTTTTTACTGACTGTATAGAGCTTCTCCATCTTTGGCTGCAGAGCACATAGTCAATCTGATTTCTGTGTTGACCGTCTGGTGATGTCCATGTGTAGAGTTGTCTGTTGGGTTGTTGGAAAAGAGTTTGCTATGACCATCATATTCTCTTGACAAAATTCTACCAGCCTGTGCCCTGTTTCATTTTGTACTCCAAGGCCAAACTTGTCTGTTATTCTGGTTATCTTTTGGCTTCCTACTTTAGCATTCCAATCCCCCAAGATGCTAAGAACATCATTTTTTGGAGTTAATTCTAGAAGGTGTTGTAGGCCTTCATAGAACTGTTCAACTTCAGCCTCTTCAGCACCAGTGGTTGGGGCATAGACTTGGACTCCTGTGATGTTGAATAGTTTGCCTTGGATTCAAACTGAGATCATTCTGTCATTTTGGAGATTGTATCCCAGTACTGCTTTTCCTACTCTTTTATTGACTATGAAGGCTACTCCATTTCTTCTGAGGGATTCTTGCCTGCAATAGTATACCTGATGGTCATCTGAATTAAATTCACCCATTCCTGTTCATTTTAGTTCACTGATTCCTAAGATGTCGATGTTCAGCCTTGTCATCTCTTGTTTGACCACATGCAGCTTGCCTTGATTCATGGATCTTACATTCCAGGTTCCTATGGAGTATAGATCTTTGCAGCATCGGACTCTCCTTTCACCACCAGATACATCAGCAACTGAGTGTCCTTTTGGCTTTGACCCCGTCGCTTCATTCTTTCTGGTGCTACTAGTACTAGCCCTCCGCTCTTCCCCAGTAGCATATCAGACACCTTCCGACCTGAGGGGCTCATCTTCCGGCGTCATATCTTTTTGCCTTTTGGTACTGTCCATGGGGTTTTCATGGCAAAGATACTGGAGTGGGTTGCCATTTCCTTCTCCAGTGGATTACGTTTTGTCAGCGCTCTCTGCTATGACCTGTCCGTCTTGGGTGACCCTGCGTGGCATAGCTCATAGCTTCATTGAGCTACGCAAGCCCCTTCGCCACGACAAGGCAGTGATCCATGAAGGAGTAACATGTAATAAGTGGTGGTAAAAAGACTGGTACTTTCAGTGTCCTTTCCAGTGACTGCAGGAGACAAAATCTATTTCTTACTGAACCTTTACACTCTTGTGTTGAGTGTCTTTGCTTGGACCTTGCCCTGCAGTCCCCTTTCTTTTTTCTTTTTGTAAAATTGAGTTAGCAAGTGCTGATTGCTGATTTCTGTTTTCTAGTGGGACTCTGCTAAATAGAACTGGAAGTGTTCTCCTTTCAGGACCCAGTGGTGTGGGAAAAATGACATCTGTCAGAGCTGCCTGTAGCTGCCTTAATCTCCATTTGTTCAAGGTACTTTGAGCCATTTAACTTGTTCTTCCGGGTCTTAATAAGCATAGAATGAAGGCCTTGTGAGAATGCACTGCCACTCTCAAATAGAAATGTATGTTTTACCTTGTGAGGGGCTCTGATGGTTAAAAGAGACTTCTCTACAGAAATCTTTTGTTTGTCTCCTGTCCCTTGCTGTGTGTGCTTTTATCTGGATGGAAGATGCTGCAGGTGATGGAAGTGATTGCATGTATCACAATAGGATCATCTAATGGTCTTCAACTGGGGTGTCGTACCAGTGGAGGCACCAAAGTGTTAGTTTCATGCTTGTTTCTCTGTAGCTTTTGTGAGAGAGAGGGAGTGAAGGAAACAGATGTAAAGAGAAGACCTTCACCTTTTTTCTTCTTTACATGTGGCTCCTTCCAGCATTTATGTAGAAGGGGAATTTGAGCAGGTGCAGGTTTTCCTTCCCATGTGGCAGCCTGCTCTTTCCAAAATACACTCTCACACACAACTGTTACAGGTGTGAGATCCTTGTGTTCTATATCCAAGAGAGAGAGAAGATGCCAAACATGTAGTTTTAAAAGAAAAACTTATCCCTCCTATTTTAAAGGCTGGATTTAAAAGTGGATCCTGAATCTTCAGGTAGAATAAACAGGCTGAAGATTCTACCCATTTAATTTTTTTCCCCTTGGGAAAGTGTATGTATCTGAAGGGACGCTTGCGTCCATATATGCCCTCCCGCCCCTTGAGATCAGCAACAGATGCCCTTCTCCGGGAACCCTCTGTGAATGATATTAGGAGAGTGAGTACCCGGAGGAGGGCTTTCTCTGCGGTGGTGCCCCATCTATGGAATGCGCTCCCCAGAGAGGTCCGCCTGGCGCCATCTTTATTTGTTTTTCAGCGCCAGGCTAAGACCTTTTTATTTAAAACTTATTTTAATTGTTAAATTATTTGAATTAATAGGATTTTAAATTTTTTAGCCGAGATGCACCGGGGGGCTTTTAAACAATTTTTTAAATTGTTATATTATTATTATTATTTATGTATTTATGTACCTTGTATCCTGTTGTGAGCCGCCCCGAGGCTTTGTTGCGATGGGGGTGGCATAAAAATGCTTTAAATAAATGAATAAATAAATATGTCTATTATCTCTTTAAAATAGATGGGATTGGGAGATAATGAACTTTGTGAAGTTCCAGATTCCTTGCTAAAAGAGGTTTTGAACCTGAACCAGTCTAACCTAACACTCGTTTGCACTTGTGTATATTGTGTGCAAGTAGGCAGGAACTTTCCCTTCCTTTTACTACTGTTTATTGCCGTACTAGTTACCACTCCATACATGTTGGTCTCCTTTTAGGAATCATTCCACCAAGTATGCTGTGCAGTGTTTCTGAGGGTGGTTCTGCTGCTCAGATGCTTTTATATTTATGGGGCCTGGCTGACCTTCACAGTTTTACCTGTAGACCTTTTCACAGATGTGTCTTCTTCATCTCTCTGACTGCATATAGGTGGATTGTGTTAGTTTGTGCGGTGATACCAGTGGATCTACAGAAGCAAAGCTACATGCTGCCTTCTCACAGGCTGATTTCTATAGCCCTTGTGTTCTGCTGATGAAAGACATAGAGCTGCTGGGAAGAGATCGTGATGGAGTTGGGGAGGACTCCAGAGTCATCCTTGCATTAAGGCACCTTCTCCTGGACAGAGAGGCTAATACCAGGTATTGGGCTACCCCAGGAGAATGTGTTGGTGTTCATGTCTGAAAGGTGCCCATCAGTATAAGGTGGTTCACGAGATGCAGGAGAACTATATAAACAGAGTAGCTTTGAACTGTTAATGACATTTTGAATCCTCACTGAAAACCAGCCCCTTAATTCAGGGAATAACTTTTCTTAGCCTTGCATCTCAGGAGAATCTTTATTATCACTTGTCTAGGATGATACAGATGGTGTCAGAATAGACGCTGCATGGCTGGCATATGTGCAGTGGAATTGTGAATAATGGCAAAGATGCAGGGGATGATATGAAAAGCAATTTAATGGGGCCAGATGTTTACTTTTAGGCAGTGAAAAAATGCAGATAGAAGGAGGTCTGTTGGATGTGGGAGTGCATGTTAGCTTTGCCAGCTCATTTCCCGTACTTCCCTCCTCTAGAGTGGTAACAGCAACATCTGCAGGAACCCATTAGAGCTTTAGCGTTAGAGATCCATTATATACCCCACTTTTCTGCTAATATTAACTTACTGCGGGCTTACTTAAGAGCTGCAGGGTCACTTACAGGATGGACTGCAGTGGGAGACCAGGGTGTTCTCTTCCAGTCTTCCGCTTCAGCTTTGACTGTTCATTGCACACCTGTGCTTCCCAGCAGGGACCCTGTGCTGGTGGTAGGCACAACAACCAGGATTGGGGATGTCCCCACAGACTTGCAAACAGCTTTCCTTCATGAGGTGAAAATTGAAGCACCGTCCGAAGAGCAGAGGAAGGCCATTTTAAGTATGCTGACAGAGAGCATCCCACTCGGCAAAGAAGTTAGCTTGACCAAGCTAGCCCAGCAAAGTGCGGTGAGTGGCGTCTCACACAGTGGCCTAGAGAAGCCAAGCAATAGGACAACCTAGCGGTCCTTATAGGAGGAATATACCATATGTACTGGCATATAAGGTGACTGTGTATAAGACAAGATGGGCATTTTGGGCAGTTTTTCTGGTGTTTGCCATATGTGGGCTTAAAAGATGACCCACAATTTTTGTATTGCTATTTTTGGTTTAAACGGTTGTCTTATACACCAGTATATAAGGGAATAATGTGTGGAACAAGTGACCAGGAGGTATGTTTCAGAAAAATACCATATATATTGGCATATATGGTGACTCACATGTAAGACAAGGTTAATATTTTGGGTAGTTTATGTTAGGTGTATAAGTTGATCCCTGATTTTTGCTTTGCTCTTTTAACTTTCAAGGGTCATCTTATATGCTGGTATATATGGTAACTGAATCTTGGCTTGTAAAAGTTGGCATGGACTGTGTGGTTCTCCACATTGGCTGAAATGGTGAGCAATGAACCTTCTCTGCTTGTGTTGATGGTTTGTCTTGCAGTACTAGAAACTACACCCTTTTCCTATGAAAATGGTATGGCCCTAATGGGGAAGCCAAATGCTGGATTCAGCCACTGTATGCACTGAGCTAGAAACACTGGGAAAGTCTTTCCTACAACTTGCCACATTCCAGATGGTTTGGCCCATTTTCCAATGACTCCTCACTATTATCTCTGCTGGCTAGTGCCACTGGGAGTTGCAATTTAACACAAATGGAAGTCCCCAGGTGGGAAAGACTGTTCTTCAGTAGAAGCTTTTAGGGTTTAAATTTAGGCTTGAACTGTACAAATAAAGGCATCCTGGCTACCATATCTGAATAGGTGTAAAGCCTCATGAAGTACAGTAACCTTTTCTATTGCTTTAGGAGTGTGCTTGCCTAGCTTGTAGAAGAAATGGGGAGAGGGGATCTTAGCTAGTTTGGCCTTCAAGAAATAGATAAAATGGTCTTATTCTATCCTGACAATTAAGCCTCTTGATCTTTCCATAACTGGCCTTAGTTCAGAATACCTTCTGTGCCATGGGAATTTTGCATTAATGTCTATTTTTCTGCTTGCAGGGCTTCGTTCTAGGAGATTTCTGTGCTTTGCTTTCCCACAGTAGCCATGCTGCCTGCACAAGGATCCAGAATTCAAGGTACTAAAGGAGAATCTTAATGGTTTGGGAGCATCCAGATAGTGACAGCAAGTGGGAATGTTTTTAGTTCTAGGCACAGATATTTCAACCAACTGATAGTAGACAGAAAGAGGAACAATACCAGTTTTGTACTCTTAAGAGCCTGAGTCTCACCATCCTCAAGAGATAAAAAGCAGTCCTTTCTGGGGCTGGAGGAAATGCTTAGCATAACCTGGTAAAGACTCAGAATATGTTTGACTACAGCAGTTTACTGAGGCAAAATGTGATGAGGCTGATTTTGAATGTTCACCTTCTAATGCTTTTTTTTTTTTTTTACATAGAAGGTATACTTCCAACCCTCTTTATGCTTTTTCTTTCTGCCCTCGTCCCATTTTGTGTTAATGCAATTTTTCAGCTTCAATGGGGTGACTTCATTCTCACTCTATTATTCCTGCTTTGCTGGGATCATGTCAGGAATGCAATGTCAGACCCACATTTGTTTGCCAGGTGATGTTATTGAGGGCAAACAAAGCCACACTGCTCTCACTTTGAAGACTTCATTGAGTGTTAGCCACCAAGCACACCTCTCTTGGAGACCAATATAGTACAGATATATAACATCCCGCTCAGATGTACATGCCAGTAAATATCTGGGCATGATGTTCCCTGCTGCTCCTTGGTGATGTCACTGTTCCAGTGTGGCAAATGGAGCAACCTGCTTCTCAAGGCCTACAAATACCTTTGAGGCCTAGTATGTGCACCTGACCACAAATAATAAAAAAGGTGTCTACTTTCTCTGGGGCACCCCAGCTCAGCCCCTGAATTCAGAGACCTTTGTTCCAATCCATTTTGGGTTGTTATGGAGACTGTTGAATACAGTTTTCTTCTTCCTCTTTACCAGCTTTCCAGGAGGACTAAGTGAGGAAGAAGAGCATGATTTTTGTGCTGCTGGCTTCCCACTCCTTGCAGAGGATTTCAGTGTTGCACTAGATAAACTGCATGATGCTCATTCACAGGCAATAGGTGCTCCAAAGGTACAGTCCAAAGAAATGAGTTGTGATTTTTGAAAAATTGCAGTGAAAATTGTGTGGGGTACATTTCATCCACAGCCTGTTTGATGACAGGACTGTTGTAGTGGGGTAGAATAAGGCACTAACGCAGGGTAGTGGCCAACCAGAACTGCCTTGATAGAAGGTTCCAGAGAGATGAAGTTGCAACTGAAAAAGCATACCTGTGTGGCCTTGTGAATTTGCTGCTTTTAAGGATGGAATGTGTGGCTAGGTTTCACCTTTGGACTTTAAGGGGTTACATAAGGGAGAAGCACCACTAAGGATATTTAATGGGGCATTAAGAATGCAATGTAGAGCATTTCCTATAATGCACCAGTCCTTGGGGACCTCTTGTGGAATCTTGAGGGGAGAGAGGATGGTGCAGCAAGAGTAATGGTAACCACTGGTTGGGAGAAGCAGAATATTTTATGTGGTTCTGGGAGCTTATGAGACTCTCCTGTCTTGACAGCACCATAATAAGTGTGTGTTGAACATTTTGGTTTTATGGAATGGGTAGGTTACTGGGCTGTCCTTTTGCTGCAGATACCTTCTGTCTTCTGGCAAGATGTTGGCGGACTTCAGGATGTGAAGAAGGAGATCCTGGACACAATTCAGCTTCCCCTAGAACACCCAGAGCTACTACCTTTAGGCCTTCGCCGTTCTGGCCTTCTCCTCTATGGCCCTCCAGGAACAGGGAAAACATTGCTAGCTAAAGCTGTAGCCACAGAGTGCACCATGACTTTCCTTAGGTGGGTATTGTGATAAAAGGGAATAAGGGAGCCAGGGACTGAACTATTGATGTTACTAACTTGGTCTTTGCTCCTTTTCAGTGTGAAGGGCCCTGAGCTCATTAACATGTACTTTGGACAAAGTGAAGAGAATGTACGTGAAGGTTAGTGTAGACCCCTAATTTTTAATTAGAGATTGAAGGAAAGCTTCCCTGTTATAGCTGGACTAAAGGGAAGCATGACATCTGCAGATGACCTGCACCCAAAAAGATATGCATGTGCCTTCTACAAATGAGGAGTGTTTTGGACAAGATAGGCGTGCGCTGCAGGATGTTGCGGTGTATAGCTCTGTCTTCCCCACTCGCCTGCAGTTGCTGCCTGTAGCTGTGTGTGGCAGAGCGGACAGGTGCAATGGGCTCCCCGGCTCTCAGGATCACATGGGAAGACCACAGAGCCCAGCTAGCCCTGCTCTTCCTCCAGCACAGTCAGTCGTGGCCTACTTTAGGGGTCCCCAACCTTCTTGAATCCATGGGCACATTGGGGAATTTGAGAAACTGCCATGGGCACCACAACAAAATGCCTATTCAGTGGATGGTCGCTTTGACATTCGCATGTCACAACTGTGGATCTTAGACTGTGTCTTATTTGGCAAAAGCTTTTGTTTTATGTCTAATGGACACCACAACAGCTCTTTAATATGGAGTTGTCTAAATCAGTTGATTGCTGGCAGTGATATACAGCTAATACTTCTTTTAAATGTTTTAGCCATATACAGTGGTTCCATTTTATGGGAGGAGGTTATTGCACAGATAATTTGTTTTACTGGAACAGCCTTTAATAGTAACAAATTTTTAAAATATTATTTACTTGTTTCATGAATATTAACATATGAAAGGGGAAATGGTTTCCTGTTCCCTTTTGACAGCCAAATGAGTGATATCACAGAATTGGAGGACTGAATGCTCACTTCCGTAACGCGGTGGATTGAGGACTGAAAATGCTTTCAGTGTATGAAATAAGTGGTGCATGGATGCCACCTTCACATGGGCACGTCCTTGGATATTTGACCCACTTTTGTCAAAACCTGTGTATAACTGCTAACGGTTGTATGCATTTTTATACCCATATAGATGCATATATTTTTAAAAGGAAATATGGCACGTTGGCCTCCTGGCCTGGCTACTGTGCAGCTTTAATTCCTGAGAGCTGTGCGAAGCATTATATGATGTTTGGCTTCTGCAAAACTCGACCGTCGTGGAGCTTTCCATGAGCAGAAATGCTTCTGTTTGTACAAGGCCAGGCACTCAGTTTACATCAGTCACTGCTCTCCACACCTCGCGACTGCCGGTCCTCTGTATCATGTCTTAGAGACTGTTCCAAACAGCTAGAAGAAACTTCTCTCCACGTGTGCAGGGCTGCTGTGGATGCAGTAGGTCGAGAGAATCGGGTGCCCTGCTTTGTGTGAGCAGTCATGCTTTCTGCTCATAAAAAGCACTCATGTTTGCAAGTCCTTGCTCATACGCCTTATTCCATACAAGTTAATTACCTAAATTGCCACGGCAGATGCTGGCATTGTCCATAGATGCTGATTTAGGCATGTGTGCTAGATAAGGCATAAACTGATTTGTTTCATTTTCAAGAAAATATGATGCCATGCAGTTGCCAACTATGAACTTCCCTTTCACTCAGCAGATACCTTTTTGGAATAGATGAGTAACTTTGTGGCAAGATAGCTGATTTTTCCATATGAAATCAGTGGCTAGAATATTGATAGCTATCATATGGCTGATTCTGTTGAAGAGTGTTTGGAAATGGTGGCTGACTCAATGCAGCAGGGGGAATTTTGACAGGAGAATTTTGACATATGTTCTTCAGAGCATATGATTTTGTTGCTATACCAACTGCACCGGCTTCCAGCCTGAATAGTTAGAAGGCTGCTCTGACTGCCATGAGCGTTTTGGCTTCAGAGACTCTGTAGCAGCACTTGGAGCACAGAAGTCTTCTGCCTCTGCTTGGCTTCTGTGTTGGTGGTGCTTCAAAGCACCACCATCAAGAGGGAAGCCTTTTAATTTCAGCAGACCTGTGGATTGAATGGTCTACGTGTGCTCCCTTGCTGTCCTTCAGTTTTGGACTGTTTTATTGAAATGCCATTTACTGATGCTGGTTCTTTTAAAATGTTTGGTTGTGAGCCACTTTGGGCAGCTTTCTACTGAAAAGGGAGATAAAATATGTAGAATGAATAAATTGATACATTTTCTGCTCCCTTTCAAGAAGAGTCCTACTGTGCAATCAAGTGACCAGTTCTACAAAACCTGCAATTCAGGTTTTAAGAGAGATGGAGCAGAGAAACAAAAAAGGCAAGGGAATGAATGTCCAACTAGAATGGCGGTCAAAGGAGTGAGCACTGTGACTGGTCACTGCATTGCTGTACTTCTTTTTCATAAGTAGCTGTTCTCTAAGCCATCTCTTCTAACCTGAAAGATCTAGTCACTCCAGTTTTTTTGTGTAATTGTGCATTTCTCAGTGCTTTGCAGTGGCTCCCAGCTAGGCTGCATCTCTTCCTTGGTAGAGGAATGTAGGTGGCTTTTTGCTTGTAATATATGTATGCCACTCACTGAGCATGAATTTACAGGATATACATTATCTGTCTCTCTCTTCTCAGTGTTTACCAGAGCTAGGGCAGCTGCTCCTTGCATTATCTTTTTTGATGAGCTTGATTCCTTGGCACCTAATCGTGGGCGGAGTGGTGATTCAGGGGGTGTTATGGACAGGTGAGTTTCTGCTGTTAAAGAATATTGAAACATAAACTTCCTGCTCCTGCTTTTGGTCACTTCACTTCTCATTTTTATTTATAAGTGGCATTTTCCTCTCTCCCCCTGCTCTTTTTCCATACTGGCTTTCAAATTTCCTTGTACTTTTGCTGAGCATTCCATAGAAACTGGACCCCTGCCCCCAAAATGTTATAAATACTGTAAGGACTAGCATGCTGCACTATCTCCTGGACTAGGAGTTTTTGGTCCAAGCTTAGCTTTGGTGAACCTGGATTTTAGTCCCGGGACAGAACAGCTGAAGATTACTAAATATTTAGATCTCACCCTGCTACCAAGGCTAGGCCTCCAAGGGCGCTGCTAATAATAAAACAATCTGTTTTGTGTTCTATTGTAATAAAAGCAGATCAAGCAGCAAAGTATATCAAAAACTGACTCAGATATTTTAAGATCTAAGAAACTCTCTTTTGCATTCTCTCTGTGGATCCCTGTTAATAGCTGGGCATCTGCATTCTGAACTGTTTGACTTTTCCCAAGGGATTTCATGGGTGCTCCCATGTATAATGTGTTCTGCAACACATCAGCAAGAGCATGATGGGGCATGTGTCCTTGAAACATTTGCCTGGGCATCTGCTTCATGAAAGTGTTGGTTTCTGGAGCTTCTGGTACACCTCTACTAGTAACAGAATGGTGCCTTATTTCATTCATCTGAAGCAGAGCATGACTTTTGCTAGTGGAGTGAGAATGTGGACATGGCAAGAAGAGGAACTTGCAATGCAAGGATGGTCTTTAAGTGGGTGTGGGCAGACTTAGAGTTATACCTGAATATCAAGATAGAATTCAGTTTCGAAGAAGCTCTTGGTATGTTCTAGTAGTGGGCAGGACTGAAGGCAAAGGAGATGCAGCCAAAGGCAAAATTGAGAAGTACAAAAAATGCCAGCATTTTTATTTTTTAAAGTTCCTTAGCTAGTAAATAAGCCATAGAAGGAGCATTTTAGAGTTGGATTGAACACTGCAAAACCAGGAGATGTGACCATTGGGAGATTCCCTGGAGGGTAGATTGGGATCCTGGACCAAGTTCTCCAGCCCAGCTGTATATGGTAATGCTGAAAGAGGTGTGAGATTTTGTCCGCCTTGAAAGCCATACAGTGCTCCAGCTATTAAGATGAATGTTCTGTCTTCGGTGCTTAATCTGTTCAGTGGTGTCGAGTGGGTTACTTCATGTGCCAGGACTTGCATATCTCCCTCAGCTTGCTTGCTTCGCCTGCACCAGCTGCTCCCTCGGAGGCAATGCCTCCCTCTCGCAGTTGGATGATGGCAGCTTGTGCAGCGATGCTTCTTGTGCTTAGCTGAGAGTTCTGGGCAGGGGCCACACATACCTAGACCAGCTATTTGTGTACTTGCCCTTTAGAGGATTGAGTCAGCTTGTTCAGTGCATGCACTAGGATTTATGGCAGCACTTTCAAATGTTTCTCCTGGTAGAGTGGTGTCTCAGCTACTAGCAGAACTTGATGGGCTTCATTCCACTGAAGATGTGTTCGTGATTGGAGCAACAAACAGGCCTGATCTTCTGGATCCCGCACTGCTCCGACCAGGCAGGTATGTTTCTTGCTCTTTTGGATTTGTTCCTGCAGTTGCATCCAGCTTACACAGATGACCTGTTGCCACTCAATTGCCTCTGTTTTTATTGGCTTATTATATTTATTCCTTGCCTTTTCTGTGCAAGAAATCCAAGGTAGTTTACGTAATCCTCCTGCTCCTCTCCATTCTATCCTCACAACATCCCTGTATGGTAGGAAGATGTATTTGCATGAACCAAGTCTTTATGGTAGTTCCAGGAAAGCTAGATTAGCATGCTCTCCACTTACTACTTCTGGAGTAATTCCTGATCTGCTGTTTATATTTTAATTTGTAGAGCTTGTTTGTTTGTTTGTTTATAGCATTTGTATGCCATCCCATCGCATAGCCTCGGGACGGCTTACATAAATAAAACAAAACATAATACAGATAAAATCCAGATCCACCCTGGAATTCTAGTATAAGAGATTTTTTCTTTCTTCTGATCTGTTTGTAGCATTTTGGCAACATGAATCTTCTGCCCAAAGTGCGTCCTCTTGAGAAATAAAGCCAGTGTGTTCTTCCTTTTATTGCTGTTGCTGGATGCACTCTTTATAGAAAAACAAAAGAAAAAAAGAGCTAAACTCTGGGCTACTTTTGGGATGGAACAAACTTGGGGATGGAAATGAAATGAGCTTATTCACATTTTAAAAAATCTATCCTATCCTTCTGATACCTGTACACTAATCAGGGTGGTGAATATTGGAACACCATGGGTTCCCTGGTGCTTCAGGAATATCGTGGACTTCTCTTGGTCTGTGGGGTAGGGTCTGGAATGTGGAGGTGCTGCGGAAGCCTGGCACTTCTGGGTTATTGCCAGAGACCACATACTGACTGAGTGTAGGTTAAGCACAAAGCACTGTGCTTGATTAGCTGTAGTAAAACACTGGAGTCTAATATTAAAAACCAGTAAGTTAGAAGATAAAAAATGCTCAGATATTTTTTGAGTGATGGGCATGAATGTGACACCAGAGTTGTATGTATGCCGGATGCCTGTATTTTGTCTGTAAAGAGATTATTTTCTGTTTGACAGATTTGATAAGCTGGTCTATGTAGGCATCAATGAAGAGAGAGATTCTCAGCTGCAAGTATTGAGTGCTATCACAAGAAAGTAAGTGCCCACTACTCTGTCTGCAGTTCTAAAATGATTTTAAAAAGCATTTTTCAAGAAGGATTTCCAATCCCCTCCCTCCCTCCTCTGTCTGTCTGTCTGTCTGTCTGTCTGTCTGTCTTTCCATCTTTCTTTCAAGCTCTTTGCATGTGGCCCCTTGACTTTCGGAACTTCTCACCCCTGCTTTAAACTGTGGTTTGGAGGATTGCAATAATTCATTGCATCCAATCAATCAGTCCAATTTGCTGTTACACCCAAGGTGCTAAACTATGGTATGTGCAATCCCATGAAGCCGAGATTGCAAGATAGATTGAAACTTGAGAGTTGGCCTGGTCCATTGGCATCAGCCATGTATTTACCACTTTTGTTAAGGCAAGGATTAGAGGTGCAATGAAGTTTCTGGATGCAAAAAGCCATAAAAGGGGTTTAAAAGAGTGATGGATTTATAGATTTCTTAAAATTCAATTTTCTTAAAAAGATACATTACTTTGAAAAAAATACCAGTTACCTTTATGTTAATTGTGTGTGGAGTTTGATTCCTTTGGCTGAGACACACATCTCAGCCTGTGCCTTTGTGAGTCTTCCTTCCCATAGTGCTAGGGTTATATCCTAGTGACATTTTTTCAGTAGTAATACACTTTGGGCATATCCTTTACTGACAGGTTTAAGTTGGATCCTTCAGTGAATCTCCTTGGTGTCCTTGACAAATGTCCTGTACAGCTGACAGGAGCGGACCTGTATGCCCTCTGCTCTGATGCCATGATGTCTGCTATCAAAAGAAAAGTGGAGTGGATAGAGGAAGGTGAGGAACTAGCCGAGCTCAGCTGGTGTCAGCTGAAACATACAAATCTGGAATGTACCACTGAAAGCATCCAGTGAAAAGACATGATGATGGAAGAAAAGTAAAATTGAATGTGTGATCAAGTGTTTGGCAAAACTCATCATTGGTTACATGAACCTAGTCTGACTCTTACAAGGCTTAGCAAAGATCAGTGCTAAACTGGATTGGGCCTTAAGTCTCCAAATCAGTGCTTGGAAGAAACTGGTAAACTGTGCTAATAGAAATTAGAGGGAATGTGTAATTAACAGGAATCAACAGGTGTGAATAGAATTGCAGCATGTTTGGTTGAAGTTTCCATTTTGGGGGTAATGTAATTTTTTGTGGGAGTAATTGCATGGAAATCCCCACCACCACCATTTTTAGTGTGTAGCATTGTTTCAAACTCACAGGGAACAGGAGAAGTTTATCATTTCCCATTTTCTTGTAATTGTGTTCCTGAGACTTTTGTTCTGCCATTGTTGGATATTAAGTTCGCGGTCCTATTACTAGTGTGGTGAGGTAGTCAGTGTTGGAATGGAACTCAGGAGATACCAGTTCTAGTCCCCACTTGAATGCGAGGCTCTCTGGCTGGCTTTGGGCCAGTGGTTGACTCTTTGTCCAGCCTACATCACAAGATCGTTGTGAGGACAAAATGGAGAGGAGGTTATGTAAGCCACCTTAGGCTTGCTTCCGGAAAAATGGATAGGTTAGAAAGATTATAAGCAGACAAACCCTTGATCTGGTCTAGTAAGGCTGTTCTTGTTTTTTATTTAACGAGTGGGTTGAGAGACCTGAGAGCCTAGTTGTTCTACTTGAATTGTGCTGAGCAGCACTCCTTGTCTTCCCACGAGGCAGCGTCTATGCTCTCAAAGTGGAGAAGCCCATGGTAGCACACCTGACTGTGAGAGAGATCAGAAGAGGTGGATTTTGATTCAGCTGTCACTGTGATTTTATGATGACTGAAAACTTAATGAATCAGTGCCCTAACCAGTGTCAGACATGACTGGCCAGGAAACACTGTAGAGCAGCCCCTCCCCCCCAATGGTCTTCAGAGCATTTGGACCACAACTCAAAGAATTCCCATCCAGCAGGGCCATTAACTGGGAATTCTGGGTGTTGCAGTCCGTGTCTGGAAAGCACAAGGTTGGGGAAGGCTGCTGTACAGGACATTCCTCATGGGCTGACTCTGCTTATTCCCAAGAAATGAGAAGTAGGCATAAGACATGAGAGGCAGAACACCTGAACCTTGGGAAAAAAGGCGTCCTTCATGGTTGTCCCGTGAAGGACACCCTTCATGGGAGCCTTTCTCTGCATTCAGTCAACTTGCAGAAGGCCTTGTACCTTGTTCTTCTCTTGTCCAGTCAGGAAGAATTTCCATGTGTGCATTATCACATAACGAAGTGAGTTCCTTGTGAAACCTTTTCCCTTATTTTCTCTCCAGGGCTGGATACAGAGCACTCAGACCTCACCCTGACTATGGAGGACTTTCTACAAGCTGCAACAAGGCTGCAGCCTTCTGTTCCAGAACCAGAACTACTCAGATACAAACTGATTCAGCAGAAATTTGCTACTTGATAAGCATCTGGCTGGGCCAGAATGGAATATGTAAAATTGGAACTGTATTACCTCAAGAAATTCAGAATAGATTGACACAGGAATGCCTTCTTTTGGGTGAAATGAAAAGGATGCCCTCTTTTACAGTCTAGAGGCAGATCTAGCTATGGAACGGAGAATGAAGTCTGCTTTGCTGGGTAAGAACTATTGCAACTTAGTCCTTATTTGTGCTCCGTACCATTGCTGATATATCAAGAGATCAACATCCAGTGGAAAACCTTGGAGTGCTTATAACTTGGCCCTATGAATACTGGGGGAAAGTGGTGGTAAATCTCTAAAATGTCTAATAAAGAGCAAAATGTTTTTCCAGAAGGACCAGAACACTCCTTTATACATTTTAGTAGAGTATCTGCTTTGCCCAGAAATGTGTAATGAGCATTTTTAAGTCTGAAAGAGGAAGGAGAACTGGTAAATCTGATTTCATTTGTTTATTTGTAGGGCAATAAGATGCTCTTACTCTCAAATAGCTTCTTTGCCATTTTGTGAAGTTCATTTAATCTACATTGCCTTTATCAATATTAAGAGTCATATAGAAGCCTCATTTGTGGTCACAGATGTGGAAGGAGGGCCAGTATTCTAATTTTTTAGGTTTTGCTACTCTTACCTATTTTGGCTTTGCTTGACTGTCCTTCCTTTCTCCTGTGTGATTTCTTGTGAATACTTCTGCTTTTTAAGGCTCTGGAAATGCTTGAGCAACTCAGCAACCCAGTTGATGCAAAATCAACAGCAGTGGGGTATCTGTGGTTCAGCTCATGCACAAATTTGACTATCTGAACTCTAATTCTCTGGCTAGACAGCAGCAGCAAGCACTTGATCTGGGTTGCCTGCTTCATAGAGTACTTAGTAATAGAAATGCAGTCTGTCTTGGCCTCACCAGACATGTTTTCTTATGGGCTCTTACTTTAGGGAAGGCACTTTAAAACTGTATCAGTAAAAAGACGACTGCCATATTTGTGGAGCACTGGAAACCAATTGCTTTGGGCTTGCTCTACAGGTGTAGCAGGAAGAAGATATAGCATTACCACTAGAATTAACTGCAGTTCTTTGAGGAAAAGTGGAGGATTTCTTCTGGAATGCTGTCCTGTACATGTAAATTGGCAAAGGAGTAACCTTAAACTCATTCCTTCTGCTATGCTAGAGGGTGGTTTTTTTAAAATATGCAAAGAATTTTAAATGCCCCCAGCATGCACCTCTCAGAAGTAGTGAGACAGTCCATTCTTTTACCTCTGAAGACCCAGCCCTGAAGAGGCACAATTGCAAAAGCAGGGCTGGATCCAGGTTTGGGGGGCCCTTAACGAAGACCGGATGGTCTCCTGAATAAGGTCCTGCTGACATGAATGCAAATTGTACAAGATCCCCAGTGACAAAGACACACCCATACACAAGCTCCCATACTCTGGCAACCAAAACTTAAGGCAAGCCTGGGAAACACATGTCCCTCCAGAAGTTGTTTGACTTCCGTTAGCTGCAGTCAGCATTGCCACAAATACATGTTGTAGCTTAAAAACAGGGAGAGACACTCATGTTCCTTAGTCCTAGTAAGACATGATTAGCAGTTTCCACACCCCTCCTTTTCTTCCCAATCCCTGAAGAAACACAGACAAGTACAGTCATTAATAAATTCTCTCAAACATTGATGCAAATTATTCAGGCAACATCAGCAAGAGAAGCAAAATAATCAAGAAACAGCAAGATACACCTGAGCCAGCCACACAACTTAGCATATGATTCAGATCCAGAGCAAGCTGTCCCCACCTCTGGCCCTCAGAGGTCACTGACTGGAGCAACAGCTGCTCCAGTCCCCAAAGCAGATTAACTAGATTGGACCCTTAGGGGGGAAAAGATGGAAGGAGGAAAAGAACTCCTTCCAGTTCCTCCCTCTTCTAGTTCTCACAGTTCCTATGCTCATTCACGGTTGCGTGCGTAGGGTTTGCACACCACCGGCCCTTCCAGCAATAAGAGAGAGGACCATATGCCTGCTGAGGTGGTGTGCAGGAGAGTCCTCAAGGCATTTTCCTCAACACGTGGATGAAATAGCAAGGGCTGTATTGCTGGCCCGGTGTGTACGGCTTGAAGTCTCCCAGGATGGTGTGTTCACATGGGCCTTGTATGGCATTTTTCAGCAGTTCTGTGAAAGGCTCCAGGCGGTGAGGATAGTAAGAGAGACGGAATTGACTGATGAAAGACAGAAAAAACATTTTAGCAACTGAAGGTATAATCCTAAACATGCTTAGACAGGAAAATACAGCATACAGTTCCTAGCATGCCCCAGCCAGCCCAAGAAACTATAAGTATTTTTTCTGTCTAAATGAACTTAGGATCTGTCCAATTCTGCAGAACAGAATTGCTTTCACATGAAGGGTTTATCATGCAAAGCCCCTGCCTTATTAGCAGAATTTTACAGGGGTCCAGAAAATACGGTCTTCCACATGACACTTCCTATATGTTCCCTCTGCTGCTGTGGCCTCCCCCCCTCCCCCCCACAGGTACGTGCAAAAGATGGAACAGGTTTTTCAATTACATGATGTCTTCCATCTGGAAGCATCCTCAGAGAAGCAGTGGGAGGAAAGAGGTAGGCATAAACATTGCCAGGGGCCTGTTTCCTCCTGTTTTAGCTACACATTGGCCATGCTGGCTGGGAATTACAAGAACTGTAGTGCAAAACGGTGCACGAGGGAGAAGGTTGTGCTAGCCAAAGAAAGGCAGAACTTCAGGCTTAGAAGATCTACTTTTTAACAATAGACCACCAAGATGTTCCAGATGTAAGATGATGCCATGAGGAGAACAGTTATTTACCCATTTAACAAAAGAACATGTGTTTTCTGGAGGAGGGGAGTAAATTGGAAAATTTCTCCATGTGAATCTATGTAAATTACATCTGAAAACTTCGTTTGCATCTGAACCGTTTTTGAGATCCTAGAGTGGGTGGGCAACTTGCAGCCCTCCAGTTGTTTTGGCCTACAACTAGCCAGCACAGCCAACAGTGAGGGATGATTATTGTATTTACATACAGTCTGCAGGGTGCTAGTTTCATGCCAATGCAAAGGAAGAGATGTGTTATCAGGGATATGTTCTCTCTGTGTGATAGGGTATGGCTGATACCTGCCTTTCTTAACCCACAGTCATGGACTGTAAGAGCATCCCCAGAAATAATGGAGAAGTGCCTTCTACCTGTAATTCTCTTACCTCAGAAGGGGGCTTACAGCAATTAGTACATCCATTTAAGATACATACAATTAAAACAGCAGCAACTGAAATAGGAAGCCACCATTAAAAAGCTGATGAGAATAACAAAGTTTTAAAGATCCACTTAAAAGCCACCTTGTGCCCCACCCAAGGGAGGGAATTTGAAGTCACCACTAAGCAGGTTTTGTCCTGGTCCATCAGTTGGTTCTGAGCAGACTGGAAAATAAAGCCTCCAAAGCTAACATGGCATCTGTACACATGACTGGACCCAGAGACTGCACATTTCACTCGGCCTTATAAAATATCTGGTTGTGTCCAAATTTGCAATCAAACTGAAGCCTATACATTCTGCAAGAACTTACCTAAGTTCTGGGCTTCCATCATTTTCCTCAGGTGGAACCTGCAGTGTGTAGTCCAGTGTCACCATATTTGGTTTGTTGTTCACAAGGAGTACAGATGTAGTGATGTCCTTGGTTAAATCACTCTTGGAGAGAGAGGGGGAGTTAGTTTCCAGGTTTCATTTCCTTCCCTGTCAGTGCCTTCCTGGCTTGTCCACTGTGCTGGTTACTACTTCAGTTTCTGACCAGCTTGCACAGACAAAAAGCCTGTCGATGGCTGCTGAATAATACCCCTAGTATTGTAGGCAGTATGTCTCCATATGCTAGTTGTTGGAGAACAAGAGCCCCGCTGCAGCTGAATCCAACTTAGGGGCTTCCTGTGGTTCTGACTGGCCAATGTGTGATCAGAATGATCGGCTAGATTGGCCTTGGTTCTGACCCAGCATGGCTTACTATGTTCTTAAACTGACACCTCTGCCCCACAGAACCCTTCCCTTCTTTCTGCCCTATTAGATATACACTATCAAGAGCTGGACCTCAGCTCCATGGCCATACTGACTACAGTCGTTGTGAACTGTAGCCCAGCATTTCTGGCCCAGCACTGAGGAAGGCTGGCATATATATCGGTGTTCCCACCAGTACCTTTTAATTCCTTCTGTACATGATTTAGCTTGTTCCCAGAGCTGGCTTTCCACAAGTCCAGTGGGTGCCCTTGGAATTTACCTATTGTTATAACCCATGGAGAAACATTTACTCCTGCCATTAAGACAGAAACTAAAACGCTTGGGAAATCTATCTGTTCCTGCTGCTTGCAGTGAAGAACAGCTGCCTACCAACTGGGGTTGGAACAAGCTCTGTCGAAATCCATCCCTCCAAGCATCTGAGGGCTTCCTCCTGTGCTCAGCGCAGTCTTCCAAAGTGAGCCAAGACGAAAGGAAGTCTGTAAATGCTTGCAGAGTCCTGGTTGTGCAAGCGGCAACTTTCTCCTGTGACAGCTGCAGCAGTCAGTGTGGAAGAAGGCGGCTGCTCGTGCAGCAGTTGTACGCAGGCTGGCAAACCGCTTGCAAGCAGACCAGTTGCAGCCACTGTGGGAGCAGCTGCAACTGCTCGAGTGCGCTGCAAACACTGAGCATGCTTGCTGGGATTCTGGACTTCTGCAAAGTCCAGGTAATCTGACAGATTCTTACGCCTGTGAATTCCTCACACATCCCTTGAACCTTGTTCTGTTTTAGGATTAGTTATGGGCAGTGATGTGGGTTTTCTGGAAAAAGTAGAACTGTAGATGTTTCTGGAACATTTTCCAGTGCTCCACATAATAAGGTTTAGCACTTCTTTGTGATTCTTCCTTGTGTGTGTGTCTTGTATTTTTTCAGGTCAGTTTCTATATGGGGTTAAATGTTTCCTTCCTTGTTTTCACTGGAGTGATGCCACATGCTAGTCTTTGTGTTTTGGCATTATTATGACATAGCTTAAAACTTTAGATGATTAACACATACCATGCAGATACTCCCAAGCTTAAGAGAAGAAATGATGTAACTCTTAGGGTAAAGTGAAGCAAACAGGAATCAGACTTTGTTTCAGTTTCCCTTCATCTTATTATAGAGTGTTAGTCATAGGGGGCAAATAGGACACCACATATAAATCTGGTTCAGATTCATACTGGAGCCAATTGCATTAAGCATTGGGAGGGGTTGTCATACCTTACTTTTCAGCTCCCTAGGGGAAACTGAGCACTAGGTTTCACCAGGGCTTGCCTTAGAAGAATAACTTACAGAAGTTCATATCCTATACTTAGGCCATCTAACATGAGTGATTGCAGTACAGCAGGCCAGACAATTATGGATGAATGCAGACATACACAGTGTAAACATTTTTCCACAGGAAAATGGGGCATCAGAGGATGTTCTAACCCCCCCATCACTAGTTTTGGATTCATGTAAACACGGGAAAGGTGCTTTTGCTACACTGACTACTGGAACTGCTTAAACAAAGGCCTATTTTGAGGAATACCTTATAATAGATGTTCTTCCCAGGAGGGGCACAGCCCGTTTCCAGGATGTAGTCATAGTTACGGTGGTCAATGACCAGAATGCCACCAGGCCGAACCATACTGGCAATGTTCTTAAGGGCCAGTTTATGAACCCCTTGGTCACCTAGGAGCAGAGACAACATTGAATTAAGTTGCTTCCTTTTTGGTCCACCACACAAGCCTGAGAGTTACAACCACCTTCTGTTAGGTTTGCTGTCAAATCTAGGCAACCTTAACCCTGGACACCAAAGTAGGTGTTATTACTTCACTTACTTTAAAGTATGCAAGCAAACTTTGCCACGTTTGGGGGCTCTTCTGCTCCTTTTGCTGAGTGGGCCCTGGACTTTGGCTCCAAAGTACTGTGCTGAGTACACTATTAACTTTAGGTTTTGATAGCTTCTCATGAATCGCATCTCCAAGAAGTGTAATCTACCACTGAGGCTCTGCCAAGCGTTCCATTTTACGAGGAGTCTGGGTTAAATTCCACAATAAACAAGATTTTCTCTTGAGCATTCTTAACCCATCACTGCTGTGCCACTCACCTTTAAAATCTGGGAGATGTGCAAAAGAGTTCCCCAAGCAGATGACGGCATCAAATCCCTCACCAGGCTTTTTCAGATCTTGTGGCAGGGTGAGCCAGTTAGCCTCTTCAATAACTAGGGAGGGAAAACGTACATTGTGAACACATGGAGGACAATGATTTGCTTTTTCCAAGCTAGTGCCTTCCAGATGTGCTAGATTATGGCTGAGTTCAGGCAATACAACAAGCCATGGTGGGTTTTTACCATCATTGGTCTGTTGTACTGTCTGAATCCAGTTGTGGTATTTCACCATGATAAATTTAGTCTTTAAAAACAATAATAAGAAACAACAGCTTGTTCTACAGTTTCTCTGTATCACAGTGGTTTCTCATGTTATCCAAACCCAGGATCATGGTTTCCATGGTCATGGTATGTAACTACCAGAGAGTCCTCTGGAAAGAGTGGCAATTGCAGGAGCTGCTGCAGTCATCTAGCCTCTTTTTTGTAAACCAATGAGGAAGAGGGAAGCAACACAGGAAGTGATGCACACTGGGATTGAATTTCAGATGTGGAAGCTGATGGGATCCATGTCAACAATGGGAGGACTAAGCAGGGATGATGATAAAGTAGAAATCACTTGATTGTCAGGGAGATCATGGTAAAAACCACAAACCATGGTAACCACACAGGGTTTCTTGTTATAGGCTGCGTTCTCATGACTTCAGTGATGGGAGCTATACTTTAATAGGAATGGAAAGCTTCAGGATGGGGAAGAGTGTACTAACCTAATATCTATTGTTCACACTTCATGACATATGTTCCTTGTGTAAAATGAAAGTGAAAACTAGCAACTTGATGGGTTAAAAAAGCAAAGGTCTTTCTCATTCTATGATGACACAGTCTAACTAGTCAAAATCATCTTCATGGTCTACCTCCAGATAAAGTAGTATATTTTGCTGTACAACTTTTTTACGATGTTGTATGAACAGCTGTATTTATCTTTTAGTGTACATTTCAACAAAACCATAGAGAGAAGAGAATATAAAAAATGACTACATAAGTGTGACTACACCAATTATGTGTGAGCATCAGCAAAGACCAAACATCCATATATGTTATTAATTTGTGAATGCCCAGATGGGAGCTGGAGGCTTGTGCCATTGACTGGCTTGTTCCATTATGCTGTATTTGTAAATTTTCTCAGAAAGCAGCCATGGCAGCTTGTCACGCACTGTGGGAGACAGACCGCTGGATCTTAGATCTGATTGGGCAGAATAATTGTTATGCTTTTAAGGCAGCAGTGGGGTTACTGATTATATTTCCTTTCCACATGGTTAGGAGGACAGAAAACAAGAGTCCTTGGACTGGCAACAGTGCTGCTTTAAAAGGCAAGGAGAGTTGTTTTCATATTGGATGCTGGAAGCAAGGGATCTTTTTAGACACTTCAGAAAGCAGCTTACAAGATAAAAGTCAGTGGTATGGAGAGAAGGTGCTGTCATAGAGGCAAAACCCTAAGCCAGCTGAAAGGGATTTCCACTGCTATTGGGGCCGTTACTGAAAAGGCCATGTCTTTTGCATGCTCACCAATCAGACGGGTGCACATTTGAGCAGAACATAAACAGTTCATGAGCAGGAGATTTCTCACCTGAGTGACAGTGCAGGAATCCCAGCTGGCAAAACATGCAAGGTTCACCCCTTAGGTCAGATATAGATGTGAGCTAGATCAACTCCACTGAAGGAAGTAGACTTCTCTATCCCTTCCTTTCCACAACAAGCCCTCCAGCCTATTAAGAAAGCTGCCTAGAGAGTCAGAAGTCCCTGCTGAATAGGGTGAGCTGTAGTGTGTACAGGGGAGTTGAATGGGGCAGGATGATAGCATGAAGTAGGTCCCTTCTTGGAATTAATCCCTTTCTCTAGAAAATGCCTAGCTGGTCTTGTTTCTTGGAAGCCGTGGGTAAAGGGCCTTATAAGAATACAAAAGCAATTTGAATTTCATTGCATTGTTCCAGGGAAGAAAACCCTGAAAATATATTGCCCTTGTTCTGCTATTAAATTCACTTAATAGGGATTCTGCAATTTTAGGAGGTTTACTAGGTAAGGGATTTCCAGCAGTATGATGCAACATCAGGGTGCTCATTTGCAAATTATACCTCTGTGTAGCTTGCTATAGACAGAAACCCCAGCTTTTGTTGGATGAAAACTTTGATCAAAGATTAGATTGGCATACTGATATGTTTGATAATATGAAACACCATGTTTATCTCAAGTCTGCTTTGTTATGGAAAATATAAGAGCCAGCCATAATCAGAGAGAGGATCTGCTGAAGACTGGGCAGGGCTCTAAAAGTAGCATGAAAAAGAATAGGAAAGAGACAGAACATTCAGTTCTACAGTTGATAGCATTAAGTTTTTATAACCTTGATGCCAACTAGGGTGTCTGTATTCTATGTTATGCAAAATACAAAAACAAAAATAAAAAACCCAGCTGCAGAATTCAGTTCCGCAAGAGCCCTGAGTTTCATTAAAGAAAAACTTTAGTTCCTATGGCTGAAAGTACAGATTTTAAAATTCAGCAATGACTGGAGACCTCTCTTGAGCCAGAATGGAGGTGTTGCAAGAATCTCCATGATAAAACAGGGCTTCAGTGCCCTGTATACTTCACTGCCCTCTCTGTGATTAGAAAAATTATGCAAATTACAAAATAATCTCAAATTTTATTTATTTATTTTTTATTTATTAAAACATTTGTATGCCACCCCTTGCCAAGGCCTTGGGGCGGCTTACAACATCGAATACAAAATACATTAATTGCTTAACTCACTTTTCAGATTTTTTTGTTTATTTGGTTATATTATGTGCTTTAAGTGTACGCATGCCGCAGCCTGAATCGCTGCAATGACGTGGGTAACTTGGGACTGCGCTGCACATATGTTGGCAAAGAGAAACTGATCCATGTGGACTATTAGTTAATCTCTTCCAAGTGTTTTATGCAGGCATTTCCTTTTGTGAATCAAGGGGGGATTTATTTGCCTCCCCTGCCTGCACCCCTACCCCAAGCACACATGCCAAGGAGTCCTATAACAGTGTTTGCATTTTACAGATCAGGTTTCAAAAGGCTGAAATATTTTTCAATCCTGATTTCCTTGTATAATGTGCATTATAATTATGAATATACACAGTAAACTCAGGAGGGCAACTAAGGCTCAGCTTTGCAGGATTATGAAGCTGGGGGTCTGTCCTTTTCTTCTTTACAGACCAGCAAACCATCAAGGGGTACCATGGCAGTTTGTGTGTCAACAAGGAGCACATTACATGGCAGGCATACCACCAGTTGCTTCAGCATTCCTGATCATATTTCATCATGTTCTTACAGCCCCTGCAGAAACTTACTGCTGTCCGATTTAATCCAACTGGAACAGATGCTCAGAGCCCATTACTGGGGCCATTTAAACCTTGACACCTCAACTAGTCTGGGCAGGAGCAGCTGGGACCTGTACTTGCCTGGGGCTAAAACTCTAGTTTGTGTCATTATTTTTCTCCAGCCTCACTATTAGCACCAAGAGCAAGCAATGGGACTTCTCCCTGATGTGCAAGCCCAGCAGCTAATTGGCAAAGTATAGACTAATACTAAGCAGCACAGAACTGTTTGCGCACAGAGAAAAGGGTTACAAGCCGTGAACTCTACTGATCAGATTGTGGCTGATCAGTCAGTATGCAGCCAGTTTTAATCAGTCCTGGCAAACTTTATGGGCCTGAAACTTAAGGGTGCCCTTATTTACTTTCTGAGGCTATTTTGGTCCCAGTGTGTAATGTGTTACAGACATAAAACATTGCTTTTCAATCCCATATTACACTGTTCATGAAGTTCCACTTCTTCTATGATGGAAATTAAGGTGGTATACATAGGGCACTCAAGAGGTCTCCCATCCAGGAACACAGATCAGACTGTATCAGTTTTGCAAAGCTGATGATTCATTTACCTTCAGACCATTCCTTGGGACTACAAATATTTCTTTGTGCTTCTAGTAGGAAGATTTTTTTTTTTTTGTTATTACTAAACCCAAGTTCTTGTGCTCTTCCTTATTTGTGTGCATAGGCTGTTCGTAATAAATATATTATTACACATACTAATAATTTAAACAGGCAAGCAATTGACCAAAACATCTATTAGCCAGCTGGCAAATACTCTTAATCGGAGCAATTACTAACTTACCCCAGTGGTCGAAGGAGTCTTCTTTCCTTCGATTCCATCGCTCCTTCAGAGCATATTTAAGCATTTTGTCACTGGCATCCACACTGGTGACTCTGAATCCTTCCTCGACCAACATAATAGAGTCAACACTGCATGGAGACAAGGACAGAGGAATGAGGGTGGAGGCCTGGAGCAAACTGTCGTTGAATTTAACTTGGAGTAAGCGTTCTCTGCATTGCAGGCCAGGAACGAGGGGACATGGCAGACCACGGGACAAAGATCATGCCAGAGAATTATGGCAATCTTGAGTGAATTATATCAGACTGCTCCACTGCAGGTGCATACATGACAGCACACTCTTGCACATCCATTTCTCTCTTCCGTTGCTCCTCTAATGCTGCATTCACAATTGCATATATGGAACATCAGCTGCTGCCCTACACTCACAAAAGGTCCATCTAGTTCGGGGTGGTGCATCATGTGGCCTCCAGGGCAGTCCTCTGTGGTCCTCTTCCTGCTCAGAGCCCTCCATTTCTCCTGCATTCCGGATCCCAGCAATGGCATGGGCATGTTTGCAGCGAGCTCTCATGAAGTCACTGTCCCATCGGGAATAGAGCAGCTTGGGCTGACGGCTCCATGAGAGCTCGCTTCAGCATGCCTGTGCTGCTCCAGCTGTGGAGTTGAACACCTTTGCACTAGTCAGGGGGAGCAGCCAGGGCATGCTTGGGGAGAGTTCCCTGGTTCAAGTACCAAGGCCTCAGTGTGCCAATTCCAAGAAGGAAGGAGGGGCTGGGGAGGAGGGTCACATGGAAGGGTTTCTGGACAGGAGAAACAGGGAAGAAAGGGAGGGGCCACCCCAGGGGACTGGTCATTGTACTGGGCTCTGGTTGAAGAAGGCGCTGCCTGTGATCTCTGCATTCTTTTTCATTGTAATTCATTGTGCAGCCCCCAGGTTCTGTGTTCTGTGTGGAAGTCCTCATGCGGCCCCCAAGGTACAAAAAGTTGGACCACCTTGATCTAGTTCATTCTTGTCAACCAACCAGAGTGCCTTGGCTATTGGGCAGTATAAAAACAAATTATTTTTTTCCCAACCCTACCTGGAGATGCCAGAGGCTTTACCAAGGAGTCAGCAAACCTCTACCTTGTGCCTATGATGCTTCCCTAATGAATATGAACTTGTGCATATTTGCTAACAATACAGGGGGAAAGAAATCCAGTATGTTCCCACTCTTCAACACTAAATGTGCATATGAGAAGGTGCAGGTAAATTCTAAAAGAGTGAGTAGCTCAAGATAGGTTGAGCATCTATCCATGCAGCAAGAGTTAAACAGATTTGATCACTTAGCCTGGTTGAGCTCATGCATTGAGGAAACTGGGACAATGGAGATCCCACTGTGAGGAAGACGGGTCAAAGTGACCACACACTGTAGAATGTACTGCCTAAAGCACAACAGATTCTTTAAATTGGAACCAATTCTTTTCAGCTTATTTCTGCATGATCTGGAATTAGAAGTCTACAATGAAGTTGCAAAGTTTGCCAAGTATACCAAATTGTTCGCAATTTTAAAACAAAAAGGGATTGCAAGGCGATCCAATAGGATCTTTCCAAACTGGGTGAATGGGCTGCATAATGGCAAACACAGTTCAAAATAAGCAAATATTAAATGAACCACATTGGAGTAAAAAATTCAAACTTCAAGTTCATGGAGTCTGAACTAGCAGTAGCTGACCAAGAACAAGATCTTGGTATTATCAACAGCTCTACTCTGAAAAATGTCATGTTAGGCATGTAACATGATAGGAAAGAAAGTGAAAGCTACTGCAATCATTCTGCTCCTATACAAATCTCTGGTGTGACATTTGGAAATACTGTGTACAGTTCTGATCATTGCACCTGAAAGAAGATATTGTAGAGTTGGGAAAAGTGCAGAAAAGGGTAATTCAAATGATCAAGGGGCTAGAACAATTCCCCGTGAAAGAAAATAAGCATACAGAATATGTGTACAGAATTATGGGTAGTGTGGAGAAAAACAAGAGGGAGGCTTCTTTCTCCTTCTCTTATAATATTGGAACCCAAAGTATTCATCCCATGAAGCTGATTGGTGGCAAAGTGAGGATGGATAAAAGGAAGCACTTATTCACACAGCGCATGGTTAGGCTATAGGATCCATTGCTGAAGTGTGCAATTTAAACAGTCACCAAGTTTGGATGACTTTAGATGGGTCAAATTCCTGGAGGATAAGGCTACCAAAGGCTTCAGTATCAGAGGCAGTATGCCTACAGACACCAGTTCCTGGTGAGCACAGGTGAGGATGCAGTTGCACTGTGAGCATCTGGTTGGCTGCAATGCAAACAGAATCCTAAGCTAGATGGACCCTTCATCTGAGCCAGCAGGGCACATCTTACATTCTTAAATCTGAAGAGAGCACCAGGATTAGTCACAGACCCACTGAAATGAATGCCACTTAAGCTAATCACGACTAAATTAAGTTCCTCTGCAATGGTTTCCAGCCCTGGCTTCAGTAGGTCTACTCTGCTGCTGTCCTCTGCCTTTCTGGTACTGTGGGAAACGAAGAGGGTCTGCGCAGAAGGCCAGTGCAAAAGGCTTAACTAAACCGATCTGGAGGTCTTAGGTGCAGTGGACAGGAAACAACAGGTGGGGCACCTTTTGAAGTAATAGAAAGTGAAAGGGTGAGGGGGGTTGCTCACAGATCTTTCCCATCCTTATGTTACACGTGGCAGTGTGGTCCCCAATTAGGGAAATTTCCCCCCCCCCCCTCGCCGCCGCAATATTATAATCTCCAAGGAGTGGACAGAAAGTAGCTCTCCAATTATTTTAGACTTCAGCTCCCAGCATTCCTGATCATTGGGCTTGCTGACAGAGGCTTCTGGGAGCTGAAGTCCAAAACATCTGGAAGCCTACCTTCGACACATCCCTGATGGCTATTATAAAAGAGATCGGCTCCCTCCTCTCCCCGTGCCTCCACATACGCGGGTGTGGCGCGCGTCCAGGGAGATCCGAAGCCGAATCCCACCGGAGGTTGCGTCTGGATCCAAGCGGAGCGGCTGCACCTCCGGGTTCGTTACCGCGGATGAGCAATCGGTGAAGCCAACCAGGTTTATCCAGCCATTACCTTCGGGGAGAAGCTCCCCCTCCGGGGAAGGCAGAACTCTGCCAGGGCGGTAGCGGCGGCAACGCGGCGGCCCCCTCCGCCTCGGTTGCCTGACTCACCCGGTGCCGCAGGCCACGTCGAGCACCGTCCAGCAGCGCTGGCTCCGCAGCAGCGACACCAGCCAGTTCTTGTACTCGGCCGTGCGGCTCCGCGTGTCGCCGATGTAGAGCTGCCAGACGCGCGCCGCCCGGCCGTCGGCGTACTGGTCCGGCAGCCCCTCGGCCGCCACGCCCAGCGAGCGGGTCCGGTAGATGCTGTCCACCATGGCCGAGGCAGCCCGCTGAAGACGCGCTCCGGGCGGGCGGGCGGGCGAGCGGCTCCTCTCGCTGCGGCTGCGGCTGGCGCACGAGTCGGCGGCGCCGGCAGCTCCGGCCAACAAGCCCGGCTGTCGGTGCCCAGCGCGCCTCCTCCCAGCCAGGCCGCCGCCCCCCTGCGTGCAGCCGACCAATCCGGGGGCGGGACGCCGGACACACCCACCGGGCCTCCCTTCCCTGCCCCCAGGCTCAAGGGTCGGCGCGAGGGGGCGCGTGTTTTGCTTCCTCCGTCGGGCAGCCCAATGGCCTCGTCCGCTCGGGAGGGGAGGGCACGACCGACGTGGGTGCCTATTGTTTGGCACGCTTCCCTTCTCGTCTCTTCGCCCGCTGAGCTGCGGGAGAGAGTAAGTCTCACTGAACTTTAAGTTGGGAGCCTATGTGTGCCTTCTCCAAAGTGAGACCTATTGGATTTAATAGAACTTACACAGGTGTTAGATTTAGTCATAGAACCGACCAAAATAGGAAGGATTTCTTTTTGTGATGCCTATGGTAAACCCCACTGATTTCAATAGGGTGAAGAATGGCTGGATCCAACTGATGAATCTGGTGTTTCTCTTAGACCTAGAGTGCTGTAAGTGCTACACACTTACATTTGACCAAACCCCAGAATTATCTTTGGACTGAGTAAACATACATAGGACTGGGCTGTTGCCTTTTGTCTTTTATAGGTTGTTGGTCTTTTATTTGTGGTCTGTTTTAGTTTGCCTGCATTCAATTTTGGACACTGTTTCTATTATTTTTCCTAAACTGCTTTTCTAACTGGTTGAAGTATTTGTTAGGTATAGTGAGCTTTTGATAGTTTTGATAGTGAGCTTTTGTTGCTTTTGAGGTTGCTTTAACTTGTTCACAGGATTGGCAGCCTTGCTGGGCCAGGTGGCTTAGATGAACTGAGGAAAGCAAAAGCTGCTTCCAACAGGGAGGTTCAGTTCGGCTATCACAACCATTAGCCATGGATAGTACTAGGACACCACATTTCCTCACCACAGGGCTTTCCTCTCCAAAAAGCATCAGAGCTGAACAATCAGAATTCTTGGGCATGGATTGGAGATAGAAAACATGCATGTAAAGTCTTGACTGATCATAGTTATTGCTCAGTATTAGCTAGCTCTTTTCTCCATTCAGCACATTTGTGAGAGTACTATTATGGGATTTGAGGCTTACCTCTTTGGAAATACACAGGGTGTAGGCAAGTGTTTATTTTGACTACTGATGCAGCAATACACCCATGTGCACGGCACACAACAGAGTTGATTAAGCAAAGAAGCAATGCATCAGGTCAGAGCAACAGGGAGAAGTCTACAGCCCACAGATATACTGCCCCTACATAACCCGCCTACATCAGAGGAAGGCAGAAACAAAAAATTGCAAGTTTTTAAAGTCTGCAGTCCTTCAAAGAGCTGAGGAATCCAATTGTGCTGGATTGCTCTTCCAATCATGCAGAAGGGACCACAGTTCCAACATCAAGTACAGGCTCTGTAGGCAGAAGGCCCAAGGGTTATACCCTGACATCTCCAGCTAAAGTTTAGAAAGACTACCTTTCCAACACCCTGGATGACACCCACCAGTATATACCTAGTGCCCTCCAGATGGGTTAGACTACAATTCCCGTAAAACCTGCTGGCCAGGGACAACAGGAGCTATATAGCCCAACAGGTTGGAATTGTTTGACAGGACTGATTGGCTTTTGAAAAAGGGACATTCACACAGCTATCAAAGGCAGAATACAGCCGGACATGATTAACCCTCATGTGAGAAGTCCATTTATTTATAGGGCACTGTACATACGCCATGCAAGACATTCTCCTTTTCTGTTTCACTTTCTGGTCGACTGAATGTCTGCTCAGTTTTTGTCAGCAACTTTAGTTCTGAGGAGATAGTGGTAGACAAACTGGAATTTAAAGAAGAGGCAGAGAAAGAGAATGAAGTGTGTAGGAAAGGCTTTAAATGGCAAGATCAAAGATTTAGTTTGTACAGCAAGACAGATTTCATCTTTGAACAGCAAGTTCAGACATGAAACAAGCTGAATGGGGAAGTTTCGCTAACACTCTGGGCAATGTTTAAGCCAGCCTTCCTCAACTGGTGCCTTACAGATGTGTTAGGTTACAACTCTCAGCATCATGTAGTTAGCATTGGCTAGCTGGAAAATGTAGGGAGTTGCACTGCAACAAGAATTAGATAAGCCAGGGTTGCAGACTGAATTGATACAGACTTAGCTGCTTCCAGTTGCTGAAGGCTGGATCCAGGACCAGACGGAAGCTTCTGCTGCTTACTCCTGGGGTAATCCCATGCATGTGTCTCTAGGAAAAGCCGCAGACAAAGGAGCACCTACTCTCATAAAGGTTTAGTGCTGCACATGAGGCCAACATGAGACCATCGCTGACGGTACCATGCTTTTGTCTGGGCTGGCACCCCTTCAGTTTGCTTCAAAGGCACTGGATTAATGAACTCAGTATGTGTAATGAGAAAAAACCCTTCTGTCTAGAAGTGAATTAAAAGATGCATAATCAAAAATACTCAAGACATTCCATATTTAAGACAGAAATGATGTGTGTTAATGCTTCAGCTGTACAAAACTGAGTGAGAAGGTTGAATCTCCCATCGCTGCTTTTCCTGTGACACACACAGTTACATCAGGGTCCTCTTTCAAGTATGACAATGTCAACCTTTGCTTCTCTGGCACTGGCTGTTTTGTTTAATATTTGAAAGAAAAGCTTTGGGTCAAGGTGAAACCATCAAGAAGAGATGAAAGGCCACTTTGGGAAGGATGACAAAATCCATCACAGTGAAAGTAACAGTGAAGTTTATTTTGCAAAAGGAATGGGACAAAAAATGGTGAAAGCATCCAAGTGTGTTTGTATCAAAGTACTGGCTGGAAAGGAGAGGAGAGGTATCCTGGGTGATGATGGTGAGCAGTGACTGTGGGGGACAGTAGCAAAAATCATGCCTTACATGCACCAGAACCCAGGCTTAATTTCCTGTTAAAACCAGACCAAGGAAAGATGCTCTACCTAAGACTCTGGATAGGTCAGAAAAGGAGACCATGCTGGGCTAAAAAGACTTGGTGTGAGGATGCTCCCCCACAACTGGACCATTAAGCACAAACAACTGTGGGTAACAACTTCCCAAATTCATTTCAAGTCTATTTTTGATTACAAAACCAAGGCGGAAATCAACTAAAAAAGCCTTCTTAATTGCAGTACCATTCAGATGGTTTGGATTACAACCCCCATGAGCTATAGCTAGCATATCCAATGTTCACGGCTGCTTGAGGGGCAACAGGGTGGCAAAGCCAAAAGGGATCATATATACCCTCTGCCTCAGTTGGACCACTGACCCACCCCTCCTCATTCAGAAAGTAAGTTACTAAACAAAAGCACAGCTATTTATGAAAGTCAGAGAGGTCAACAAAGGAGTGTGGTTGAAGCTGCTATAGAAGCCCCAGTCTCAGTATAAGATTCCCAACTGATGAAAGAAAGAAGCTCCATGAGAAAAGCCCCGTCCATCTCAGTGCTGATGCCAAGACATTTCTGAACCTGCAGCCACAAAGGGAGCCTGGCCCATGGCAAGTTCATGGGCGGGCAGGCAGGGTGGGGTGCTGAACTCTTCCAATCTGAATTCCACGTCAAGAGAAGCTCTCAGGGAACTGTATTCCAGAGGTAAGTGGGGCTAGGGGCAGAATGGAGTTGTCCCCCAAATATTGACTTTTTTAGGGTAAAACTCTTGCTGTCAGTAATCAAGCCTTAGGAGAGACATTTCAACCTTTTAGAACTGAGGATGGGGGAACAAATGCAAAAACTAAGGACCCACCAAATGATCAGCAGATGGGGAAAATCAGTGTGGCTACTCAGGGAACCTCTGAAGACGGGACTGTGAGCCCAAGCCGGCTGAATTTGGCCAGCAGGTCCAAAGTTCTGCATCCCTGATGTACATGGAAGGCTCCGTCACAGAGAAATCCTGAAATCAGAATTTGTTTTAGGACAAAAAGGTGCTATCTATAGAAGCTGGTGAGCTAGTCTGCATGATGCGAGGGCACTTAATAAGCCATGGTGGCTTGTGAACCTCCCTGCATGAACCTGTAGGTGCTGCTGGGGAACATGGGTGGGAGGGTACTGCTACACTCATATCCTACCCGTGGGTTTCTTGTGGGCAGCTGGTTGTCCACTGTGCAGCAGAATGCTGAACTAGGCAGAACTTTGCTCTGATCCACCAAGGCTCTTATGTTCTTATGCCTAATTTGGGACTTGTAGTCCCACACTTGAGTGATTACCGGGTTGCCTCCCCCTGGGCTAGGCATTCCAAAACAAATTACAATACTGCTAGATACAAAAACTCTTTTCTTCACCATGAGGAACAGGTAGGGTTCAGTGGCTGCAACAAAAGCAAATCCCCAAATGGCTGCTCTCCTGGATGGGTATTTCAGGACACACCCATTTCCTTTACCTTCATGGTAGAGTGGCAACAATGTACAGTTGAATCAACATACCATGTAACAGAATGCTCAGCTAAACACTGAGATGGCACAGGAATAACATCGCAAGCTGTTCTATCCCTGATGGACAGAATGAAGTATCAGCCACTTCTTCCAGGCAAAGGAGTGACGATCTGGGTTTGGATCAGCTAACCATAAAGCAAGGAGCTCTGCTTATGCTCAATGCCGTACATACCAAATCAAACCAATACAGATGAGGGTACCTTACACCGGGCTTTCCCCACCTGGCACCTGCCAGATGGATCAGACTGCACTCCCATTGCACTGACCGAGGATGAGGGGAATTGCTGTCCAGATGGCAACTGTGCCAGGTGGGGGGACCATTACTTTGGAAGCATCATGTCCCACTGTGCCACGGCCATGGTTTAAAAAGGATACATCGGCTTGTTCTTGAAGAAGGAGATGCAAGATGCCCCTTGCCCCTAGTTCTAGATCACCTTGCAAATACACAGCTAGTAGGTTGCCCCTAAGTCAGCAAGCCTTTTGCTTCAGTCTGCACAAGATGCCCGAGACAAACTTCTGCATGCTAAAATGTAACAATACACTTTTAATTGCCTATCCTTGCCTTAACTCAGTGCCGTCTGTAGGTTCTTGGACTACAATTTCCATCAAAAGAAGAATAGGACTACATGGAGTGATAGGAGCTGCAACTCAACAACATCTGGAGATACGCACACTCCCCACCTGTTCTAAGGGTTTCCTGACCCAAACAGTTAACTCGGAAATGCCAACACATTTGTTTGATCAAGAACAAAGAGCTGAAGTTCAGTGGCACACACTCTGCTTTGCGTACAGAAGGTCCCAAGTTCAATTCCTGGCAACTCCAGGAAGGGCTAAAAAAACCCTCCTGAAATACTGGAAAGTGGCAGCGACTCTGTGTTGTCAATACTGAATTGACTGAAGCAAGGATCTGACTCAGTATAAGGAGCTTGCTGCATTCCCGTTGATGTGAAACTTCCAGAGACATTCAATTTCTGGACTTGCAGCCCCTCCTTTTTCCATGACGCCATCTTTTTTCTATTCAGCACTGCAGCAAAGGAGTTGGCAGGAGGACACGGAAAAGACCCCTAAGTGGAACGAGCACATCATTTCTAGCTCCAAAAGTGGCACTCACCCAGTCACTGTGCTGCTGGGAGACCTCTGCTGGCTTACCCTGAGATTCCGTCCAAAAAAACTAAGCAGAATGGTCCCTTGAAGTGACAGCATTAAAACTGAACCCAAGCTGGTCATCCTAAGTGCTGGAGACACAGAGACAGATATGCAAAAAATCCTGTTTATTTACACTCTCTGCGGGACTTCAGAAATCAGGAAGCACATTCAGGGCAGCAATAAAGGGCAGGTAATTTGGAGGCAAGGGAAGGGAATGGCATAGACTTCTGCAAGTACTCTCCTGACTAGAGCTGCTACTGGAATCAATCCATTTCAGGTGAGAAGAGAATGTAAAAAGAAAAAGTCTCATAACCAAAGCACAGTACCCTTAATTTCTCAGGTAGAATCTTTCCCCTCATCTCCCTTCAAGCAAGCTCAGCAATTTGCATGATACAAGGAAGGGCAGAACTGAACCCACCTTCCCAGCGATTCCCTTTAAAGACTGTAATGCATTCGAGCCTGCAGGGCTAATTAGGGAGCAATCTTGGCTACCAGCAAATCCTGTTATCTTGGGTTGGAAAGAGGAGTGCCCACATGTTCAGACCTTGCTCTCCCCTACCTTTCTGTGACTGCTACCTTCACGCCCCGGTTGGGTTTGGTCGATCAAAGCTGCAAAAGGGGGGAAGGGGAAGGTAAGCCAGGCTGACAAGGAACCACCTCACATATTCCTTCTGCCCAACGTCTTTCCTTCTAAATACATCCAGGGCTAGCTAGGCACTGCCCAACCTACACCCAAGAAGAGGTACCATAACACTGGATGGCTCAAGTTTGAGTGACCATGAGCAGTGCCCACGAGGAACAGATCTGCACCAGCCCTGAAGAATGTCAGAATCTCCAACTTGCAACTCCGAAAGGGCTAAAGCAATTCTCTGCCGCCTGCAGACGAGCTTGAAGTCCACACGGGGAAAGAGCGGGCAGCGCACACACATCTCCCAGGAACCTACAGTTCATCTGCACTGTGCAAAAGTGGAGCCACTTTTTGAACATTGTCTTCCTCCTCCTCCGCCTCCATAGCTTGACTGGGTGCCTCTTCAGCACTTAGCTTCACATTATCCTTTTCTTGCTTTGCCTCATCCTTACGGCCTTTTTTGCTTTTGGAGGACTTGTTGCCTTTGCCCTCCTTTTTCTTTGTCTTCTTCTGCCCTGAACTTGCTGGATCCCCTTTTTTGCCAGTCCATTTCTCAGCCAGGCAGGCTGGAGAGATAAGAAAGAGAGACCATGAGATAATGCCATGAAAATGTAGTTACTGAATTCTTATTTATTAATTAGGATATTTTTATCCCATCCATTATTGTTAGTCTCTGGATGGCATACAATATAAAATACCTTTTTATATTAAAAGATATTATACATATTAATATATAAATTTATATAGAAATATAATATAATGCGTATTATAAAAGTAAATTAAAATACAATATAACATTTTGTTTGCCTCTATTATTTTTGTGGTTTTACCAGCAAAGCAAGCCGAAAAAAAATCCCAACCCTCAATTTCCCACTCTATGTCCACTCCACCTTTCTCTCTACTTCCCCAAATGTATTGAGCCAGACTTTCTACACAATTTAAGCTATTGGTTCATATACGGACCAGACCAAAGGCCTATCTAGTCCAGCATCTTATTTCATGATGTGGCTGACCTGTTGCCTACTGGAAGGCAAGAGGACACGATTGCAACAGCACCTACCTACTCACAGCCTTCAGAAACTGGCTTTGAAAAATGCATTGATTCGGATACTGGAAGTATGTCTCCATACACCAAGGTAGTGGGGAAGTAGGGCAGGAAGGAGGTGTGGCACTCATATCCTGCTTTGTTAGGTACATGTAACGTTGCCTGCATTAAGCTTGCATGGTTCCGTCCACTAACCAGAGTGGGAGGAAAGGGGTTAATTCCATAGACAAGATGACACTGACCTCTCTGCCTGAGCTGTCCCTTTTCTCCTCCCACCTCCCCTGAAAAGGCAAAAGGGTCATGTGACCATACGCCTTCTCTCTCCCCTTACAAGAGGACACACGCTCCCTCTCCTCTCTCTCTAGGCTAACCATCTAACAATGGACCTTCCTTTGGAAGCAAGATATCCTGCATGAATGTACCAACACCTCTCCTTCACGCAAGTCACATACGGATTGTGTGTGAGTCAATGGACCCTTTTAAACTTTGTGGGAGGTAAGCCTCTCTGTGTGGATTCTCATAGATCCAGGTGCGAGCAACAGCTTCTTAACACAATCCACTGTTCAAGACTTACTTCTGCTGAACTGACATATAACCACATGTACAGCCGGTTCCCAACGTTTCTGTGGGCTTCTCACATGTGGCTGGTTGGTGACTGTGTGAACATAATGCTGAAATAGGTAGACCAGTGGATGACTGAGCATGGCTTTTTATGTTATTCTACAGCCCTCAGGAGCACTACTCACAGGCACCCTTCTCCTGCATGGGCTTGACTAATCCCCTTTTGGAGCCATCCAGGTTGCTGGCCATCCCTACATACTGCAGTAGTTTAACTGTCGCATCACAACCTGGTTCAAATGTCACACAGTTTATCCATACTGATTCTCTGTTACAGAAATGTTAGTTGATTGATTAAAACTCATTCAGTTTAACTCACTGAATCTGCCTATGAATAAAACAGCAGCACTTGGCCACTGGGAAGGATGCTTATTTATTTTTAAATGAATCACCCAGTGCTAGCACAAAAACAATCCCAGAAGGGGTGTTCCCTCATGCCCAAGGACAAAAAGGAACTGGATCTTTCCTTCTCCATGATGGCAGCTGCTCCCTGCTCTCCTTGCATATAAAATAATTAACAAGTTAAGCTGTTGCCTGATGAATGTGGGGAGGGGGGGCTCTTTTCATCTGCTCACAGGGATTTAATTAATCCAAGTATTAAAAAGGGTCGCCATGTTTGGTCCATTCTAATTTATGGCAAGACATTGCTAAAGTTGTCTCAGTCATCTTTGGCAGCCATTTCATGAAGGTGCAGCAGAGAAAGAAGCAGGATTATTCTGTCAGTTCTGCTGCAACATCAGCTGCCCATGGCTCTTCTTCTCTGTTAAAACTCTTCCCTAGCGGCAGCCCTTCTGCTGGGCTCAGGAGTAGAGTCAGGAGGGTGGACCCAGTCTAGGTACGTTGCAGCAGAGATAGCAAACCCTTCTGGCCCTGCAGGCTGCACGGATAGCGGGTTGGTGGCCATGCACACACATGCCCTCTGAACACCCTTCCTCTTCCCCATTCCTAGCAATTGCAGCACACAAGACATGTGGCACTTCCCTGACTGCAAAAGTCCTCTGCGGGTGCTCAGGTGGGACCTCTAGCAAAACCAAGCCACGCCTCGCTCCTCAGCCCCCTGCAAGGGAGGAGGAGGAGAGAGGGTGCAAGAGAACAGGAGGACTAGCCCCTCCCACTTTTGGCTCAGGCCTGGCCCAGAGGGGATGCAGCCCTGACAGAAAAGAGTTCCCTCACCCCTGGTTTAAGCAATTCTGACACACACACCCCCCCCCCCCACAGCATCAACCACCAGGCCTCTCACTCCATTGCAAGGGACACTCACTGGTATCCTTTCCTTTCAAGACATGGTTTGCACAGAGAAACTGGGAAAGGTCCTCTTCCTGATGGTTTCGATACCAGTCTTCAATCACTTCTTCATATTCCTCCACCATCACTTCACACTAGCAGTTGAAGAGAGATTTATTCATTAGATTTATATCCTGCCTTCTTTCTTTTAAAGACTTTAAAGTGGATTACAACATTCTCCCCCTCCTGCTCTCAATCTTATTCCAACAACACTGGGAGGTAGGTTGGACTGAGAGTCTCTGACTGGACCAAAGTCACCCAGTTGGTTCCATGGCAGAGCAGGGACTAGAATCCAGATTGCCTGAGTCCCAGTCTTGCGCTCTTAACCACTACATCAAACAACAGGAATTCCCCCTCTGCTATAAATTCACTGAGTAACCTTACAGTTTTGTGTGCTTTCAATTGTATTATGCTGCATTTCTGTTAAGCTGGCTTCTAGATAGTTAAGAATAGAAACAGGGTTTCAGTATTTTAAACAAAATTTAAAAAGGCCCCTTGCTCGAGCTAGAAGCAGGGTGAGTTATGTCAGATAATGCAAATGGAAACAGGCATGCTCAATTTGCATAATGTATGCAGGGTGCAGAACTGAACTCATGGTGGCACATAATTGTGAATTTATGCAGGCAACCAAAAGGGAGGAAATCATTACTCTGGGGGAAGGGAAAGACCACCACACATTAGCTCCCAATTGGCGGTGGCGGCAATAAAGCAGCACCTATTTAATACAGATGGATCCTATTTTACTACAATGCTGGAAGTCAGGTGGTATACAGATTTCTGGGGCAGGGGTGCAGACCCACTCAGCTTCAGCATGGTGGCTATATTGTGTGATCACAGGACATGCATTTGGCTGATGGACAAGCTGCTCTGGCCCTAACAGCACCTGGTGCCCTCCAAATTTCAAATCCCATCAACTCCAGCTAGCAAGGCTTGGAACTCAGAGTAAAAAAATCTGATGGGCATCAGGTTGAGGAAGGCTAGACTCGATTGTGGAGGGCACATCTGCCAAACAGGAGACCTAAGAGCAAGAACTGTGCACCTGGGGCCAGAACAACTGAACCATCTAACCAAATCCATGTGCTGGCTTGCAGGTAAACCATCCTCCTCTCTCTCGGAGCAGCTGTAAGCGCAACCCATCATGGCTTTCAGTGCTTGTGCCACGGAGTTAACCCAGACTCTGACCTGCTTCTTAAGATCAGCCACTTCTGCAGATGTTTCATTCCAGAGCTCGTACGGGATGTCCATTACCACTTTGACGCCTTTGTGCACCAAGTTGTGTAGCGTTTCAAATGTCTCAGACATGCCCTGAAGCAATCAGAGAATTTAATTAACAGAATGATTTCAGGAAAAACAGCACTGACAAAGAGAAGTGCAATGGTTACTCCTGCTGTATACATCTATAATAAATTCATCTAGTCTTTTGGAAAGAAGAGCCCTTAAACTTTCCTAAGAACAGAGTCAGCATCCCACAGAATTCTCTTTTCCTTCAAGAATGGAAAAAAGATAGTGGATGTGGTGGGAATATTTTGTTGCAAGGAGTTAGGGAACAGTCTACATCTCACTGAATTCAATGGTGGTCAAGTTCTTCCTATGCGGAGATCAAAAACAATTGCCATATTTGGGTCCATGAAGGGATGAATTGGTAAGTACCCTTCACGTATCTCCTCCCCTGCAGCAAGCAGCAGAATGTAGCTCGCCCAACCTGCCACATGGGACTGTGAGGTGTTGCACCTTGTTTGAGCATAGCTTCTGCATGTGGCCCAATGCAATCTGATTATAAGAGTATCCGTGTACAAGGAGCTCCCTTCTATGCCCACAAATCTAATGGTAGAACATCCACTAATCAATGTACTTGACAGTTTGCACTGTCCAATGAGTGTGGATGAGACTATTTCAACATTGGGATCCCATGTTTCCAGACTGCACAGGCTGAGTGTCTTTCAGCAGGGATCTTTCTTCTCACTGTGGTATGATCTAATACATCCAGCTCATTGGGCACAATACTCTATCATTAGGCCAACAGACACTGGTCCAACATCCACGCAACAGATCTCCTTAATAAAGCAGATCAACTCCTTTAGGTAGGCAATCCATTTCAAATGCTTAGTTTCAAAAGTAAAACTCTCAGAAAGCAGCAAACAACCTCTAGAAATAGAAGAATGTGACGCCATTACAAACCTTTGCAAATCTGTTGCTTCCTGATCTCTCTTTGTGCAGGTTGTACTCCAAAAGCCTCTTGCAAATGTTTTCTGTCACTTCAATGAGGCGAATGTCCCTGAAAGCAGAAAAGGGTGCATGGAAGCAGAAAGAGGTCTCTCCACGTCTGTCCAGTAATGCAACCAGGAAATATCAGTGGAAAAATGAAACTTATTGGTGACAGACTTCATGCAATTGGTAGAGCAGGCCCAACAGATGGGTCAACTCACACACAGGCTGCTTCCAGGATTTCTCTCCATCTCTACGAGACCTCACCCTGATGGGCTCTCTTGGGACCTGCCAGGCTCTTGGATCTTTTTGCAATGAAGTTCAGTCCTTGAGCAAGATAGTTTTCTTATCATCTCACTAGTTTGCCTTCTGGGAAATGGGTATTTAGTGACTGGACAAAGCCACTGTGGGAGCCATTGGAAATTTGACAGAACAACCTCACTCCGTAAGAAAGCCACATCAAAGTCAAGCTAAAAGTGGATTTATGAATGACAAGGCAGAACTAAGGTGGGCATTTTGTTTGGTATCAAGGGTTAAAAATCTATCAGGAATGCAGGCCAGATACTTATTCTAACTTATACTAAGTTAACAGACTCACATAGATTTTATGAACAAATTTATTGCAAACAACAGTCAGTGACGGAAGTTGTGCTTCCTTAGAAAAACATGTGGATAAACAATAAACAAGAAAATGGTCCCTTGCATAGGAACAGGTAACAGGCAGCATCTGAGATTCTCCCCCAACCTAGTGGCCTCCAGATGTAAACTGCATCAACATCAGCCAGCACAGCCAGTGGGTAGAAATGCTGTAGTCCAAAACATCTATAAAGCATTAGGTGGTATAAGGAGAATGAGTTTTATAACCCAACACAGTATAAAGAGACTTAGGTAACAGAACTTCCTCGGAATTACCTATGCACTGGGATAGCATAATAATGTACAGGATAAATATCAAAGGGCCTATCAACAAACCCTGTTTACTTACGATTTTGTGTACTTGATTTTGGACGCCTTGCCATCCAAAAAGCCATACTTTGTATCAATCACCTCCTTGGTCTTGCCCGTTTCCTCGAAGGAGGATTTCAATTCCAAAGCCACATATTTGCACACTAAAGAAAAACAAGACTTTGAACGGTTAGTAAGTACTGATAAATTGTAACTGCTCATGAGAAGATGGGTAGACTGGGATTTTTACTGTGTAGGCTACATTGTACCAAAGGCTGGTGAGTATTTGGAAAAAATAAAGGCATTACAGTAAATGACTGCTAAAATAAAACAAAACATTTTTCCAAAATATGTACAGGAATGTCTCTGGGATGCAGTCTAAACTGAACTGAGGACTGCATGGTTTGGAAAAGAGCTAACAGGGATCTAACAAAGAGGGATTGTAATTTTATTTCATACAGGATGATATTCATTCATCTATTCATTCAGGATGATTGGACGTTTCTTAATCTCATGCTTGCTTTATGGAGCTCAGGGTAGCATACATAGTTTCTGCCCAATGAGCTTCACTGCACACCCACCCACCCAACTGATGTCAAATGCACACACACCATATGGGTTTTTACTTCAGTAAACCTCTGTTATAATTCTGTTGCTATTTCTCTCTGTTCCTCTTTTCTTCTTTCAAATACCCATCTAGCTCCATTTTTAGGGACAGCTTGTTTATCAGTTCCTTTTTTTCAGTCTTCAATCTATTGTTACATGATAGGTGCTATGCTTCTTTCTAAAAGATATCCACTTTCTGAATATCCATCCCCACACTGCCTGAAAACAATACTTATCAATCTATGAACTGATGAATAGTGCCACTAAAAATAGCTTCTATATTACTACCCTGCTTTTTTAAAATAGAATCTTGCCAGTTGAAGAGCTCTAAAAGTTTACATATTTGTGGGCGATCTTTCAATTGGCTCAATAAAGGTAGTATCCTATATGGATTTTGGAATATCATTACTAAATTTTAATTAGCCATTCAATATATATTATCATAATATATACTTATCCCCCACCTTCCTCCCGCCCTAACACGCAAGGAACAAGCAGCCAACATAGTTGTCCTTCTCCTCTCGATTTCATCCTCAACAGAACCCTACGAGGTAGGTTAGGCTTAAAGTCAGTGACTAGCCCAAAGTTACGCGGTGAGCTTCATGCCCGAAAAAGGGCCTAGATCTCGGGCTCCCGAGATCCCGACCAGCACTCGCACCACCGCGCCACCCTGGCTCTCTAGCTAAAGAACCAAGTATTCTAGCGTGGCTCCAGCCCTTTCCCCTGCCGAAGTCTTTCTCCGAGGCCAGCTCACCCGCGCGCACGGGTGCCAGCGCCCTGCGCAAGGTCCAGCCGCCTGCACCTCCGCATCGCCCCCCTCGCTTCTCGATCCCCGCAGCGCCCCCAGCCCGTACCCCGCCGGCGCCAACCTCACCTTCGCACTTGCTGGGCAACTTGACCCAGTCGCCGTCTTCGGCGACGGCTCCCGCCAGCCCAGGCTCCGGGGCGAGCAGCAGAGCCAGGCAGGGCAGCAGGAGGGAACCCCAGACAGCCATGGGGGCCCTGAGGAGGCGACCGCGCCGCTCGAGCCCCAGCGTGCCCGCGCCCACCGCCTTCTCCCGCCCGGCGCTTCCGGGAACGTCCCGCTCTCCGAGGGTAACTATAACAACGCACAGCACCGGCCTATCGCGGCCAGGAGCGTGGCACGCTCAGGCCAACGGGCAGGCAGGAAGCTCCGGTTCTTTCCGATGATAGCCAATCAGAGATCGAAGGGTTCTTCCCATTCTCCACTCAGAAGCGCGGAAAGGTAGTTTCCCCCGCCATACCGCGATCCCATCCAATTGGAAGGCCGGTCGCTCCGGTAATTGGTGCCTGGCATGCTCCTCCCCGCCCCATTCATGGAAAAAAATGAATTCATAAGTTAGGGGCGAAGCTGTGGCCTTCCTAACCAGACCCAGTGTGAGTTGTACGGAGTAACGGGGTGGGTTCTGCAATGTGCTTAGGTCGTCCATTCATCTGATTCTGAGGGATAAATTATATCCTATATAATATGTAACCTAATATCTAACATATTATACATAGTGTACATTATAGTTCTTTTAGAATATACCCTACAATAATATAAACATATTCACATTATATTGTGTATATTTATATTATATTGTTTTGCAGAGCACATGAATCATATCATAGTATTAAATATGGTTACAAAAGTAGGAGCAAAACTGGAGTGGAATGGTTAGGACACCACACTCAGGTAATCAGCCTGTGCCTACCCAGTGCCCACCAGGTGTGCAGGGTTGCAACTCTGATAATCCCCCGTTCAAGACTTTGTGTTGCTGTACTGAAGCAGCAAGTGGAAGTCCCCATCCCCTCTCAAGGTGCAAGCCGTCCAAGAGAATCGAAGATGTTTTAGCTCCTCCTTCCCCCTAAAAAACATAAATTGATGCAGAACCATTTGCTGTCCCTTTCATGATGCTCAGAATCAGTATTTCCATGCTGCCTGTAGGATGATATCCTGCCCCACTTCAAGTACTGTGTAGAAAGCCCTACTGCATCCTATGGAAATTGCTCCCAGGTCAGTATATTTATGATTACAGCCTTAGGTGAAACAAGAAGTCTTAACTGATTTATTAAAAGTTGTGGTCCACAAAAGCTTTTGTCACAATAAATGGCTTTGCACCAACAGAGACTTCCCACCAGACACGTAATTTTAGCAGGGCTACTGCATATGGGAGAGAATTAAACCCTATACATGTACCCGCAGTCTTGATCCTACCCATCCCATGCAGTTATGTTCATTTTGGGGGGAAATATTCATATGAATAACATTCATACAATTAACATCTCAGATAGTTTGACTCTTTTTAAGATACCACTGCCAAATTTTGTCCAATCTATGTATCGGGGAAATGTGCCTTAAAGATAATTTACATATGAGCATAGTGTTTCATAATATCCCTTTGGCTATGACAAGAAAAAGCAAAGAGTCTGTTGGGGGTACAATCAACAGAATATTTACAGTTTATTCAAACATACAGGAAATACACAGTGTGTAGGTAGCCCCCAAAGGGACTACAAAGATGTAGTACTGTACAAGTCTGTACAAATGCTTTTATAAGCTATCACATAGGCAGTTTGCTAGAGGTACATGAGAGTAAAACAATAGGACTGAATGTGATTAAGACACATAACACAGAAAGAACCTTCAGGACAGGTAAGCAATTAGCATATGTAAGAGTGTACACCTGAGAAGAACAAGCAAATATTAGCATTTTTAACGTGTAAGGTTAGGGAAACAAGATTTGCAGCATGGATTCCTGATCTGATCTTAAGTCTTAAGTCTTAAGTCTAAAGCTGTCCTTAGCCTTTTAGCAGCCATATTATGGTAAAGCCTCCACTCATTTTGTTCTGACACCTGCAAAGCCCACACATGCACTTAGCAGAGAATAAAAACCATTGTGTTAAATAGTTCAACATATCTAGGATTACATTTTTGGGCTCCCATCATTGGTGATAGCTGATGAGATATGATAATTATAATATTTAACATTGTATAGCCTTTTAATGTACATTATCTAGATATAATTATCTCTCACATTGCAGATGGAGTGATTAAGGCTCCATCCAGTGATTTCACAGCACTGCTAAAATTTGAACTAGGGCTTCCTGATTTGCAGCTTAGTTTTTTAGACACTACTGTACTGATAATAAATTTGGAACCTGGAGCAACAAGACTCCAACCTAGAGAACTTTCCTGCTCTCACACAATCTTGCCCTCAGTAAGTTACTAACACAACATCATAAAATGATAAAAAGAGAGAAAGTACAATGTATTTACAGGCCAGTGAGTCATAGCTTCATGTCTCATAAAAAGTATAACTCTCATATTCTGTCTGCTTTAAACATTTGAAAGACTTTGGCTGCTCTATAAACAAAAAGAAGTATTTTATTATAGCCATAATTCTGTAAAATAGCAGTACTAAGAATTTTAAAAGACAAGCAAAACCTCCTACACTGTGTCTCCCTGGGCTTCTTCACCCATCTTCACTTGCTGTGGTCAAAACTGACTGCTGCTGAAAAAGGAGGTGAGGAGATACGAAAGATCAGCCCGTGGTTCATTGTGTGATAGATGTGTAAAATATGCAGGGTGTTGCAAAATACTGCAGCATCCAGGTGGTTACGATGCCGGTGTGCACCTGCACCTGGTGATTTCTTATGCAGTCCGTCATTTTATACTGAGAATGACTCTCCCCGGTCTTCTCTTCCTACGGGAAAGAAAGGCGTTGCGCAGAGTTCTCCTACAGACACGACTATCACTTGTACATTTAATACAATGGAAACAAGAATCTATCAACCAAAATAGCCATAACGCATGAAGCGAGGGATATACAAGCTTTTAATGACACCACATTCCTCATCACAAGCTTCCTGAAAAGGGACAGGCCTGGTTATCTGTGTGGATTTGTGCACTTTAGACACAACCCAAATGACTGACTTTGTTGCCATGCTTCTGAATGAGGCTTTTATCCAGAATTCCTTAATTTGCCACCCACCAGACTACAAGTTCCATCTGGCTGGAAGGTGCCAGTTTGAGGAAGTCTTCTTTTAAAATTTATCCCCCACACTACAGCAGGGAAGAGAACATCCTGATGATGTTGCCATCCTGAAACCCACTGGTGCTTTCCCACCTCTGCGTCAGTCTTTTTTCTGCCCTCAAAACATGGAAAGCCTGACCTCCTCCTCCTCCTCCTCCTCCTCCTCCTCCTGCTGCTGCTGCTGCTGCTGCTGCTGCTGCTGCTGCTGCTGCTGCTTTAACTGGTGATACTAGTAGTGCTCCATCTGGAAGTGCTCCCAGTCTGATTAATTATCAGCACCAGATGAAAGAATATCGAAGGCTGCAGTGGAGATGGCTTGACCGGAATCTCAAAATCCTGCTCGTCAGCACCTGAGGCCACTTGTCCAAATGCAGAATTCCATCTTCTCCAAGATGTGTATTTGGCTTCATATATAGAGTTCCTTCTTTAGTCTGGATGTGCCAACGTTTGTCTGCTGCTATCCACTGTAATAATCGACTGGGACAGAAGTGGCTCTAACTCTTTGTGGATGAAGTGCAGAAATGTTGGAGGCCTTCAGTAGTGATGGGACATCTTTTCTGAAAGGAGATAGAATATTTTGATGGGCTGGGGAGAAAGGAATGTATTTATTCAAGGCCTTTTTATCATCTACCCTTCCCCCAAGTGGAAGGGAGATGCACATTCGTGGAATTCTTCCATTTTTTCAAAACAGTACGTGAGGTGGAAGGTCCAAGACTAATATATTCCTGCAGCTCTGCACAATTACACAGATTGACAGAGTGTTTGCATGTGATGCCACATCATGGAATAAACAACACATGGCAAGCATGCTGCCTGACAACATGCTAGCTTACAGTATTTGCAATCTAACATGCAACATACCAAGGCTGGTGTCAAGGGGAAGCATGCCTGGACAGCTGCCAAGAGCCCACACCCAAGCATGGGCCCCCTGACATGACCTGCCTGGAGCTGATCTTCCTCTCCATCACTGCAGCAGGTGGAGTCACTTTTATTACCCAGCAAAGGTGACTTGCCCAAGGCGCTACCGGTTTGGCAATACTCGAATGACAGGAAGGGGAGGGAGGTTGTAGATTCTTGAAATTGCTTCCTTACATTTCTTCCCTTAATAGAAACATTGCACCCTACTGTATATTGACCACACAGACTTCCCCAGACAATCCGATACATGTCTAGTGGATTTATATTAGCTTTATTTTAGGTAAATGGATATAGGACTGCATCTTCAGCAGAAGAGAGCTAACATTTCCCTCTTGGATAAAAACCTATTTGTAATCAAAATAGTTATTTCCTCAGGATTTGGAGCACTGTACAGTCAATTACACTTTGCACAATTTTTGATCACATAGAAACAGAGGAAGTCAGAAGGGGTCTCCCGGGCCATCTAGTCTGACCTCTGGCTCCAGCCGGCTCTGCTCAGGACATGCCCACCATGAGCATGTCTAGCCTATCTTTGTACACCCACCCTCACCGATGGAATCTCAACCACCTCCCCTGGAAGCCCATTCCATACCCTCGGGGTCCTAACTGTCAGGAGGTGCTTCCTGGCATCTAAATGGAACCTGGGTTCCCTGAGCTTTGCTCCATTGGAGCACATACTGCCTTCTGCAGGGGAGAACAGGTCTCTACCCACCTCCATGTGACACTCCCTCACATACCTGTATGTGGCTATATCCTTCCTGTAATGAGGGGCCCAAAACTGAACACAATACTCCCATTGCACAATACTCCACTCATGACTTAGACAACAACCAAAAATCAGCCAGACATCCTACATTACTATGACTAGATTTGCAAATCACCCAGGTCATGTGCTGGTAAGAATGAACAGCAGAGGATGAGATGCACTAGTTTGATTCTGTTCCTTGTCCACACATCTTAGGAAGAATGATAGATTTTTAGACTGGGAAGGGAACTTGGAAACCCTCTAGCCCAATTCCTTGCTCACTGCAGGAACCTTGCATCTATAGCAGCCCCACCAGACATGGTTAATTTATTCTATCTATCTATCTATCTATCTATCTATCTATCTATCTATCTAATTTGTATGCCATCCATTACTTCTGTCTCTAGATGGCTTACAACATTATTTCAGAATAAAATAAATTAACTATTCCACACAGAAGAAAAATGCTGTGAGTTGCAATCTAAAACATCTGGATTATACCAAGTTAAAGAAGATAGACCTACAGCATCCCTGACAGTTGGCTATGCATCTTAAATACTGCTGGTGAAAAGGAGCCTTCCTTCCTTCTAACAGAGATCCTCTTAAGCATTTCGTAAAATCATATTAAAAATGTCTTTATTCGTAGCTATTTCATCTCCTCGCTTGGAAGTTGTGTGTCATAATGGCACATTTCCCCTTGTGGTTATACTTACTTCTTGTAAAGGATGCAGCAAGTCATCAAGACGTCAAACAGGACAAACTTGAACAGCAAAACTCGGATGGCTAATAGAAACAGGGCCTGTGAACTGGTGTGCAGAACCTCTGCGGACAATATCTGGTCTCGTGCTGCCACAAAAAAAACCAACAACACAGAGCGGTCACACTGCAGAACAAAATCCATGGACACAGATTTGCTTTCTTTTGGTGTTGGACTTGGCCCAAAACCTCTTGCTGCCTAGGGTGAAGAGCAAGAAGGACAAGGTCCATGGACAAAATCTGGCTAGTCTGAAAGTTGGCTCTTTCTTCAGCACTGCCTGTGGATGGCACTGAGCTCGCTCCCCACCAATACCTTGCTTCCACTGCCCAGCATCTGCAGCCTCAAGTGACTGATTCGTGCAACGTGATGGCAGGGCTGGCAAGCTCCCTCTGGTATCTCAGGTATGGGTAGCCCTGCTGCTCCCCAAACTGGCATGAGCATGTTTCCTTCTGGACGCCAAGCCTGCTTTCAGAACCTGGTTGCACTAAGGTGCAATCAGTCCTCCTTCAACTGCTTGAGCGTTACTTGTATTGTTTGACATATCAGTGCCCACCATGGACCTAGAGCTTTTTGGTATGTTTATAAAACACTGGAAAGGATCACTGCTATAAAGAGGCAGTGTGGTGTAGTGGTTAAGAGTGTCAGACTGGGACTCAGGCAAAAGGGATTCTAGTCCCTGCTAAGCCATGAAACCAACTGAGTGATTTGGGCCTGTCACAGACTCTCAGCCCAACCTACCTCACAGAGTTGTTGTTGGGAGTATATGACTGAAAGCAGCAGGAGAATTATGTAAACTGCCTTGAGTTTTTTGTAAGAAAAAAGGTGCAATATAAATTGAACAAATTAAATATGGGTGGCTTGCTTTATCCCAGTTGTGTGCCTGATAGCCATACAACACTTCATGCTGAATTACTGCAAAATCAACAAAAATGCTACCGAAATTAAACAACAGATGGAACAGGAGCACACAGATCACCTCCCAGATACATCACTAGCTATTTCAAGACCCTGCCATTTTGAAGAGATGGGACAATAGCAAGCAAATTGTGCTACTTTTCCAATCTGGAAATGTCCCAGCTTTCTGGATGCTTCCATTTCTATATTTTTTTGGAAGGGGGATACTAAGAAAAAGTATTACTGAGTAAGACATAATAGCTGTGCATTGCCTTCTAAGTAGTAGTGCTAGGAGCCCTCCATCTGGAAGCACTCCCAGTGGTCTGATAACAGATAGAGAAAGTATTGGATGAGAATGATTGGATGATAGCATCACGTAGATGCCCCATAAACAGTGAATGAATGAAGCATGGAGATTCCACAGGAAATGCTTAGTGTGGAAGTACCCTGGAAGGAAGGAAGGAAGGAAGGAAGGAAGGAAGGAAGGAAGGAAGGAAGGAAGGGTATTGCTCTTACCTCCTTGCTTTTCAGGCAGGCATAGATCTCTCATTTTTTCTTCTATAAAACAAATTGAGTATTTAGAATGCGTAAAACTACTGCTTTGTTATAAGCTGTTTTGTTGTAACCTTATTAGTCTCCTATGTTTCAGACTATTCTCATGAAATGCTCAGAATTTATGCATAAACATCCTAATTTTTTCTTGCACACATCTATGTATGTGCATCTGATTGGCTGGGAGAGGGAAGGATCTGCAATTGCTATGTTGAACCCTGGCTTAGGGGAAGGAATGTACAATCAGAAGCTAGACATGGGAAACTTCCTGCAGAAATTCCCATTTTTTTGGTAATTATATTTAGTGTATTACTGCAATCTTAGTACACTGAATTGTAGTTTAGTTTTTGTTTGGAATTTTCGATTTTATTTACTAAATCTGTGATTCCCTCTCCAAGAAGCGTTCCACCTGCGAGCATCTGAGAGAGCGTAGAGGCCCTCCATGTGCCGACCTGCCTAGGACCAGCAGCCATTTAGCTTTGCCTCACCCAGAACTGTCTCTCACACACTGGCCAACACAACTAAATGGGCTTATTTTCCCTGCCTTGTCTCTTTCATATCCTGACTGTCAAATTATGTCATCATTTTAATATCTCTCTTTAATTGGTTTGTCTGCGACTGGCAAAATGCTGCCAGGTAACAGCACAGATGTAAGTCTTCAGTGGGAAGGTTTTATATTTTTATACATTATAAAAACATACAGAATGTATTATTTTGTGTCCTTGATAAATACCCGTGGGTTGAAGTAAAGTGTTGCTCCACGCCTTTGAGGTTTCGTTTTGTGCCACATAGCAAGTAACAGAATTCCACGATTCAAATTCGCTGGTGCTGATGGAGATTTGGGCGATAGTGCTGAAAGTGCCGTCTGCATCCTTGGAAATCCCATAGTTGAAAGATTCCAGCAGGCTACCATTTCCATTGGAAAACCAAACAGCGTCCAACGTATCTTCTGAGAGCTCCCTCACCAGACAAAAGACCAGCGTCTTTCTTTCCCCATTGACTACCACATGGAATGGTGGTGCCAGCGTTGGAAATAAACTTGAAGAGCAGCTGCCTGCCAAAACAAGAAACAGTTTATTATGAAGATGAGTGCCCAAAATGCAATATACATACGAGCATTTACTTCTAGATTTTCTTTGGGATCTTCTCTCTTGATGGGACCTTGCTTAGGAGGTGTTATTGCTTAGGAGGTGTTATTTCTGTGTGATCTCTGCAGAAAGACGAGGTTCTTCCTCTCCCAGGTCCTAACTTAGTCAGGCTTGTGTCTAGAATAGACTTCTTTACCCTGGTGCCCTCCTGAAACATTGACCTCAAACTTCCTTCATCCCCAGTCAACATGGACAACAGCCACTTGGTATGTTAGATGTTGTAGGGCTAGAAGATGCTACTGTGGTGGCTGTGTGAGGTGAAGCTTGTTCAGTGCCGTATCCTATGGGGGAGGTTGTGAAGGTCCTTTGAGAAAATTATGTATTTATTTAGAATAAAAAACATAAACAAAGACATAGTACAACCTTACAAATCGGGAAGTAGGAGGCCCACAACTGGTCCTCAGGGTAGTGCAAACTCAGAGAAGCAAACTAAGGTGACTGAGGTGCAGTGCAGCTGACAGTGCATTAGACCTGATGCTAGAAAGTAAACCTACCTCTTGGTTCACTCCTTCTTTTGCCAGATCATTGGCAGGTGAACAAATGGCAGCTGCTCCTTCTCTTTGGCTGGGCTCAGACAACATAATAGCCCATACTCAAGAGTTTAGCATGGGTTATCATGGAACTGTGGATTGTCACTGAAACCTGGGTTGCTGTGTTATTTGTATCCAGGCATGCTAACAAATCATGGATTGTTAACCATAAACTATCCATGGAGAGAACCCATGGTTTTTGTTGGGTTGTGAACCATGGTGGGTTATCTTGGCTGCATTCAGACAATTCTGGTTTCAACAACAACCCATGTTTTGGCAACAACTCATACTCAGTCCTTGAATGTGAATTATCATGTTGTCTGAATCCAGAATTACCCATTGTTGCCACACCTAACTTGCTTATCCCACCCAATCATATTGGGGGGTTTCATGTTCTTCCAGGATCTTGCTGGGCAAACATATCAAAGCTTACTACATATAACAAGCAACAGCTCAAGGTCCTTTATCTTAATACAATGAAGTAGCTGGACTTTTTGGACTTAGTTGTAGCTTCTACTCATGACCGTAGGTGGGCCTTTCCCTAATGCAGCAGGGTTCCAAGCCTACTTCAGAAGCATCCCTGTGAAGATCCACCTCCTCATATGGTGATGATAGCATGTAACAGCCACAAAAAGCTCATCTTTGACTTATAGCGACCCTATGAGAGAATGACCTCCAAAATGTTCTATCCGTTACAGTCCTGCTCAGCTTTGTAGCTTCCTTTCTGGAATCAATCCATCTCATGGTATATCTCCTTCTTCTGCCTTTGATTTTCCCTAGCAAGATTGCCTTCTTTGGTGAATCTTGCCTTCTCAAGATGTTCACAACATACAACAACTTCCATTTTGTCATTTTTGCTTCCAGGGAAAGTTTGTTTGTTTATTTATTGCATTTCTATACTGCCCCATAGCCCAAAGGATCTCTGGGCAGTTTACAAATTTTATATATATAATAGCATAATTATATTTAGAAGCACAATAAACAGAAAACCGATACAACAGCATCAACAACCCTCAGTGATTATAGTCAGGATTAATACATGGCACAGCAGCAATGATCATACAAATAGTATTAAAACTAGCACTCATCTATTAAAATATCTAGAAAATAAAAAGTTTTTCACTTGGAACGAAAAAGAAAGCCCAGATGGTGCCAGGCGTACCTCTCTGGAGAGTTCCAGCTTGATTTGATCTAAGATTCACTTGTTTATCTTTCTGTAGGTCAAGGGTATTTGCAAAGTTCTCCTCTATCATCATATTTGCAATGCATCAATTTTCTTTCTGTCAGCTTTCTTCACTATCCCACTTTCTCACCCATACATAGTGGGGGTGACCTTGTCCTTGGTCTGCACTGAACATCATTATGCTTGATTATCTTTTCTAGTTCCTTCATTGATGCCCTTCCAAGTCTCAGTCTTCTTTCAATTTCTTGGCTAAGAATTAACCATTCTTGTACCTAGAGCTATCTTATAGCATACATAGTTTACTTAGCATACACAGATGTTTATGAACAGCATGCCTATTATTTTTCTTATCAACAAAGCATGTTACGTTCATATGTTTTGGCATCTCTGTTTTACATAGCTATTTGCAACACACTCATACAGACATGTAAATTTTGTATATAAACACAGTTGAAACTAAATCATGCAAAATGCTGCAGATTGCATGCAAAATACTCCAAATTAAGCAAAATATGTTGGCATGTGTGAGAATGAGATGCATTGCTACTTTTGTCTGCACTGACTGCATTTCAAATTTTGCTTTGTTGTGAAAAAGTGTCTACAGTGATCCGGCAAGGACTCTACCTTTTATTCTATGGGACAAATTTTAATAGCTCCCAAATCCTGTCTTTTATGTTATTTTAGCTTTTATTGTATTGAAAATCTTACATACCTCAGTTCTATATTTTTCTAGATGGGTTTACCCAACAGGTCTGTTATGAAGATGAGACAATCAATGTGAAACCAACCCAAAGGGTTTTATAAGACAGCAGGATGACATTTCAGAGATGGTGGCAAAACTGTATAATCATAGCAAAGATCAAAGGGCTGCTATTGGAATTACTCAAGATTAAATTGCTAGTACTTTAAGAACATTTCTTTTAGAAATTTTTAATACCTCTTAACAGTGACCAAATATACTAGTGGAGGAATAATTCTGAAAGGTGTATTTCAAACACAGTGATTTTCTGTCCTTGCCACTTCCAACAGCCCCAACAAGTGACTTAGGAAAGAAATTTTACTCACAGGTAAGAAGCTGGAGTGCTGCACTGGTCAGAAGGTGGGTGAGTGGCCTCCATGCTAGTTTCACACTGAGAGACCTCGGCATCTTTTGAGGCACAGGAACACTAACAGAGCGCATGAGAAGGCAAACTATCATACCCAACTTTCTGCATGTCTTCCCCCCTGACCTCAGTTCTCCTTTCCCACCACTAACGGTTTGCACAGCTGCTCTCAAGTAAACTACCATGCTAGGTGGTGGTTTCATTTTCTCTAGGGTGCTCTCTTGTAAAAGAAAATATTTTAAGGGTGCCTGAGGTGTGGGTAAAGTTGCCCCTTACCATTACCAAAATCGAGGACAGAAATTTGCATGTGATAATTCATGTCTTTCGGTGCTCATTTCCAAATCATTTATAAGCAAAAATGGTAATTTCAATAGAGATATACATTGAAGGGGAAGGCTGTGACCAGGGGGTGTGCTGTCCATGTGCAAATTAGCCACAATTTCAAGTTTGCCTGCCAGTTTCTCCCCCTTTTTTCAACATCTGGATGTGTTACAGCATCTGGAAAAGATGCTTGGAAATTAGAAAAGTAAAGGAAGATATGACAGAGGTGTGCAAAATTATATATGGTATAGAGAATGTGTTGAAGGAGACATTTTCTCTCCCATAAGACTAGAACCAGGAATCATCCCATGAAGCTGATTGGTAGGAGATTCAGGAGAGATAAGGAAGGATTTCTTCACAGAGCAGTAAGTTAAACTATGGAATTAACTTCCACAAAATCTAGTGATGGCCACCAACTGGACAGCTTTCAAGGGGGTTGGTCACAGTCATGGAGGAGAAGGCTATCAATGACTAGTAGTCCTGATGGCTATATGCTACTTCCATGTACCCCAGTTGCTGGGGAACATGGGTGGGATGGTACTGATGCAATTGTGCCTTGCTTCTGGGTGGCCTTCACTACAACTTGTGGTTCAGAGTTTCTGCTGTTTTTTATAGTATAGGGCACAGGGGCATGAGCCCTAGTTCTTGTTTAGGCAGAGAAAATACTAAAACTCCCAGCACAAGTGGCTAGGGAATGCTGGAAATTGTGGGAGTAATTAATTAATAAACTAGGAGAGCAGGGAACACACCACATGCTTTGAATCTTGCCAAGGCCACAGTGAAGCAAAGAAAGAAAGGAAAAGGGAAGGGGCGCGGAAGTGAATTGTCTTTTTCCTCCTTGGGGATGCAAACACACGTGCTAGGCTTACGCATCCCCATATATTCTCTTGCCCCTAAACAGATGCTTACAAATTAATAATTTTTAAAAATCGTTTCACCATTTTGTCTTTAGAGGGCCTGCAAAACCAAAGGTGAACTCCGTTCCCACCAGTGCATCGCTACCCCCACCAGAATGCGTCGTCCGGCTTCTAGCCCGACACGTGTCCTTTTGAGGAAGTCGTGATGTTCCCTCCGACCCCTACCGGCAGGTTGCTCTTGGTCTGGCCCAGCCTCCCCCACGCGGCCCTGGTGGTAACTCCCAGGAAGTCTGCGCGGCGTGGAAGGGCCAGGCGGCAGGTTCGCTTCGGAGCGAGAAGCCGCTTTTCTGCGGTCTGTCTGGAGAGGGCTGGGTGAGGTATGCACCGCGGGCCAGGTGGGCACACTCTGCCGCCTTGCTTTGGGAGCTGCCCGTCGCTGCATCTCTGCTGGGGCGTAGCCCCGTTTGAACCCGGTGGTGGGGACGGACGCCCGAGTAAAGACGCTGGCACGGGGCATCGGGCGCCGCCGTTGGGTTCCCAAAGCGAGGCTGCGCTTTGCGATTGCTACACAGCGCGCAAGTCAAGCCTGGTTGCTGACGGGGCCGCTCCTCTTTCGGATGGCTGTGTAAAAAACAAAAGATGGTTGCATGCAATTAACAGAGAAGGTTTCGTCTTCTGCCAACTTCGACTTTCCAGATCTTATTAACGCTTCCCCTTATGGTCGTTCCGTAACTAAAAACTGGAGTCCTGTCGTTCTTCATCAGTGAGGAAGAAAGTGGTTAAAAAGCCCTTAGTTGGCCTTAAAGCAGCCATCCCCAATCTGACTTTCATTTGTTTTGGACTACAACTCCCAACATGCTGCAGGCTGTCAACCAGAGGGCGCTCGATCGGTCCGATTAGCTAATTGCATCATACAAGCTTCTTCCCTGAAAAGTAGTCTAGAAATACTTTCTTTAAAGTAAGACTAGAGGAGAATTGTGGGATTGGGATTATGGGGCCTGCTGGAGACGTCTTGCCGGCCCTTTTTTCGCTGTTAGTTCCTGTCCACCTTCATTTTGGAGGTAGGGGATTTTGTATGTTCCAGATGCTTTGAGCTACAACTCCCATAGTTTCTTTGCTTATAGTGGTTTAGGCTAGTAGGAATAGTCTCACATCTGAAAGGCAGCAAATCCAGATTCTGGGAATGGGTGTGGAATAGGATCCGCAGCTGGGCAATACCTTTATGAGTTAATTTAAAATGCCACAAAAGATTCTGCAAGATTACAAGTTTTGTAGAGCCCTTCATCAAACTATCTTTTTTTTTTTATTATTATAACATTTCTATGCCGCCCCTTGCCGAAACCTCGGGGCGGCTTACAACATGATAAAATACATTGAAATACAATAGTACATAATAAATTACCATTAAATATAACAATACAAAAAATACATTGATTTACAAATACAAAATTAAAATTATCAGTATAAAATAAAAATATAGGAGGAGAAAGAGAAGGAAGAAGAAGTTGCCCAGGCCAGATCATATGTTTTAACAATTGAAATGATGTTTAAATAAAAAGGTCTTTACCTGGCGCCGAAAAACCAGTAACGACGGTGCCAGGCGGACCTCTTTGGGGAGTGAATTCCATAGGTTGGGCGCCACCGCAGAGAAAGCCCTCCTCCGGGTACTTACTCTCCTAATTTCTTTCATGGAGGGTTCCCGGAGAAGGGACTCTCCCGCAGATCTCAAAGGGCGAGACAGAAAATTTCAGCTGTTAGACAAGATTGTGTGGTTATAAGGTTTACAGTAAGATTTGTTTGGACTATATGAATTAAGTGAACTCTTTTCAATATAAGGAATAATTATGTTTAATTTTCCGATTGTCACAGACTTATATTGTAAACCTAAAGATTCCACCTGTACCTTAAGTGAAAGTCATGTTATTCAAACCACTGAAAGAAGAACATACAGTTGTGCTGTTAGGATAAAGCATATTTGCAATAATTAAGAACACTTCCCAAAGAGATGTTAAACATTTAAAGAACCTCTCCAACCATGTAGATACCACAGTCACATAACTGACTAGAATATTTTCAGTGATTCCAGGTATACTCTCTTATTATTATTATTATAACATTTCTATGCCGCCCCTTGCCGAAACCTCGGGGCAGCTTACAACACAATAAAATACATTGAAATACAATAGAACATAGTATTTTTGGAAGCAAAGGCTAACTTTTTGAAAGAAAATTGCATTCCTTTTGTCGTGGGAGCATTCATCTGCCACCAGATACCACCACTTAATGAATGGTAGTTGGGTACAAGCCAGTGTCCTCTGCTTTCGTATGTTAGATTCACGCACATCCAGTGCAGGCTGTGAGGTGCAGTGATCTTCACTGTTCTGTGCCTCATGTGCAGCATTTCATCAAAACGGCCATTGCCAGCCATCTAGAGGAGATAATGTGGGAGGGCGAGGGAAAGAGGCCGAGTGGCTAAGATGTGGGCAGCCTGCTTTGCTGCCCTCACACACCCCTTTCCCCTTGCCTAGGCGGATTTCCATCCTTGGAGAGGCAGCCATTGCGGTTCTTTCCATGCCAGCTCTGCATTCAGAGTCCCAGCTCAGAGCTGGCATTCCAAATAATCTGGTGTTACATGCAGTTGTGGTCATTTAACAAGGCTTCATTTCTCCACCATATATCACATTCAGAAAACCTCCCAGTTAATTAAAACGGAATTTATTTGCAACCCAGGATCACACCAGTGTAAACCTGTGTGCTGTATTAGCCTCAGTTATCTCCAAGAGATCACATATTTTAGGAACATGGTTACTAGCAAAACTTGCTGCACCAGGCAGTCCATAACATGCACCACTAACGTGGTTTATTTAATTAAATGTTGAAACATCAACTTATGCAACATGTAGGAAAAAGTACAACAGACCGAAGAACAAGATTTGTCACCACTAATCTGCATTTCTTTCCAAAAAAAGGGGGGGGGACCCCTAGGCCTAGAGAAACCTGTTGCAAGAAGTTTTAACTCACCTACATATAATCTCTTAGATTTGCAATTGCTTCCAGTTGCACAAAGTACACTGACATGCTTGTTAGAAAGAAAAACTTCTGCATCTACAGACTTAAAACTTTTAGTCTGTATCGCCTTGATTTAGAGGAGAATCCATAAGCTTTATACATTTCTGTTTTCTTCTTCCTTAGGAATGTTCATTGCCCAGGATTCCAGACCCCCCTTCACAGAATCAGTTTAAGCTGCCTTTTTTCACAGCTACTAATGAGCATGGAAGCTGAAACATTTACTTTTAAAATACTATGAAATTGTGCTGTTGTTAGTCTGTTTTTCATACACTCACACACCCCACCTTTAAGAGTAAATACACAAAATATTAAACTATACGAATAGTCAACAGATGAAACCAAATGCTAACATTCTCTCTCAGGTCTAGTTAAAATAATTTCGAGGACAAGCATGGCGTTGGGACGAGACAGATGTGATTAACGGGGCTCCGTTATCACGCTGGTAACTGTCCGGTGGTGGGCTGTGGGAGCCCAATCTCAGCCCTGTAGGGGTGAAGATAGATTGCTTGGCAAAGTTCCCAGCAGGTGTTTGAATGGCAATTCTGCGCTTACTGGGAGAAAATCAAACTTTTCTCAGCTGGATGGTACAGAAGAGATCTCAGCTCTCTGTAAGTCCTCGGCATGCACATTTTGTTTAGTCTACTTTAGCTATTAGCATCAGATCTACTGGGAACTTTCTGTCTTTCTTTCTTTCTTTCTTTCTTTCTTTCTTTCTTTCTTTCTTTCTGCAATGATACCCGTGGAAAAAGCTGCATTGTTTGCTAATTGATATAAAAGAAGAAACAGAAAGCCCTTCGGATGGAGGAGGGAAAGAATTCTCCCCCCCCCACGGAAAAAAAATAATAATTTCCACTTCACAACTAAATAAGCTAATTTAGAAGAAAGCCACTGAGAACAAGCACCGGTGTTAGGGCTCCTAAAAGCCTGGGCGTTGCATCTGAAGAAGGCATGCTTTGTCCAGTGGAGGGCTGAAACTACTGAGCTAGTTTTTGTGGGGGGAAGTTAGTGTGGGTAGGCTGATCCATCAAAATGTCTCCCCTCTGAGAATTCATGGAGGAGGCGCAGGCTTCCAATATCTACTAGCCAGAGGCGGCATGTTAACTCGCGCACCAGTTGCTGAGGAGCTTGGGCAGGCAGAACTCTAGTGCCTGTCTTGCTTGGAGGATCCTGTGGGGAGCTGGTTCGCTGCCATGTGTGGGACTGGATGGACCATCAGGCTGGGCTGATCCAACATGGGTTATGTTCTTAGGAGGCTCTCTCCTTTCTTCTAGCATCCCAATGAATGTTGCAGATTACAGAACAGCTTCTTGCAACGAACTGACTGTCATCCGCTTATTAATGGCAGATGCAACAAGCTCACTTCACAGCGCTGGGGAAGCTGCAAAGGAGGAGGTACAAGAGGGCCCTGCCCAGCAGCCTCATGACCCCAGTCCTTCACTGCCTTTTTCTGAAATTTTTCGCCTGGTCCAGGCTGGACAGGATATTCCTGGACTGCAGAAGCTAAACATCACTGCGACAAATGGGAGCCCAACTCCCTCTCAAATGACTCGGAAGCCTAAGCCTTGGGAGAACAAGACATGATGAATGGAGAACCCCCTTTGCCCTGTGTCTGCGCCAAAAAGAACTGGGATTTACCAGAAATCTGTTGAACCTGTGGGCTTGCAGGATCTAATGCCTCACTGGATTTTAAGTGCTGCTGATTTGTGTAGCCAAAAACCTTGTGGACAAGGGGTACCCATAGCACTGGAAATGGATTGTGCAGAAGTTGTAATTAAAGTATACTTTACTAATATGTACTTTAGATACCCTGCTCAGTTATTTAAAATAATAGTATATATTGCTAAAAAATGGAATACAATTCTGCACCAGAGCGCATAAAAACCTGCATCCAGAACTGTGTAATTATGCTGAATAAGCCATTTTTAGATTATATTATTTAGCTTGAGTTATTGTGCTTTTGTTAATTATAGGAGAGACAAGGATACTGAAGCCTCAGTTTCTTTTCTTATTCAGCTGCCATATGACTTTTGAAATTTCAGCAAATCTCACCCACACATTTCCAAGTATATCTTTGCAGTCATGAGGGCCAGGAATGCAAGATCTGAGACTTTCCTGATGTAGAACTTGGCACTTGGCACTTCGCTGTTTCTGTGGATTCGAAGCATATCAAATCCCCAAACCAGGTCCACCAGTTACCATTTCAGCCTCTTTTTCACAACTTTAGGAAGTATCGGGGTTTTTTACAGAAAGGTTTTTGGGGTGTTTGCTTATATTTGCCTTCTGGCAAATAGAAATTGGTTTTCCTTTTTATTTTTAATAAATTTTATTGTTTTCTCTACAATCTAACTTTAAGAAACAACAGTTATTTAAGACATCGGGTATACTGGGTTAACATCTTCCTCATTTTAACAGTCAGTAGTCATATCAAATCTACGCATAATCCTGTTTCTCTAACTGATAGTAAAAAGAGTTCCAGCTTTGGTAGAGATATGTGTCCTCCTTCTCCTTCAGTGACAAGATCAATCTGTCCCTTTCTGTGCAGTCCAAAATTCTTTTTAAGATCAGCTTTTCAGTGCATGGCTCTTCACTCCCTCCGTAGTGAGCAAATAAAATTCTTGCCACAGTGACTAATTGTAAGATCAAAAGGTTTTCCTTTTTAGAGTCTTCAAGGAGAGGGTTTTTTTTTTTTTTTTTAACAAAGTGGGCATTCCCTATAAGAAACTCTGAGCATGGCTGCAAATCCCAGCAAGGGCTTCTGCACATGAGAACTCCTCCTCCTCTGCCTCCCTGGTCCAGCCTGGCCTCTTACTCGAATAATGTGGTGTGGTGGGTAATGTGTGGAACTAGGATGGGAAACCCCAGCTTTAAATTCTCACTTGGCTATGAAGCCCACTGGAAAACCTTGGACCTGTCACTATCTCTTAGGCTGGGTTCAGACCAACACGATAACTCATACCTTTAAGTATGAGCTATTGAGTTATCTAAACACCGTGGTGCTAACAAACCATGTTTTTTTGTTGGGTTATGAACTGCAGGTCTCTGGTCAACAAACCATGGTTTGTGAGCCTGGCTGTATTCAAATAACAACCCATGTTTGAACAATAGCCCACTCACAACATTTGAGTGTGAATTGGGTTATCTGAAGCTAGTCACTCTTGAACTACCTCCCAGGATTATGTGTAGATATAATGATATATTGGGGTGAACTATGTCTACTGCCTTATGTTGGGTGAAGGGTGAGATGTAAACTGATATGAAACCTAATTTGGTGTTCTGTTAACCTTTCCAAGATCCTTCATACCTATCTATAAATTAAATGCTTCCTAATTGAATAAATGATGTAATAACATGATGATAGTTACATTTGATAGTATTTTTAAATTATTTCTTTTTTGGTTAGAAAAGGCTACTTGAAAAGATACAGCCACATCCCAATAAGCCTTAATTATATTGTGGCAGTCCTTGATTCCTTAATTAAATGATATATAAAGTGTATTTTAAAAGACCAGATAAAAATAGAGTGTGGAGTAACCATTAAGCTTTTAAATCTCTAATCCAATAAATTATGCTAGCTTCATGGTGTCATTTATTGGGAGACTTTTCTAGTGAGGGCCTGGAATCTAAGATGGGAAAGAAGCACAGAAAAGCAAAACCCCAAAGGTTCTCTCCTAGCAGCCGTTGGCTGCCAAGCCACAAGGCTGGCCTCCAGCTGGCAGTAAGCAAAGCAAAGGATGCACCTGAGTAGCTGCCGCATTGCAGTTTAACCAAACGCATAAACAGTTCTCGGAACAGCACCTGCTATTGCTGCTGCTCCAGCAACTCACCACTTGTAAAATGCCCATTATCGGGATGGGCACAGAGAGGTTTGCATATTTATTTATTTAATTATTTGGGATACTTGTATGCCGGCGCATTTGCATAAACCTTGGGGTGGCTTCCAACACATAAATAACAATACAAAAATATAAAAATTGGACACATTCAGGCAATAAATAATACCAATAAACAAATTAACAATTAATTAAAATAATGTTTAAATAAAAAGGTCTTGGCCTGGAGCTGAAAAACAAATAACGACGGCACCAGGCGGACCGCTCTGGGGAGCGTGTTCCATAAGTGGGGCGCGACCGCAGAGAAGGCCCTCCTCTGGGTACTCGCCCTCCTAATATCTTTCACGGAGGGTTCCTGGAGAAGGGCCTCTGCCGCCGATCTGAGAGGGCGGGAGGGCAAGTATGGACACAGGCATTCCTTTAGATACCCAGGTCCCAAGCCGTTTAGGGCTTTATAGGTAATCACCAGCACCTTGAATTGGGCCCAGACTTCACTGGGGAACCAGTGAAGCTGAAGAAGGACTGGGGTTATATGAGAACAACACCCAGTCCCCGTCAGCAACCTGACAGCTCTATTTTGCACCATCTGAAGTATCCAGACCATCTTCAAGGGCAGCCCCACGTAGAGCACATTACATAAGTCTAATCGGGAAGTAACCAATGCATGCGTCACTGTCGCTAGGCAGTCGTTCTCCAGGTAGGGACGCAGCTGATGGATCAGCCGAAGCCGATGGAAAGTGCTCCTTGCCACCGCCGACACTTGAGCTTCCAAAGTCAGCTTCAGGTCGAGGTGCACTCCCAAGCTGCGGAGTGTGGGACACAAACAGTGTACCACATCCCTTTACCCACAGGTAGGCACATCCTTCTCACATGGGAATCATGTCAGTAAAGGTCCAGAGTCCAGGCCAGAGGCCAGACTTTGCCTTCACAGTGTTTCCCAAGAGGGAAAGTTGGCCTGATGGGATGCTTGCAAGAAGCCATTGAGGAGAGGTTGCCAGGGTAGGCCTCACTGAGTACCTGATGAGGGCCCAGACCCCTGCAGGGGCCCATTGACAAAAGCCCCCTTGCTCTTCCCCACTGTAGCCTGCTTGGGCACCTGCTCCTTGCTTTGGCATATCCAATGGCGAGGTATGAGATGTTGCTGCCAATCGGCTCCCTGGGTAGCACCAAAGAGAGAGGAGGAGAAAGCCACTGGTGACAATGGCAGTGAGATGGTAGGTGTGGCTGGAAGGGGTCTTGCCCAAAGGCCCTCGATTATCATAATTGGATCTTCATTCCCTAGTTTGATTCTTTTGTCAACCTGTTTTTGTAGCTCAGAAATTTTATGGGATGCAGAGTAGTATGTAAATTTTGCAAATAAAATTTTTAAGAACCTCCCTCAAGTGCATACTCGCAGCTTCAAGTATCAAGCCTGTTATTGTTTACATTGTCCCAGTTCAAGCCCTGCTGGGTTCAAAGGGGTGACAGAATGCTGGGAAAGGCTTTTAAAAAAGATAAAGCAGCAATACTGTTGCTCATTCAGGTCAATCCTTTCTTAGCCAGGTGCTTTGCATTGTACCTGAATTACCATCAACAATAAGGGTGGACAGCTTGTGGCCTTCCAGTTGTTTTGACCTACAAGTGCTATTATCCCTCAACATCGGCCATGCTGGCTGGGGCTGATAGGAGTTGTAGCTCTCCAGATGATCTAGCCCAGAAGTTGTCCACCTCAATCTGGAAGATATTTAATGGGCTGCAAGCTGGGTGGTCCTGCTGATGGAACATGTGCTGTCTTATGAGCACTCGTGTCACATTTGATTTTCGTTTCTTGCTGTCCCACACCTAGTCTTTGCATTTGTCATATGTTTGTTTTCTCCTTGTACAACTGCAGACTAGACTTCTCAGGGAGTTGCTGACTTTTCACAACACTGGGTGCAGCATGCTAAAATATTAGCAGTGATAGTGCAACAGGGCCTAGCAGTTCGCTGTGGAGCAGCAGCAGCTGCAACTTTGCTTAAGCTAAGCAGGTGTTCTCTGTCTGGATAGGAAGCCACTGCTCTAAGGTGTCCTGTGTTTCCCCAGTGGCTTGGTTTACAAAACATGACAAACAACCCTGCAGTGTCTCCACTGTGTACAGACTTTTCCCCAGTCATATTCATCAATCACGTGGTTTCCCAGCCAGCATGGTTTCCCTGCCCGTTCCAGCCTCCCAGCCTTGCCATGCATCCCAGCAGACCCTGCAATCAAAATCCCATCCTTTCCCTGTTCTTGCCTATGGTCTGCAGCAGCCCCCTCCTGACTGGCCCACTGTGGTCCTGAGGTGTATTTCTCCTCCCCCTCCTGAGCGTACCTGCACACCTTTCTGTGGTTTTAGAAAGTAATTGTACCACGCAGGAACTCTGCACCCATAATGGCAAGATTTCACCATGGCTGTAAACCTGCCCAATGTCTAAAGAAGTTGCTAAGGAAGGGGAAATAGCACGATGCAATGCAGGCTCATCTGTTGCCGCTCCATACTCGACTTTTGTCATCTCTTAAGCAGAAGCTGGAAATGGACCAGGGGAGTCAAAGTGCTCAGGTATGGACAGAAGTAGCACCATGTTCTCCCTCCTTGGCTGGAATGTGCTGGCACAGCCATTCATTTCCTTTAGGTGCTTGTAGTTTTTCTACAAACCCAAACCCAAGTGTCTCCCTGTTTTTAATTTTTCAAGCAGAGGGGTTAGAGCAGACAGGAGATTTGTAGGCATGTCGAGTCATTGACATGGTGGTAGGGCAAATCCATTATTGTTCTTGGGGCTACATCCAAATAAGTATGCACAGAGTCCTATCCGTCTGCTGAAGTAGACCAAGTAAGCATGGATTCCTAGGCAATAAGCAAGAGGACCAGGAAAAGGAGGAGAAACTCCAGCGACAGGAAGAAGCCATGTGCTCCTTACAAACCCTCCTTTTTTCTCGGGATGGAAGCCACAGCCACTTTGACTGGTTACAGGGCACCTATGGCTCAGTCTGCAGATAAAAAGGAGCCTGGGACAGAGTCTCTTGTCATTTGTTGGGGGTTAATGTGGATGACAGGGCCTCTTGAAGGGACACTGTCCGGCAGCAGAGATCTACACCTTTTGGGTGAAGGCTGATGCCTCTGCAGGGACCTGGCTTTACATGGGCAGGAAGAGTTTTTCATTTGATGCAGTGGAGCCTTCAAGAAAACTGGAAGTTGTCAGAGCTGAACTGATTATGCCCACTGGCAGCCCTAGGCAGAACCCTGCCCTGGCAAACCCCCACAGCCCCTAAGGAAGGGGTCTGTCCACTCTGTTCTCTTGAATACTCTGCCAAAAGTAAATTATGTTCTTTTATAGCTGAAGCAACTGAAGAGAACAACACTCTCCTTCCTTCCTTCCTTCGGTAGAATGTGGAACAAGTTATTATTATTACATTTTTATACTGCCCATAGCCAAAGCTCTCTAGGTAGTTGACAGCAATAATCATCATACACTCAAGTCACCCATCCCACTTCTGCCAGGGCCCGACCCTGCTTAGCTTCCAAGATTAGACAGAATCAGGCACTTCAGGCTACATGGAAGTTAAAGATGTACTGTTCAGTGGCTTCTACTTTGATTCCCTCCTCTGGCATTGTCAGGTTCAAAAGACATTGGAGAGTTGCTGGCCAATTAATCATTATCTGAACCTACTGGTTTTTGCCTTCTACATCTGTGAACAGTGCACTCCAGGTCCATGCATATATTAATATTCTTCAAGATCTAAAGATAATTAAGGCTCAAGATCAGGTTAATTTACTTGCAAGTTTATTTGTTTATTTGGCCATAAGCCCTAACACTTTAAAAAAATCCACCTAACATAAAATCCAAGAGCAGTATTTATATAAGGTTTGACCGGCGATTTTATTTTTAAAAAGGTCACTTATGCACAGAGTGCAAACAAAGGTTTCTCTCTGGATTGAGCAGTTAAAACATGGCAGCATTTCGGTCATACTTTAACAAGCAGCAAATATTTGCCAAATTATATTAAGGAAAAAGCCAAAACAAAAGGCTCATTTAACAGATGGAAGTAATACCAACCAGAGATATCATTCAAGTCCTGCACACATGGTATAAAGCAATTTCAGACAAATAGCAATGGATTTTTAAAAAATCCAAAAAACAAGCTGTCTGCTACCCGCAACCCTTAGTCCTCCCATAGAAATGCTCTCAGGGAAAAATAAGGAATCAATCTTTGGTGACAGTAGGGAGATGGATCATCATCATTGCACACTAAAAGGCAGGCATGGCGTGGCATGATTGACGCAAAACTATTTTATGCTTAAATATTGGGGCCGATGGTGGGTTGTGTCGAGTACAGGTCATCCACCAGCAAAACTGAACTCACTGATAAAATGGATTTCCCTCCTGCATGCAGCCCTCCTCCGAAATGTACCTCTTTGATCCACACAAAGGGTTGGAGATGGATGAGAAAGACTCAAGTGGGAGGAGATCAAGAGGAAGTTGGCCCACATGACTTTGGATGTAGCCCTATGTGGCCGCCTCCCTTCAGAAGGCAAGAGGGCAGCTCCCAAAGAACCTCTTTTGGCATCCATCTTATTGATGGAAACCTCCGCAAACAGCCTGCTTTTAGCAACGATGATTCCTTCTGGTTAAGGCAGAGGGTCCAAGCCACTGGTCCAAGAGGGAAGAGAAGAGCAATGCTTCCTTTGCAGCGTTTCTACTGAACATGTCTAGTGGGGCATCATAAGCAACTGTTTAACATTACAATGGTACATGAGGTATAAAGGCACGTTTTTGTTTTTGTTTTGCTACTGCAAATGTTTTCAACTGTCTTATCATCACTTTTAACTTTCCAGGCACGTGCTGGTGCCTCCTTTTAGTTGTCCTGAAAACCCCCAGCATGAGTGAAACACTAATTCACATTAAGTTTCACTTTTATGTTAATGGCAGCCAGTTCTGCCACAAAGCAGCGGAAAACATACGGAACGGCGATGGTTTCAATGGTGTCACTCCGGTCACATACGGTACAAATGTACTGCCGGAGGCGCGTGGTCGACCACGTGGGCGGCGGCTTCAGCAAAGGGGAAAGCAGGCTGCCACACTGGACACACACGTGGGCCACCGAGCGGTCAGAGCAGTTGAAGAGCCGATCGTGCAGCAAGAAGGACGTCCCGTGAGCCAGCAAGGCGTCCCGCTCCATCTCACCAAAGCGGATGCCACCCTGAACATTCCTCCCACCGACGGGCTGGTTGGTGACTTTGTCTCTGGCCCCTGTAGTCCTCACCTGGAACTTGTCGGAGACCATGTGCCTAAGTCGCTGGTAATACACCAAGCCAATGAAAATGTCTGCTTCAAGCTCCACGCCCGAAACACCGCTGTACATTCGCTCTGTCCCGTAATAATTGTAGCCCGCAGCTTTCAGCAGCTTGCCAAAGTATTCCACAGCAGAGTTCTCCTCAGAAAACGTGAAAGGGGTGGCATCGTGGCAGAGTCCGTGCATCGCTGCAGATTTCCCTGCCATGCTCTCAATTAACATGCCAATGGTCATTCGGGATGGGAAGCCATGAGGATTGAAGAGGATGTCAGGCACCATCCCGCTCTCAGTGAATGGCATGTCCTCAGCTGGCCACAGCCGGCTCAAGATGCCCTTCTGGCCATGGCGGCTGGCAAACTTGTCCCCAATTGTTGGATTTCGGGGGATCCGCAGAGTGATGCACACGCATTTGAAATTTCCAGTTCCAGTGTCGTTACTACATATTTTGATATTATCCACAATACAGATTTCTTTATTCCTGAAGAAAAAGACGACAGGTTTGAATCTGCTAGAAAAGCTTCTGCAGGAAAGTGTCTTCCAAATTACTTTTGAAAAAAGAAATACACCCCCAAATAGCATTTCTGAACCACTACAGTTAATAACCCCCATTGTTTTAAGTAAAGGGGTAAGGCTTGTCTCTTTGCAGCCCATTGTTCTAGCTGAAGCAAAGATCAGGGTTTTGTATATGCCAAAATTCTGCAGGAAGACAGAACTTGACAAGGTATCGGATTACGGTCCCTGAGAATGTTAGTAGTGATTTTTGTAATAAAATAATTCATGTTTCTAGGTCTTATGGCGGTGAACAAATAGACAGAATATTAAGACTCTTTTTGCTGCCACATTCTGGCTTTTGTACAAGAAAGGTATGGTTTATAGCAAAACAGTCAATATTTTGGATTTAACTTCCTTTGTTGGCTGTGACACGCTGGGAATATGTCTGGAAAAGTATCAAGTTGGGGAAGGCTGTATTACCTTGTTTAAATAAGCAGTTTTCAAGATTCCCTACTAGAAACTTGTAAGCAAATTTCAACAACCTGAACTTACTTGTGGTAGGTCACAAAGCTTTCTCCAGTGTTGAGATTCAGATAGCTATAATAAGGGTCACCATACTCGAGTTTGGCTCCAATGTAGGGCAGGCCGTCAGCATCCAAAGTTTGCAACGAAACTGAGCTATCACGACCAACCCCAAACACCAAATTGTCCTGCCCTTTCTTGATTTTTTCTGCAAGGTCAATACGTTCAGTCTTGTAGATGCTTCCATGTCCAAATCCTCTCTCCCAGGAAGACTTGTTCAAGATCTAAAGAGGGACAGTCACATACCCATCAGAGTCATGCAGAAAATTACAAAGTGAAAAGCTTGCATGGGTCATGTTACCTGTTTCAGAGCTGATGGGAACCATGGCAACAATCACTCTTGGCCTTTCCCAAGCAGAAACTCTTCTAGAAATTGCTGTTTGGGACTCAAAAGATGCCCCACATATCTGGGCTGACTCAGGGCTACAGTTATCCATGCTCTGGTAACCTCTTGTTTGGATTACCATATGTAGGGCTTGGGACCAGGTTATCTGAAGGACTGCCTTCTCCCATATGTACCTAACCCAACCCTGAGGTCATCTTTGGGGGTCCTTCTCTGGGAGCCCCTTGCAAAGGAAGAGAGGAGGGCCTTTTCAGTTGTGGCATCCTGGTTTTGGAATGAGCTCCCCAAATAGGTGTGCCTGGGGCCTACTATTTATTCTTTCTGGTACCAAGTGAAGACCTTTTAATTTTCCCAGTATTTTAACAGTTTAACTTTTAAACTTTATTTTCATTTATTCCATTTTATACTGTACCACTGCTATGCTTCTGTGCTGAACAACAGCAATTGAAATTGAATTGCGATTGAAGTCAAGAATTCTCAGAATTGTTGACTAAACTTCTAAAGGGCACTATGTTGGGGACTTAGGTGGTGTGTGACCAGAAACAGGCATTTTTCAGAAGAAGAGCCTATTTTATGAGCCTTCCTTCCTAGGAAATGCCTGCCAAATGCCTACAAAGCATGTCCCTTCCCATTTCTGCTTGTAGGTATGAAACCGATAGATTTTATTCAATTAATTAAATACTTTACTTTGCCTTTCTACCAAAGAATGACACTCAAGATGCCTAACAATAAAAAGCAAATGGAAACAAAACATAATTAACGCAAATAAGAATTAAATTAATTAAAACATAACACAAAAACAGACTAAAACACAATTAAAGCACAGCAGAGAGATAAGCAGAACCAGCCAATTAAAATCCCCATCAATGGCAACCAGAGGCCTGCTTGAATAAAAATGTATTTGAGTGCCAGCAGAAGAGTCAAGAGGAAGCCAACCTAGCCTCCCTTGGGAGTTCCAAAGCCTGGGAGAGGCTAGCCAAGAAAGGCTAGCTAGCTATCCTTCATAGGAAGATTAACTCAATGACTAAGAAAATCAGGTTCCACATTAATAACACCTGCCTTACTTTCAACCAGAGTTTGTTAGTTAAGGAAGGGAAAAGATGACACTCAAGGATTTTTATGAAGGGCTTACCATTGCATCTTCCATGTCATAGCCGCTATAGGAGATCACAGCAACGACTGCATTTGTACCAGTCGGATAAGAGTCCATGTTGTAATAGTCATACATGGATGGCCGTACCAAAGGACTTTGAGGGGTTTGCAGCCGGTAGAGTTTGTCATCTGACCGATATGGAAAAGTCAGAAGTGGAAAACCCATTGTTTGCTTGCCTGGGGAAAAACAAAAAATAAAACCAATTGGAGTCATTAAATGAGATGAGATATATTTAAGAGCCTTCGCATATTTCGCAGAGGAAAGACTCCCATTTGGTTTTGCATGCGGATGGTCCCCTTCAATCTATAGTATCTCCACTTAAAGGGACCCGGAGGTAGGGGAGCGGGCCGCAGGGCCCCTCTTTGGAGAGCCTGAACCCACAGATATCAGCTGTGAGACTGAGCAGACAAAATGGGGCTAGATGCAAAAAATCTGGCCTGGTTCAGGTAGTTTCTTACATTGCCCTAGTTTAAACATCATATGATATTAAACATTTGCTTCTTATATTTTTCATTTTCCTTTGCCTTAAATACTCACGTATTTAAATACTTAGATGAACTAGATTTGTGTCAAATCAGACATTTTCTCATTTTAAGTGGATTAAAACCCACAAGTGAAGTATGGCAAAGGATTACTTAGCTATTTTGGTTCATAATTTTGATTTTAAAAATGAATGCTTTCAAGAAGGAGTGGCAGTCAATCTGTCTTGCAATCTGACTAAGGCCACTTCCAAAGCCTCTTCCTAATGTAACTCTCCAAGTCCTTTCAGAGAGCCTCTCGGGCCAAATTTCACCGTCCCTGCTATTATGGAGAAAGCCACCCAGGACTTTTAGTCCTAATGGCTCTATGCTACCTCTGCTATCAGAAGCCATGTGACTATTTATACCTCTTGCTGGGGAACATGGACAAGAGGTGCACTTGCACCCGTCTTGCTTGTGGGTTTCCCAAGGGCAGCTAGTCAGCCACTGTGAACAGAACGCTCACCTAGCTGGACCTTTAGTCTGTCCAGCAGATCTTTGTTATTATCAGTGTATCCACCTGAAAGTTCCTCCTACCATGGGAGTCAATTGCTAGTGCTACCTGAGGATGTTCAGCAACATTCTGCATACGGAGGGCGTACCTGTCACAAAGGAAGCTCTAGGAACCTACATACAACAGCAGTGCAACAAGAGAGATCTGCAAGGAGTTGCGGAGTGGACCACACCTGTTCAGTGTTCCGGCCAGCCGTGCCGTTTTTCAGGATATTCCAGTCTCCAACTCTGCTTGTTGTCTCCCACCCCACCAGCTGATCAGCATTCCAGGCTCACTGAGCATGCTCAGCCCTCGCTGTGCTACACTGGTGTTCCCACTTTAGGAATGGTCTCTTTCTAAAGTTTGTTCTGTGCTTCTGCAAACCTTGGGGCTCTCCCAAGGCTCTTGAGACTTCTCTTTTTCTGCATGGATAGTGCACCTTTGGCTACACACCGCACGGGTGGGAAGGCTTAGGCCTGCAGCCAAATCTGGCTGTCCCGGTGCGTCAATTTAGTCCCATGGGGTTCCTCGGGACCCCTTCCTCTTGCTACCCCCCCACCCCAACCACCTATAATCAGGTAGTTCCCTGGATTTTATATACTTTTCCCTGTTCTAAAAGGCTGAAATGCCCCTCCTAAGGCTGGGTTAGGCCACTTGGAGCTACAAGCGGGTTTTTGTACCTCCAGTGCTGCCTCTTTTGTCTTTTGCAATGCCCACCACTGAAATTTTTATGTATTTAAATTTTTTGTATTCTACCCTTTACGTCTCAGGGTGACCCCCACGAATGGTTCCCTGAAACTGAATTTGCCCTTTGAGCTGAACGAGGTTGACAACCTCAAGAATGAGGCATCCACAATGGCAGAATGAGTTTGGTATCTGTATCTGAGACACTTACCCATCTGGCACTGGTACATGTTTCTGGGACTCTGGTTGTGATCAGAAAAGGGAATGAAACTTGCCACCACACTTAATATGCTGTGGGGAAAGAGCTCCTGGTGAGTGGTCAGCCCAGGCTCAATTTCATCCTTGGATATAGCAATGTTCATGAAGACCTAAAGAAAGAACAATTTGCATCACTTTCAAAAACTCTCCTTGGAGAACAGCATGATCAAACCTGCTGAGCAACTTCCAACAGCCAGGTGGCCAGGAGTTTTAATGTAAGGAAAGCTTTTGGAAAGCTCACTGGTGCAATGTGCAGATGGCTCTTCTCCAGCCATCCCTGGGGATGCCAGAGATTGAATGTGGAGCCTGCTGCATGAGACAGAGGTGCTCTTCCACTGAGCTGCATCCTTCTCCAACATGCAACCCATCCCAAATTAAAACACTGCAAATTAAACAAATTAAAACACCCATCCCAAAAGGGGCCTTGACTACCCAGCTAGGATATAAGTGTTCAAATACACAAAGAATTCCTTCATTCACTTTATTGTCAATATGTACACAGACAGTTACCTGTTCCATGGTGCCAATCCATTCTTCTTTTCCTAGGGCCAAATTTTGTACTGGGCGCATCATCCTACAGGGGGTAGTGAAAATGAAGAGCCCTGGGTACAGGCTGGGTTTGCCTGTCATTGGAATCAGGACCACCTCCGTCCAAACAGGGATTTTATTTTCTTGCATTGTCTATTAGCAGCACATCAAAATAAAAAGAAGAGATGTATTTCCCTCCCTTCCAACGAAAGAGTCATAGAAGTACATACAGATGGATTGACTGTGGTTAATGAAGTGGCAAAGTAAAAAACTGAATAAAGCTTCATTAATTAATGAAAGGGAAAGGGGCAAAATGAAGAAATAAATTTAAAGGAAGGGGGAAGAAAATGGTTTTCCAAATTGGAAAACTGGAAAAATACAGCAGGTGAGAGCTCTCCCTGTGGGACAAACATGACTGCAGGCGATGTGATAATCAAAAGGCCACAAGAAATCCACAGAGACACAGCACGGATACTAAACCTCTTTCACCCAATGCTGAATTCAGTATTAGAGAAGCTCTTGGAGACCCACCTTTTCCAGTGGGCAGAGCCTGAGAGCAAATGGGGTGGGGCCCCAAACATCAAAATACCTGTATATTTTAGCTTACAACTCTTCTGAGAGCAGTTAAACTTTAAGAGAGGCATTTCAACCTTATAAAATTAGTGCTTGAGGGTGGAGGAGCAATGCAAACCTACACAAAAGCCAAAAAATTACCAAACAACCAACAGACACATCAAAGAGGGCAGGGAAGGGTGTGGGGCCATGTGAGGGACCTCAGCAGGCTGGACTGGGACCTTTGGGGTACCTGATCTGGCCTGTGGACCTGAGCTTTCCCACCCCTTTAGATTGCTTTCCATCAAAACTGCTGTGAACTGGACTGGAGAAATTTGGCTAATGGGCAGTGTACAAATGAAATGAATTGTAGTAGTAATAATAATCATAGGAATAATCCATCACGGCTAACCTTAAAGTGCCTGAGGGTCTCCACAAGACCAGGAGCAAGCTGCCTCTCTATCCAGCCCACTGGTGAGCCATCTAACATCACTGGGTAACATTCAGAATAGGGCTGGCTGGGCACAGCATCAACCGGAGTGACACCTGCAGAGCAAAGCAAGTTGGTAAGGAATGCATCACCATCAACCACTTGAAGGAGGGTCCAGGTGACAACACAGTCCAGAGATAATGTCTTCCCAGCGACCACACAAAATATGTAGATGGGCTTTGCCGCACCTGAAGATCAGGTGTTCATCTCCATGCATAGAAGTATCAATGCACGTGGATCTAAGATGGTGTTATGCTTTCTCTCCAGCTTAAAACTGGACATTCAAAACCATCCCAAGCCATTGACCCTTGGATTTAAGACCCCCTACTGCCAGGAGCCCAAATACAGGGGTTTTTTTTTACATTACTTTGTGAAAAGAAGAAACATTTCAAATGATGTTGCTTGGCTTTCTCACACTCTTTGTGGAATAACAGACCAGCGCCAACAACAATTGGCCAACAGCACACCACACAAAGCCATGCACAACTGTTTTCCTGTTCCACCTCCTCCTTTCCCTCTCATGTCCCACAGCCTTCCTTCCCTCAACATTTTCGCTTGCTCTCCTTTTTCACACCCTTTCCTTTTCCATTCATGAGAATTAAACTGAAACAAGCAATGTACACCAAGAGAAAACACAAAACCACAAAACAGAGAGGAGAGATTGTGGCTAACCTTGTACTGGTAGCTAAACTTGTGCTACCTGCCCCCCACCCCCCAAATCAGAAAAATCAGAACAACGGGACTGCTTTGCTATTTAGGATCTGAGTTTCATGTAAAAACCATTGTGGGGGCCCTGAACAGTGGTCCAGTTGGAGCTAAGGAGGCATGAATTCACTCAACGGGATGGAGCAGAAAAACCACATACAGCCTTGGGTCCCCTTGGGATAATTTATAATCCCTTTCCTTGATCAGTTGCAAAAATAGTGAGAGAAAAAGTACATTCCTGTGCCTCAAGAACCCACACTAGCAAGAAGCAGAGGTGAGTTGGCTGTTCCCTGAACCATCTACAATAGGCCTGGCAGATTCTGGGGTCACAATGGTTGTTTACCACTCCCTTCCCTTCTGTATCGTGGGGGACCCCGCAGCAGGGCCCGCTTTTTCTCCCTCTGCCTGCTGCAGCTGTAAGCTACTCTTGGCTCACTGCAGCTTTTGTGTCACTTCAAAGTCTTCCCTCTATAGATGGCGAAAGCCAGCATGACAGCCGGCTCTCGCAATCCCCATTCTGACAGCCAGTGACAGTTCCTTCAAAGTGCCCAAGCGCCACCCTGAAGGGGCTGACAGTGTTATAAGAAAAGACTGCCAAGCTGCTGCAACTGTGGAAGTGTGCAGTTCTGTGAGTGCAGCAACTCATCGTTTCGGCTGCACAGTGTCACAGTCTAACAGGCACCAACACTTGACATTGATTCAAAGAGGCTCGTAAGCTTTGTCTTCCCTTTGGTTCTTCTTCACAGCTGTGCTCTTTGTGAAAGCAGGGTGGCGAGATGTACAGCCCATTTGCGGTGAGATCCTTCTGTTTTTGCACCACAATATCCTAAAGGTAAGATCACTTTTCCAGTCTTCCTGAAACTCTGTATATTTGACAATATGGAAAAGCGCAAGCCAGCAACTTTTAGAAGGAAAAAGCTGTCAAAATGGTAGTTCCTTTTTAAAGGGTTGTTGTTTTTGACACAGTTCCCTATGGTTTCTTGATAGGGATATGTGTAGTCATGCGTATAAAAGTCCTCATGAAAAAGCCATGGGAGCCCATTTAAAAGTGAGTGGTTTAAATTTTTCCAGGTTTTGGGCATCTCTAACCTTGGGGACTAGAAAAGTAAGCTCAAGCTATGGACAGAGTGGATCTTGCTGCACAAGAAAAGATTGCTTGAGCTTTTGGTTTCCCTTGACAGCTCATTCTTTAACAACCCGGGCATACTGTAAGTTGTAGGCCAAAACATCTGGAAGGCACCAGGTTGGGGAAATTTATTTATTTTTCTAATGTTTTCCTACGCTGTCCTTTATTAAAAAGTCTCTGGAAATCTGCTGTAAGACCCTGTTCTGATAATTCAGATTAATTTACACTTACCTAAAGAGCAAAGCAAGGGTGGAAGGGAGGTTGTCGGCAAAGCCTTTGTTACAATTTCACATGCGGCCGCCATGTGGTTCATCAAGCCACAGGGCTCACCATCCGGTGTGTGAACAGGACAAAGGAAGCCCCAGGACTCCGGCAGGAGCTTGCGCACTGTTGTGGTTCTCATCTTGAGAAAAGCTGCCCCTCTGTGCACGCAGCGGAAATGGGAAAGGTAGCGAATGAAGTTCAGCTTGTCTGCTATCACACACAGTCCAGAACCTTGCAGCATGCCCAGACCTTGGTAAGGTAAAGGGAAAAACATTATCCTCATCAAATTTAATCTTTTAAAAATTATTTTCTAATAATATTTGTTTGACAACTGTATCAGGGCTTCCCTACTACTCCCATACACTTTAATGTATCCAACAGTTGCAAGTTTGATGCGCACTGACTTCTGCATGACATCTGTCAAGTATTCCGAGACACTGGCATTTGTACTTCCCAGCAAAATATTGGTAAACATCTCTTAAAACTTTAGAAAATCAAATTGGCAAAAAACAGGGTTCAGGATTCAAGAGGTTTGTGAGCACATGAACTTTGTCTTCTGGGAAATGAGTGTTTTGTGACTATGCCCAACATGACAGCCATTTCATGAACGGGAAAGCCCCACTGTGGCAGCCATTTTGTGAGAGCACCCATGATATTCTGTCAACATTTCAAATGTGCCTACTGAGTTGGGAGATGCAATCCCAGCAACATGACACACCGGCGACGACATGTCCCAGAGATCAACTTTTCAGAAGCAGCTTGACCAGTGTTGCAGAACCTCTTTGCACTGCGTTGCATTTTCATCAAGACAGCAAACATTTAGGATTCAAAGTTCGGCACAAGAGTGAAACTCTGGCCAGCTGTGCTTGCACTGCTTAGCACATTCGGTATGAATCTTCTACTCTCTGCTTGTGGCCTTCTGATGGCTAGCTAATAATGTACACTGAAGTTAATTGCAGCTGCAAATGGATTTGTACGCACAGGTTTCTGCTTTAGGGTCAGGGTCTGAATCAGGGGTCCTCAAACTTTGGCCCGTGGGCCAGATATAGTCTGCCAAGGTCATTCACCTGGCCCACCTCAGAGCTTTCAGACTTGTTTGGAGAAAATGATCTCCGAATGAGTCTGAAAGCTCTGAGCCGGTGCAGGCATACTCTGAAACATTTCCAGTTTTGGAGACTAGCAGAGAGCCAGCACACGTGCCAAATTGTAACAGCTCCCTTCAACTGTGCATGTGCCGGCTCTCTCTGCTAGCTCTGGCCAGCTCCTGCTGCTGTACTAGTCTTGCCAGAGTGAACTGCTCATGCACCAGCTCTTCCACCTATTGCATGCATGCGTTGGCTCTGAATACAGAAGAGAGAAGCGAATATGGAACTGGACATTGACCATCTCATTAGTCAAAAGCAGGCCCATACTTCCCATTGAAATACTAATAAGTTTATGTTGATTAAAATTCTTTTTCATTTTAAATATTGTATTGTTTTTCCTGTTTTTTGCACTACAAATAAGATATGTGCACTGTGTATAGGAATTTGTTCATATTTTTTTCGAACTATGGTCTGCCCCACCCCCCAACAGTCTGAGGGACAGTGAACTGGCCCCTTGTTTAAAAAGTTTGAGGACCCCTGGTCTAGATCTTTGGCTCCATTCTAAGCCTATGACCATGATGCTGCACAAACAGTTCATGATTCTTGAAAAGGTGAGATTTCCCCACACTTGAATTCTGCATGTTATAATTGCACTGTGTAAGTTTTCAGTGACACAAAGGCCTTGCAAGGTGCCACAAAAATGCTTACATAGAACCAGCCAAACCTTCAACACATCATGGAAACATTTTTACTCCATGGGAATAATTTACCATAGACACACTCAGAATTGTGCTGTGGGCCACACAGACACTTACCTGTTTTAGAGCGCAGGTTACCAGTAGCAAGGAGATATTCAAACACCCTGGTAAGATCTGTTCCCATGCCAAGAAACTTCAGCATGCTTTCTGAATTAATTGTGATATGCGATTTCTGAATTTTCTTGTCCAAGGCGATTTTAATAGACTGCAGCCAACTTTCCATCTTTTCCTGCAATACAGGATGAGAACAAGATTAAGAGGCTTCAAGGACAAAGCAGTCCTATAATTCAACACCAAGTCAAGTTACATACTAACATATGCCAAGGAATGCTCCAACAGCAGTGAAGAATGAAGAGAGAAGTCTCCCTTCATTGCTTGTGTCACAAATTGCCACCTGATGCCTCACAAACAAACTCTGCCTATGTGACGGAACTTGTCCCATATTTGTACAAGAGCGTACATGGAATTAATGCCACTGGGTTCAATGAACTTGCTGGAGACACAAAGGGACCAAAGGGAGCTATGCAGGAAAGCTGGGCAATAAATGCAAACAGCGATTAACCACCATTTGGACACGTTAGGCTGGTTGAGAAGCAATGTCCAAGCAACATGAATAAGCCTCTGAAGGACCCTCAGACACGCCTGCTCCCTTCCCACAGGGTGCAGTGACTCTGCTCCTGGCTTGTGACAAGCCACGCTATGCCATTTTGTCTGAGCCTGCGAATGAATGGTTCATGCTTGCCTTGCAAATGAGGACTGGAAACCAAACTTGAGCCAAGGGGCACGGCGTCAAAGAAAAAGGCAGAGGAACTAACACTGCCTAGCTTAGCTATCCCACGGTAAGAGGTCGCAAGGTTTGCTGCAAATTGATCCAGTATCGTCATTTTACCTAGAGTAGCTCTCAGCACTTCCATATTCCATTTCTTTGATGCAGCAGTGAGTTCAAGAACGGAGTGGCAGTCAATGGAGCAACTGGGGCATTTGAGAGCCTGGATTTGACTTTTTGGGAGTGGGACTGTAAAAATTTCTCTTCTCTCCTCCCCAGCTGCCATTCTAAATTCATAATATGCTAGAATGACAAGAAAGCCAATTGCCAACCCTCATTTAAAAAATCCTCTCAGTGTGTGCAGTGCTGGGTTTTAAACTTACTTAGCTCATAATGCCATCTCGACTACAGGCATACAATGAAGATTGCATCTGATGCCCTCTCCACCTGCCACTCTCTGGGCAGTCATTTGGGTCCCCCCCATCAGGCTGCAGAGCCCTGGACTCGGCCCCAAAGATCAGCCCTAGCAACACCATTGCCGACACCACACAGACCTCGGAACAACAAGCACCAGGACTAGCAGCATGCAGATTTCAAGAATTACCTTTAAAAACATGAGGTAGAGTTGGCCAGATGTGAGCACCTCTTGGTTCATTAAGTTGTCAGGACTCTCCTCCATGCAGCCCTCTTTGGCTAAAGTAAATAGCTTTTGGGTCATGAGACAAAGTAGGTAGAACTTCTCCACTTTGGTTTTCAGATGTATGCATATGCACTGGCTGTGGAAGCAGCAACAAATACGATCATCCCCTGGTCGAATTTCGTTGACCTTCTTTCTAGCAGTATTGATCACTTAAAGTTTCAGCTTGGTGGTAATTTTAACACAAAGATATCCTTGCAATGGTTTATTTTTTAAGCTTAAAACATGTGTCAGTGATGATGGGGAAAAAACAACTATTCATGTTCTGGCCAGCTTTGCTAGAGGCCTTGTTTGGTGGAAGACATTCATTCTTTTTCAGGTAACAGTTTCCACTCTTCTAGATGAACAATTCCACTGCAAAACTGTACTCCATGTACCATTAAAGAAGTTTCTCCTGATGTTAATCTGAAATCTACCCTTCCATATCTGTTAAATATAGTCCTCTCCAGTGCCAGAACTCATGTCTTGGAGTCATACTTTTACACTAAAAAAGATTTTCAATTCACCAACTTTTTTGAAATAAAGAACTTATTTACCTTTTGCATGTAGCCAGACACTCTACACACCCATAAACATAATGGTTGCCGCCAGCAGTAAGCACTCAGCGTGTGACCACACACACCAATACCAAGCCGAGCAGCGTCCCAAGCTGAGCAGCGCCCTCACAACCAGCACGGACACACAAGCAGCCTGCAGGCGATTCAAAAATCACTCCATTGGAGAAATGGAAAAAAGGGAGCCAGAATGCTGTTCCAGTGCGTTCTATGACAAAAAAAGCCCTGGTCCTCTTTCCTAGACTTCAGAGAACAAATATATTCCGTATTTGAAAATGCTCTTATCTCTTGCCGTTTTCTTCTAAACACACCAACTCCTCCAAGCATTCCTCAAAGGACATCTTTTTCAGACCTTCTTGGCCATCTTCTCTAGCCTCCTCTGAACCTATTCCAATTTATCTATATCCTTTTGGATATATCATATATGGTTCTATTAACGCAGCTTAAAATTGCATTACCGCATATACACTGATATATGAGAAACCCTTGAAACTGGAAATAGCAAAAATCGGGGGCTGTCTTGTATGCCAGGTGGAAAAGTATCATCATGTAGTAGGACCCCCATATCCATGGGGGACAGGTTCAAACTCCTTCCCTCAGCAGAAAACACAAAACCTCCATGAAAGCCATGAATCTCTCTAGAGAAAAGTGCAAATCTCTCCAGGGACTCTGTATGGGGATGCCGTGCTCTTTGTCTTAGCACTAGCCATCCTCATCCTCATGTTTTGTCTCTCAGTGGAAGTGACGACTCCACAGACATTTGTTGATTTTTGCTAGAGAGATACCCATATATACTAATGTATAAGAGGACCCTTGAACACACAAAAAAGTGAAGCAAAACTTGGGGGTCATCCTATACGCCTGACATATGACAAACGACAGGAAAACAGCCCAAAGTATCAACCTCACCGCCTTATCCACTGGTGCGTACGGCAGCTATTTTTGCAGCGACATCACACTGCTGCCTCACATGGGTGCTATTATTGCGGTGGATGTGTTACTGCTGATGTTGCTATTAGTCACAAGTATACCCTTTCTTTCAAAGAGCCCATACATGATCTGCCTTTTATCTTCACAACAACCCTATGAGGTAGGTCAGCACTAATCTAAAGTAAATGAATGTGTTTTATGGCCAGGGGGGACTGGAATCCAGATCTTCCCCGTCACACTCCAATGCTCCAACCACACCACCCAGGCTCTTTACACTCCAGCGTGGTCATGGACTGCAATGAGCATAGTTGTAGCAAGACAAAACCGCGTAAAGACCTACTCAAGCAGGAAGTCTCCAGCTTTTTCACTGGGATACCAATCAGGAAGGTTCAGCTTCACCCTGAAGCAGCGCCCCAGGAAGATCAGGACCTGTTTCTGGGCCATGTAGCCTTCCTCTACCACCAGCCTCAACATCTGAGACACGCAGTTCTTATAGAAAGTATCATCTTCTTTCCCTTTAGTCAACTCCTGGAAAATCTGGAAGTCTGAGAAGTTAACCAATGCCTGGAGCAGAGAAATAAAAAAAGTGGAGCAAATGAGTTAGAGGGAAACACATCCAACAGACGGGGATGGAATTGGCTTAACTCAGTTATTATTTTGTGGTCTCAATATTTAACATTTGACATGTCTTGGGTTAAAAAAATCCTAATGTCTAGAATACTAATTTCATTAGTGCAAGTATAATCTGCATTTTTCCAACCTTTCTTTTTTTTTGAGATTTTTTTACCCATTTCCCTGATGCTTACTCCCCATTTTATGTTTTTCGACATGATAGGCAGTCTTGTGGATGAAACCTTGTGCCTGAGTGGTTGGCTCTGCACATATTCTAATGTTTGTTCAGTGCCTGTGGCATTATACCGTGTGGAAATAGGAAAGACAGATCGCGGTGGCTTTCTTATCACCCAGGAGGACCTCTCTCATGAATTAGAATACCACCCCTGCAGACAGGGAGAAATAAAAGCATCAGGGACTATAAGATCTGTGATTGTGTAATCTTAGCCATGATATCTATCTATCTATCTATCTATCTATCTATCTATTATAAGCTTTTGTATGCTGTCCTTTATATAAATATCTAGTATGGTCTTTTCTTTTTACAGGTTTCCCAGACTTTGTGTGGCCTTTCGAGCTGCCTTTCTAAAAAATTGAAGTACCTTAGATATTGGCAGTAAGAACTTTAACCTACAATATGCTGTTATTTGGGGGGTTTGGGCTCTACCATGTTCGCTTCTGGTTATGATTTCCATTAGAATGTGGTCCCCAAGAGCATCTCCAAAATTGAACCTGGCCATTGAGTTTACAGAGGTTCACCATCACTCATGTAATTCATTTTGTAATACATCAGTATCCTGAAGAGGAGTGGGTGGGAACACTTATTTTATTTATTTATGCATTTATATGCCACCTCCTAATCCTAATGCAGTCTGTGGGAGACTTACAATATTTAGAAATAACACATTCATTAAAACAATAAAAATATAATAAAACAAAAGCATTAAATAGTTAATATCACAGCAACAATAAGTAGGTCATTACAATAAAATACAAGCCACTGGGAGGACAATCAAAATGGACAATTAATATAAATATTAAAAATAGCTATTTTTATTGATTAAAATACCTAGAAAACAGAACTGTTTTTGCCTGGTGCTGGAAAGAGAGTAATGTTCGCTCCAGGGCAATTTCTCTGGGGAGTTTATTCCATAAGTGTGGGGGCGGGGGGCGCTACCAAGAAGGTCCCTCTTCTATTTGCCACCCCTCTGAACTCCTTGAGGGATGGCTCCTTTAGAAGGACCTCCTGCCCAGATCTTAGTGTTCAGGCAGGTATATATGGGAGAAGGTAATCCTTTAGGCAGCCAGGTCCTAAGCCCTGCAGAACACCTGCAATTGCCAGCACGTAAGGGTGGGTGAAACAACAGTGTTTGAGACTGTGAGCTGCCAGATGCCTAACTCCTCCCATGCATCATGGCAAAAGTAGCCCTCAAGTTCCCCAGGAACAGAGCACAATGAAATACCTTCAGTACAAATCCCAGTGGGAGAAAGAACAGCTCTTTCTGATGGATGAAGTTCACCATCACTGTGCCATTTTCCAGGTAATGCAGAGTCATGTTAACAGCTGTATGCTCATCTCTAACACAGTGCATCGAGATGCCTAAACACCACGCACGAGAAGCAAATTATAATATTACTGCGTATCACCACCACTAATGAAAAGACAAGTTTTGTAAATAAAAGAAAACACCTTGCACCGTTTACCTATTCTTTGGTCAAAGTAGTCATTAAAAACAGAAGAAATCCAATAATAGGCCTTGATTATGCAGATTTGAACCTGCATGCAACTGATGTAAGTAACTTGTTGCAAGAATGATTAGAGGATCAAATTAGAGCATGTCTGGAGAAGGGTGATGAGGATGGTGAAGGGTATGGAAGCAAAGTTCTAAATGCTGGAAAGAGTGGATATGTTTAGCCTGTAGGAGAGGAGAAGATCTGGGGCAACATGGAGGTAGTTTTCAAAAATGAAGGGTTGTCATGTGGAAGGGGCAGCAGAGCTGTTGTCTGTTGATCTGGACGGCAGGACAACAAGGGGTAAAAGCAGATTTCAGCTAAACACTTGGATTTCTTCACTGTAAGGGCTGTGAGACACTGGAACAGACTAGCAGTTCATGCATTGTACTAACATACTGATAACTCACATCATATTGATGCAACATTGCTGAATTGTAGTTGCAAAATCCCTGCACTGAGAAGAAGATTAGACTGGATAACCTCCAACTGTAAAGTGTGATGGTTCTATAGAACACCCATGAATCAGAAACACGGGAGCTGCAGGACTATGCACATCTATAAGAATCTCAGTTCTGCAAGGTAACTAGCTGGTGGAGAAACCAAGACTGCTGCAAAACTGGGAAGACATTTGCCTATCCACAACAACCCACAGATATAACAAATGCATATCTTAACATCGCTAAAGACCATGCAATTAATACACTGGCAGGGGAAACAAAAGAATTTGGGCCAACATACTTGATTTATACAGAGTCAACCCAATGGTCTGCCAGACTTCACACTGTTTACTCAGATTGGAAGAGGCCTCAAGTGGAGCTTTTCTCCAGTCCTTCTCATAGGAATGTTGGGTACTGAACTTTCTGCATCCATGGCCCATGCCTCTGTAACTCAGGTATGATGCCCTCCTAGGTATGTTTGCATTAGTGCTACTTTAGTGAAGTGTCAGAGGAACTTAAAATGCAACGATCCATGAATGAGTGCTTGATGGGACTGGTCTACAAGGTCTCCCTTCCATTTTATTTCATACAATTGCTGCAGAGAATTAAGGCTGGCATGAAAATGGAACTACTGCCTCACAGCCTTCCCAAAGCAGGCATCTTCCAGATGGGCTGGAATTCTACTCCCTACGAGAATTTCAGTCCAACATATCTAGGAGATCCTGGTTTTGGGGAGGGACTATACTGAGATGCATGTGATCAAAATGAAACATGGTGAGAGCTAAATGCAGGTTTGCCACCAGTTCAAGATGGATCTTTGTTCTCCAAGAGAAAGTAGAAATGGGATGAGGAGCCTGGCATATGATCCAAGCACAACTGATGTGAACCACTGGTATAGGTGCGGGGAGCGTATTGGATCCATCTCCTGGACAGGAAACAACTGGACACCCCAGGTAAGGGTAGGAGACAAATATGGCGTATTTCCTACACTCAACCAATTGAACCAGACCAAAACAGCAACAAAGGCTACAGCCATACAATGCCTGAATCCACACACTGAAATAATTATTGTAACAATGCAAAACAAGGAAAAGTCTTTTAAAAAATAAAATTACCATATTGTGTGTAGCCCGGGCCTCTAGATTTCCATTTTGGTTTGATCAGTGCAAGTGGAAAGTTACGCCTCGGCATAATCACCATCCTGATCACTTTTTCTATTCCATTAATTATGAAATAGCCTCCCATTTCCTGCCAAAAGAATAAAGCATCCATGTAAGCATTCCTCATGAGGCAGCCATGATGTTGAAGCTAAGTCTGGTTTGCACTTGGAGGGGAGATCAGCATGTAGCTACCTTGAGCTCCAAGATGAAAGAAAGGAAAGGAGGGGGAAAGGGGAAAGGAAAGGAAAGATGGGCCTTCCTTCTAACAAGAACTCAGTGGTGACATGACAGTGGAGGAAGGCCTTGTTTCATACACCCCTCCCATCTCACAGGGCATTCCCCCACCTCTTTCGTTCCAGAGCCGGTAATTTATGAATGCCGCTGCTAGCATTCTGCCAGCCATAACTGGTCCAACCCAAGCATGCACCTGACAACCCACAAAACATACACAGAATGGATTTTACAATGGAGAATATTTTTAATGAAGCTCTCAAGGGTTGCATTCTAATAGCGGCAGAGCAAAAGGAACGGGGCCAAAAATACCAGCATATTTTAACTTAATGCCCTTACTGTCAGTAACCAAGTCTGAGGAAAGACAAGTCAACCATTTAGAATGGGAAAAACATGCAAAAGCAAGGGAATCATGAAATGATAGGCATCTAGTGGAACACGTCATGGCTGTCCAGGAATACTTGGTTGGCCAGACATGAAGTAAAGTAATACATCATTTGCTCTCGTGAGTCATACAGAGGCAAGAAGCCAAAACAATGACATCCAGCAGTACCTCTTCCTCTTCATGGTGTTTGATCAGTTCCTTGGGAGAAAGACCGTGAAGATTACAAAGTTTGGACTTCACCATAATTGGAACATGTCCGAGGGACTGTTTAATTACCCCTTTAGGGATGCCATTCACTGACCAGCTGATATCAGCCTATAAAGGGGAAAAAACACAGGCATTTTCAGTCCAAAGGTTGGAAGTAAAGGACTTCGCCAGACTCCGCAAACTGCTGCCTTTCTGACCCAGCAATGACCTGGTTCACAAAACTTGACAACCCCCTGCCCACCAACCAAACCAAAATGTTAATACCAGCGTAGTTGTGCAATTTCCTGAGGTCAGAGAAGCCCCCAGCAATAAGCAAAAAGGGATGGCAATTAGGGTACAGTGTGCCAGAGAAGGCCGATTGTGCTATGACAGGTAACCGGGCTATCAGCTGGAGAACTGCGGGGAAAGGAGCAGAAGAACAATCCATGGTGAATCCAACTGTCTGTCAAGCAGATCATGGGTTGTCCTGCATAAGCCTATTCACAGGGCAGCTTAGCATAACATATGAATGCAGCCAATGATTTTAAAAACATAAAACACTAGATAATGAATGGATGCAACAGCCATGATTAGAAGTGTGCTGGCAAACTCTGGGCAGAAGCTTTCCATGTTCAGCATGAAGATCAGTATTATGTACGTGAACCTATCTTAATGACAAAAGGGAGGGGAGATGGAAATTCGGAGGGAGGAGGAGGAAGAACAGGAGTGGACACAAGCCTTCATGGCACTCCTGATCACCTAACCATGTTGAGAGGATTTGTCCAGGGAGCCCAGGGCGACAGATGGGCCTCCTTCAAAAAAGTGAGACATTGACCAGCCCAAGGTCAACCAACAAGATTCACAAAGGGAGTCAAACCTGGATACTAACAGTCTCAATCATGGCTGGGGAACCTTCTGGAGACCCACGGGCCAATTTTGCCTTCCAGAATAGCCCCCTGCCTGTATTATTTTTAAAGGAAAACAGTGCTGCCTAGAGCAGTGTGTAGTGCCATTTTTAAAAATAAAAATATATTTATTTCAGAGCACCCTGTGAATCTGGCAGGAGCAGCACGAGGCTTGCTGGGCTTCTGATCTAAACAAACACATTATAGATACCTACTCAAAAAGAAGCCCCACTGAGTTCAACAGGGCTTCCTTCCAGGAAAGTTCATACAGGACTGCAGCCTAAAGCAGGAAAGGCACATAAGGGCATCTACAGGGTGATGTACAATGCAAAACAAAATAAAATCACCAGCATTCAAACTTGATAAAGACAAAATACTTCCGCAGGCAGGAATGCTTTTACTGTGTACACAGGTACACAAAGAACACAGGTACACAAATCTGATAAATGCCAGGCAGAAAAAAAACTCCATAAAAATGGGGCCATTACTAAGAAAGCTTCGTTAGATGTAGAAATTCCCCTCTTGGTCATATTTGTAAAGAATCTAATTTTTTTCCTGATGACCCAAAACAAGGGTCAGTTCCTTAGGGTTCTGTCAAGAGGGTTAAAAATATAAAATAAACCTCTGTCAAGAAGGTCAGAATTTGCAAAGATAAGCCTGGTGGCAGATGTTTCAACACCAGATGTCCTAAAAGGAAGTGTAGGTCAAGATAATCATGTACAAAAGTAACTGAATGCTTCCTGCTATGATGTTTTCTGTTACTAATCATTGCAAAAAGGTAAATATATACATTCACTGCACAGGATGACTGTGGCAGCTAGTCCTGACTGGAGAAGGACTCAGAGTGCACCTACAATAAAGAGTCTTCTTAAAATATAAAACAACTTGCTGGTGTGGCTTGTCTCTTTCAAAGTCACATAATAAACAAGAGGCCCTTTTTGTCCTCAACAGTTGTATTCCAAGGCAAAAAGAACAATGGTATTACAATTTCTCCTCCACATGAGAGCCAGTGCCATTTAGACAAGTATATATCTTTTTAACATCAACAGTTTTAAACCTGGGGACACAGTATGTTGCACAGCGTGTCCTGCTGAGCACCTGTTGGCCACCTTTGTGTGTGCCACGAATGCCGATCAGGTATTGCAAGGATGAAGGAAAGGGGAATTGAAATCCAGCAATACTTGGAGGGCCAGAAGGTCCCTATTCTGGAGCTATTGTAAGAAAGCAAGCAATGGATATTATCTGAACTGTAACTAAAAACCACGTGATCATCTCTTTTGGTTGCTTTTGCTGAGTATGATGAATGACCTGGGATGAGAGCTAGCAGAAGGTGAGAAGGAACTCCAAGATTTATGTCCTGCCTTAACTGTTCCCCTGATCTTTCAGCATGCATACCTCTCCAAAAAGCAAAACATCAGGTCTCTACATCAATTAGATTGCTAAATGGGCATCACCTCCTACTCTCCAAAACACTTGAAGAAGGCAGAGAAGCATCATTCACTCCTTTACATTTGCTACTTACAGTAAGTTTCCCACGGTAGGTGCATCTGCGTCCCCGGCATTCTGCCGGGTAAACTTTCAGCTCTTTGCATATACTGCCTTTTGGGACCATGGGAGGGTTGATGACAGCCCCTGAAATGGTCAAAGTGATCCGGTCATTCTTCAATGCAAACTCCAAAGGAGGAATGGCCTAAAAAGAAAGACAGGAGGGGAAAAAAATCTATACATCAAGTATGCTGCTTTTTTAATAAAAGAAGACAACTAAGAATTTTGCTAGAGAATTAAAATACTTGTCAAAATAATAGGGGTGTGTGTGTGTGTGTGTGCGCGCGGGGGGGGTAGTCTCTTTATCATCATTGCTCATCAAATCCGTGCTGCTGCAAGGGAAATTGCCTTCCTTCCCTTCACCCTACAGAGGCCATTGATGAAAGAGGGACAGCCAGTGCAGCTGCCACCCCCACTCCAGATGAGGCCCCCCACTTGCCCTGAGGAAGCAGCCTGAACAAAGCGCCACTCATCATCCAGCTGCCCATCTACTGTCAGGGGTGTCAGAGGCCGAACTGAGGGAGAGGGAAAGGCAACGCAGCGCACGTCTATCGCTGGCTATGTCTCTGTCAGAGACAGAGGTCAGGAACGTGGCTTCACCGCAGCACATCCCAGCTCTGCAAGTCCATTCTCTTTTTGCTCCCTCACAGAGCAGAGAGTCTTTCAGAAGCATTTAGAGTGCAGTATATGCATGTTCAGGCAGCAAAAAGTCCTTCGAGTCCCAAACAGACATGCATAGGATTGCACCTTTAGCCATGCACCTTCCAAGTTTACACGGCAGTACTTTCTGGTGAATCTAAACATTTCTGACAACGTACTTCAAAGGAAAGCAGGGACGTGTGTCAAACTCCAGCTGTCACATACCAATATCAGCTCTGTCAGCACCAGCCACTCTGCAGAGCAGGAGAGAAATAGGGTGGCACCAATGCCTTTGCTGAGGTTTCATCCGCCTTTCCTCTCCCCAGCTGTCACTTTGCCAGCAACAGCAGCCTCACCAGGCTACCCGAACTGTTTCCACAACAGAACTTGCCCTGCTTTCCTCCCTCCCCTTATTTTTTCTTGTGGATCATTTCTTTTAGACTGCATGCCACACTCTCTTACTACTGACCTTCATGAGCTGCTTTGGGAATATTAATTTGGCTAAAGCACGGGGCAAAAATGTTAACTGATATGATTGTGCTATCTGCATAATGTTTCAAGTTATTTCAAAAATGCAGAAAACACTCTCTTGTAGACAAAAGCACCTCTGCATTATGACGCATAATGGCTTACTACGTGGTATGTAGGAGCTGTAGTCCAGCACATCTGCAGAGTACCAGGTTGGGGAAGAGAGGTCTGCATCCACGCCACACGGTATTTCATATAAGGAAGAAGCTCCTGGGTAAGAATTTTGGTAAGCTTTTTAAAGTGGCCTCATACTGTGCTGGATGCTCAATAAGCTAAGCGCAAAGCAAGTCCTCTTATCAGATGCTTATGCTTTAGGAACTACTTTAAGCAGTAAGGTGTCACTAGATTGTTTTGTTCAGCCTTCTGCTACAGCAGATTAACATGACTTCGCTTCCAGAAGCTGATTCAAAGAAGAGAATCCTCGTTTTGCTTACCATCTAGGCTGTTTTGATGAACTCAAAACAACTTGTTCACTTTTTGTTACTTTTTAATTGATCATAACAAAAGAGCAACTGCATTTTTAATGCACTACAGGGTAGCCATGTGTTCTGCTTTATAAAGAGCTCTTTTTCATTTGGCAGGCTAACAAAAGACAGTCCTCCTTTGGAAGGCATCTCCTGTTTGAAGGGCCGTCCAGTTCAGAGCTAAAGAACCATAAGAAGGGAAGGAGAAGCCCTGAAGTTGCACAGGTCACCTAGTCACACTCTTACACACTATGGTGAAATGAATTATTATTTATACATTTGAACCCTATACATTAGAACATGCAAATCCCCCCTCTCCTTCTTCCTTTTCTTTTTGTAATACATTCCCCCTTTTTTTGGAATCCCTTATATGACGGCCTTGAGCCCCACACCCCGTCCATCCAACCCCATACATAACAACTTGCAGTTTTCGTCTCTCATCCTCTCTTAGGCGAGGAATTTCCAAGCAGACACAGGGTCCAAAAAAAAAAGTCGCTCCTTCTTACGATCCTTTTCCGACTTCACCAGTTCTGCTCCTTCGATCTCCCCCTCGTCACTTTGTACTCGTTTCCCTTCCCTTCGCTTTGCAAGCCCCCATTTCCCTTCACCTGCAGTCTGCCTGTCTCACCTGCACAGCAAGCAGCAGCCCATCGCCCACGGCAAAATTGAAAGACTCGATGTGCGCCCGCGTCAAGTCCTGCAGGGCCGGCAGCTGCTGCTCCCTGGGCCAACTGTAGTCCTGCGCCGTGAGGTGCTTGAGGCTCGGAGCGCTGGGCAAGCTCCGCCACTTGCACGCGGCTTCCATGCTGCGATCCGACCACAAGCCTCCTCCGGAAGAGCCGGGATTCTTCCTCTTCCCAGTGCTTGATGGGACTTGTAGTGCGAGAGCGAGAGAGAGAAGCCTCCGACTCCCAGAATGCAATGAGCGCGCCCCGCCCAGTTAAAAAACTCACTATTTCACCATAGAGATAGAAAGTGTAAGAGTCATGCACTGAGGCAATACTGTTGGCTCTGTATTCGGTTTAAGTTTATAGCCAGGCTCTCCGGACCATTCACCAAACACAGAACCGAAGTATCTGCCCCGTTTCCAGTTTGACATTCCTGAAAGTCGATTCAAGTTTCATTTTTGTTTTTAGGGCAAGCCTGTGTGATACACTGGCTCCTTTCGGATTATAAAATTATAGAATTACGGAACAATAGCATTGGAGGGCGCCAAGAAGGCCATCAGCTCCAAACCCCCCCCCCCCCCCCTGATTTGTTGTTGTTGTTGTTAGTCACAAAGTCGTGTCCGACCCATCGCGACCCCATGGGCAACATTCCTCCAGGCCTTCCTGTCCTCCACCATCCCCCGGAGTCCACTCAAGCTCACACCAACTGCTTCAGTGACTCCATCTAGCCACCTCATCCTCTGCCGTCCCCTTCTTCTTTTGCCATCTATTGTTCCCAGCATTAGACTTTTCTCCAGGGAGTCCTTCCTTCTCATTAGGTGGCCAAGGTATTTGAGTTTCATCTTCAGGATCTGGCCTTCTAAAGAGCAGTCTGCGTTGATCTTCTCTAGGACTGACCGGTTTGATCACCTTGCGGTTCAAGGGACTCGCAGGAGTCTCCTCCAGCACCGCAATTCAAAGGCCTCAATCCTTCAGCGCTCAGCCTTCCTTATGGTCCAGCTTTCACAGCCATACATTGCAACTGGGAAAACCATAGCCTTGACTATACGCACTTTTGTTGGCAGGGTGATGTCTCTCCTTTTTAGTATGCTGTCTAGATTTGCCAGGAGCAAGCGTCTTTTAATTTCTTGGTTGCAGTCCCCGTCTGCGGTGATCTTGGAGCCAAGGAAAATAAAATCTGTCACTACCTCCATTTCTTTCTCATCTATTTGCCAGGAAGTGAGAGGACCGGATGCCATTATCTTAGTTTTCTTAATGTTAAGTTTCAAGCCAACTTTTGCACTCTCCTCCTTCACCCGCATCAAGGGGCTCTTTAGTTCCTCTTCACTTTCTGCCATTAAGAGTGGTATCATCTGCATATCTGAAGTTGTTGATATTTCTCCCAGCAATCTTAATTCCAACTGGTGATTCATCTAGCCCCACCTTTGTCATGATGTGCTCTGCATGTAAGTTAAATAGGCAGGGCGACAGTATACAGCCTGGCCGAACTCCCTTCTCAATTTTGAACCAATCAGTGGTTCGCTGATGCAGGACACCAATTTACACCATCCCACTCAGATGGCTGTCCAGTTTCATCTTGAGTGCTTCTACTGTGGGAGACCCCACAACCTCTCCAGGCAACTGGTTCCACTGTTGAATTGCTCTGTTAGGATTTTTTTCCTGATATCTAGCCTGAATATGCTTTGCTGCAACTTGAGCCTGTTATTCCGTGTCCTGCACTCTGGGATCCTGTCCTTCTTTGTGACAGCCTTTCAGGCACTTGTACTGTGCTATCATATCTCTTTTCGAGATGAAACGTAACCAGTTCCCTCAGTTTCTCCTCATAGGGCTTTGTTTCCAGATCTTGGATCATCTTTGTTGCCTTCCTCTGAACCCTTCCAAATTTTTCTGCATCTTTCCTAAACTTGCTGTCCAGAACTGGACACAGTATTCTAGATGAGGTCTGACTAGTGTTGCGTATAGAGGAACTAGTACTTCTTGTAATTTGGAAGTGAAACTTTTATTAATGCATTCCAAAATAGCATTTGCCCTTTTTGTAGCTACATTGCATTGTTGGCTCATATTTGTTGTCCAGAACCCTCCAAGGTTGTTCTCTTTTGGCATTTGTTCCTATTGAATTTCATTCTGTTGCTTTCAGCCCAGCATTCTAGTTTATCTAGATCACCTTGGATCTTCTGTCTTCCAGGGCGTTTGCTATTCCAACCAGTGTGTTGTTTGCAAATCTGATTATCATTCCCTGTAATTCCTTGTCTAGATCATTGATAAAGATGTTGAAGAGCACAGGGCCCAGCATCAGCCCTTCTCCAGTCATCTGGCACCTCCTATTTTCCATGGAGAAAACCAGGATTCAAAACAGGCTGGCTGACCTTGGACCACACTTGCTTCAACTTAACCTACCTTACAGGGTTGTTATGAGGATAAATGGAGGTGGGAAGTACATGTCTATGTGTAGGAATTTTTTGGAAATATTTCTTCAGAGTGCATCTGTATAGGTGTAGTGTGTTGGAACAAGACGACCATTGTATTGTATCAGCAGCAAGTCCTTGGCATGTGGTCTACTGAACTATCTAGGGATGGCCTTGAGACATTTTCCTGCCACATGTGACCTTCTGTTTTCCCCCCTCAGTAGGTATCCAGACATGGTATCCAGACAAAGCCTCTCCATCAGATCAGGGATAGGCAGCATGCAGCCTTCCAGATGGTTTGGCCTGCAACTTCTGTGCCCCCGCCCCTTTTGTTAGATTGGCTCAGGCTCATGGCAAGGGTATCTTTAGTTACTAGCTCCCGCATGACATGCTGAATCCCTCAAGCATACCTTGTCCCCCTTCACCCCCTTCAGCCCTTAATTCATAGCACTGCTCCATTCACTGCCTCAGACCACTAAGAGTACCCACCACCACACAAATCCATGAAGAGAATGGGTAACTCGGGATTTGCACTGCAGAGGTGCCATATATTAACTTGGGAGGAGCTACTTGTCTGAGTTATTTGCAAACTTGGAGTACTCCAGCTGACACAGCCTACTCTCTGCCAAATGTGTATGGCATTAATGGACTATCTTATCATGGGCAACTGTTTTCTTTTTCAAACTCAGTGGAGGAAAGCCACCATTTTTCCAGTTTGAAAGGTGATGAGCTTCTGACTTTGCATCTACCGTTTGGGGGCACACAATAGCAAACTATTGTGCAAGTACATTAAAATCCTGGGCTCCTCAATTGCTTACTGTGGAGCAGCAAGCACTTCTTCACCAGTGTAAGCTAAACTAGGAAATTTCTCCCCAGACAATAGGTGTTGTCAAGTATTCATGGGCTAGAAACACTGAAAGGGTGAGCAAGCTAGTCTCTCACAAAAAGTGGAGAGAGATAAATGCAATGTAATAAAAACACAGGGATTTTTGTTTTACAAATTGTGGCCAATAAATCTCTGAACAAATTACAGTTTTCAATTGTTACCAGAAATTATCATTTTATATTTTTTCTTGTTTTTATGCTCAAATCCCACTCTCTGAATTCTCAAGTCTCTCCATTGTCCCCTCCTACTTATTCAGTAATAGGTGAGGGTAGTTTTATATAAGTTGGGGATATAGTGTATTTTTCTCACCCTTTTTCTTATGCTCCCTTCAGAATTTCACCATTAATCCATCCACATTGAGACATTTTCTGGTTAGCTACTTGAGAGAGCTATATATCATTAGGATCACACAGGCAAACTTTTTGGGTTCTTGAAAACATTCTTCAGAGACAGACTAGTCGTATTGTCTGCTCTCTCTTATAGTTTAATGCTTCTTTTTCAGTATGGACACTTACACTCACAGGCCACAAACAGAATCAGGGTTTATATTTTTAATTTGCTTGGGAGAGGTTTGAGTACAAATGTCAGCAAACCATGCACTGCTTACAGTCACGTTTTCTGTCAGACACAAACACACACACTGCAATTTTCTGAAGACAAACGAAAGTTCTTTATGATGTTACACTGGATGCTGAGTATATATGACATCATGGTTTCAGATCTGGTAGATGTTGAGTTTCCCATAGCCAACTTCGGTCAACAGTCAGGATGTGGTTGTGGAGCCACATTCCACAGCATTTTTCTGCTTTATAAGACAGTGCTCACAGAGTCACGCCTTTACCATTCACACATGTTCAGTCCTGAAGGCTCTCAAATAAAGGGCGATTTGCAAGCATGACCACTTGGTGAGGTTGGTTTTGGTTCAGAAGCAGCAGTAATGAATTCATAATGGTATGCATGCCAACTTCTAAAATTGTAGGGGAACATTCTACAGGTTTTAGCACAGAAGTTGCAATTTTAAACATCCTATTTTCCTACAAGATAGAACATTAATCCATTTGAGAAAAAAGTAATAAAGTTAAGGTAAACCTCACTATTAGCCAGTGCTAGACCATCCCATAATGTAGCCCAGGGTGGAGAAAATGTGGTAAGTCACATTCCTACCAAGGGCGGGGGATGTGTTACCCACCAGATGAAGCCAATAGAAAATACATCAAAGGAGTCAATTTGCATGTTCCCTTAATGGTCGGTTTCTGTAGCCTCTTGCCTGTCTGAGACATCCAACAGCTTTGCTCTGTCCTCTGAGGGGAAGGGGTGGAAGGAAGTTCCATTTTTAATATGATACAAAGTCAATTAAGATTATCTTCCATGAAAAAAGAAAGTGTGGGTCCATTCCTGACCAGGAAAAGGGAGATGCCTCCATTTGCTGTTTCTCATCGTATCAGCAGGGGTGGTCATGTGGCCCAAATGAAGCCCCATGCCTTTATTAATTACACAACAGACAGAAATTCAACAGATGGAAAGCTACCCCTGTTGAATTTCTGTATTCTGTGCAACTGCTGAAGACACCAAGTCACTGTCAGGGAGGAAAAACATTAAAAAATGCTTGTTTTACGATGGCCATCCCTGTTTCCCTCTCTGGATTTTTCTCATGTTTCTTTTACAACCTCAGTTGGAACCCAAACTCTTGATATAAAGATAATCTTGGTTATCTGTGGAAACTCTCTAAGGCAGAAATAGTGACTGCTCTTAAGTAACACCAAAATCCTGTGCAGAAGCAAATTTCACTGTTCAATTGAATTTATTAGATTCATACCCCACCTTTTTTCTTACAAAGGACTCAAAGCAGCTTACATGATTCTCTTCCTCCTGTTCTTCATCTTTTCCTCACAACAACCCTGTGAGGTAGGTTGGGCTGAGAGGCTGTAACTGGCCCAAAGTCACCCAGTTGGCTCTATGGCTGAACAGGGACTAGAACCCAGATCGCCTGCATCCCAGTCCTGTGCTTTTAACCACTCTACCACAGTGGCTCTCTTTACTCCCTAGTGTTTACTCCCTAGGCAACAGAACTACAGCCCGTACACATGTGCCAGTTCAATGGGGCTTATTTCAAATGTATCCAGAGGTGTCTGTCCATCAGCAGAATAGATCTCCTCATACCAGGCCCCTCAAGTACCCACTCTGGAGGGACAGGGGACATCATGGGACAGACCCGGGGAGGGAATGAGGAATGCAGTGCAGGGTGTGAAAGGAAGGGAACACCTTCACAATGCTGAATGAAGCTGCTTAAAAAGCAGGAAGAAACACACAAATTAAATTCCTTGCTTAAAGGGATTACAGAAAAAGTTCAGAAAGCAGTGGGTTCAATTTCAAACTACAGTTACCATAATGCTAATGAATTTGTTCAGAGAAACCCTGGGCTTTGTTCAGTCTCTCCCTCTCTCTCTCTCTCTCTCTCTCTCTCTCTCTCTCTCTCTCTCTCTCTCTCTCTCTCTCTCTCTCACACACACACACACACACGCACACACACACACACACACACAC